AACTAGCTAGACGTCTATAGAAATCAGAGTTCACATCAATTTAACCTGAGTCTTTGGCTCCGATGTCCCAATCTGTCTCCTTCTGTGAAGATGAAAGCCTTGGTGAGCTTGCTCCCTCTGAGGCAGTCGGAAGCCAGTTGAAGTATGATCCGGTTCGACGGCGAATCTTTGCCGCCTTCAAGCACCAGCATTTCTTTCACCTTTTGACGGCGCTTACGGAAATGGCTCACACAACACCGTACGAGCCCTGCTACCCAGGTACAGAGCCCAGCACAGGAGGAGGCTGCCCCTAGGATGCCCAGTTGCTGCGGGCCACCTTGACGGCCTAGACAGCCAATGGAGCATGACGCAGATGCCTCGAGGAGAACCTGTTGCTACGGTTGGAATCAACAATTCGACCAATGCGGCTTTGCTAGCAGCGAGGATCTTGTCAGTCTCCAATCCACGGATCGCAAACCTGCTACGAGATTATGCGGAAAATAACGTTACAGAGGTCATGGCAAAAGATGCCGAGCTGCTGCGGCTGGGTCCTATGCAGTATCTGTCACAGAAGATGGGGAAATAGAGAATGTTCAGGCTGGTTTACACCAGAAACCGTTCAGTCATCAAAATTGTATTCGTGGATACTGGTAGAACTAGTTTCGAAATTGACTCGAGGTGCTGCTTACTACAGTACATTGTACTATGTACTCTCTGGTCTGTAGTTTATACTCGATATTTCAACGATAGTGAGGCTTGTAGTGCGTTGCTAGCCGTCATACTCTCACCACTTCGCCCCGCCCTCTAACCACTGCGTCAATGCTATCGCAAACAAACAAGTCCCATCTTCGAGCTCAGCAACGATCTCAAAAGTCCACGTTCCGGTCCGTATGAACATAGTCGGAAGCTGACAATCGGTTAGGATATCGTTGTGGCCGCTGCTGCTCAGATGCTCCGTGTACGCGCCCGTGGAATTGCGGATTGAGAGTTGACCCCCGAGGCTATATCCTGTGGTGTGGAGGGGTGCAGTGTAGCTCTGTGGGTCCTCAACCTCACCATTCGATAGAATGGCGGACATGGTCATAGTGAGGGTCGCGTTGGTGAGGAGCTTATCAAGATCGGCCGAGTCCTTCGTCTTGGATGGAAAGATCTTGCCCCGGAGGAGCGTGAAGAAGATTCGATCGCTTTAATCATTCTATCAGTTGTGACCTACTCATTTTGATCATGGTCCAGCATGGGTTGAGGGAAAAAAGAAAGACGTTATCAACTTACGTGGGAATGGGCGATGGAGCAATCTCGAGAAATTCAATTTTAAACAGTTGCGAGGCCTTGGGAATTGGGCCGTAAGTAGCATTATTGTGTCCGGGAACTTTGAGCGCGCCCTCTGGTGCAGCCATGACTTCGACCTGGGCTATGGGCTTCTGGTGGGTGATTGAGGTTAAGGAGGTAGCGGCCGCAAAGGCAGTCGGGATGGTGCAAAGCGCAAGTGTTTGTACGAGAGCTGACCTCATTGAGAGTTGGCCAGATATCCAGTCTGTGCGATGTGAATTGAAAGCTATGAATTTTGGATGTCAAAGTCGATAGCGTTGGAAGGAGTGAATCAAGTTGCCACGTACTCAAGATGGCTAGTAGGCTGGGTAGTTACATAGCCACAGATTGTTTCAGGTTTGCTATGCTGGGAATGAATAAATATGCCGCCCTTCCACAGGATCACGTGAAATCCTTAGGCTGAGCGGGTCGGACGTCGGCCCGAAGGCTCTGGCGTGCCTCAACACCACACGCATCCTTCGATCCTCCCAACCTCCTCTCCCTGTATTTACCTTTTTATGATCTCAATGCATGGATTCATCCTACTTCCTTTGAGCCCTCGCATCGCCAACGTTGTAACCAAACCTCCAACGTGGTAAAGAGCCCCCCAACACTTCTCACTTTCGCCGCAGCCGCATCATTCGCAGCCTTCCCGGTTCCTCCGCCTTCTATCTCCGCGCCTCCCCCAGCTGAAGCTAGGAGCCTCGCCTCCACCGCCGTCTTAGCATCGCCTCCAACGTTGTCAAAGAGCTCCCCAACACCTTTTACCCTCGCCGCACCCGCATTATTCGCATCCTTCCCTGCATCTCTACGCCTCCCCCAGCTATATTTTGCACCATCGCCTCTGACTTCGCCTTAATTTCGCCCCTGGGGTCGCATCCGGCGTTGTAAAGAATTCCCTGATACCTTTTACTCTCGCCGCACCCGCACCATTCGCATTCTTCCCTGTCTCTCCGCGTCCTGAAACTCCTCTCTCCACGCCTCCCCCAGCTACATCCAGCAGCATCAACGTCGCCCCAGCATCGCCTCCAACGTCGCCTCAACATTGCTTCTAAAGGCGCCGCAGCATCGCCTTCAACGTTGCAAAGAATCCCAACACCTTTCACCTTCGCCGCACTCGTATCACTCGCATCCTTCCCGGTCTCTCCACGTCTTGAAACTCCCATCTCCGCGCCTCCCCCAGCCACATCCGGCAGCATCGCCCCTCATGTTGTAAAGAATCCCCCAACGGCTTTTACTCTCGCCGCACCCACATTTCTTGCATTCTTCCCGGTCCCTCCATGTCCTGAAACTCCCACCTCCACCCCTCTCCCAGCCACATCCAGCAGCATCAACTTCGCCCCAGTAGGGTCTCCAACGTCACCTCCGCATCGCCTCCAACAACGGCCCAGCATCAAGCCGATGACTGCTCTCCTCACTCAATGGACTCGATTTCCGTCCCCCGGTTTCTCCCTATCCCCCTTCCCCTGCCGCCACTCTCCTATTACCCTGCCCCCTCGTAGCCGCCGCACTCACATTTCGCCTCTGCCTACGCTCCCTCACCAAGGCTCCCCCTTGTCTCTGCCTTTTCATTACCACACCAGCAAGCTGCTGCTCCCGTTTTAAAATCCTCTACTACCATCCTTAGCCCTATATTAGGTCCTTGGTTTTGCCTGTTATATAATAGCATTGTCTATTTTTAAGAGTATTAGACTATTCTTGACATTGCAATACTAAAGCTGAGACAGAAGGCCTCCAACCCAGTATAAAAGTCTTGTTTATATTAACCTAACTTCCCTCCTATTATACTGCGCCCTGAGATTATATTTAGCTAAGAAACATTATCTTTGATCTATATAATAGAGCGCATATAAGGCGCAAACCCTGCCAAATAATCCTATAGAAATATGCCAGCCTTAAGTAATTATAAAAGTCTTTATAAATTTGCTCTTTAATTATCCCTTTACTATAATTTCCTAACAGTAGACCGAAAATAAGGCTTTAATTCAGTCTTAACACTTTTAGCTTTATTGCTCTCCCCTTTTTTCTATTATTTCAACTATATACAGCGCGGGCCGCGATGTCTTTAAGGATTTTCTCCCTGTTAGGACTTGTTGCCGCCGTATTAAGCCAGAGCGCTGTACTAACCAACTTTAACTTCCGCGCAGCAGCCTAATTCATCTCGGCTAAGCTAAGCTCTCCATTATTTGTACCATATTCCAAGCCGAATTAAAGGATTAAGGAGTTTATTGCTGTTGGTGACTCGTATACAGCGGGCACTGGATGTAGGTGCTATAATATTATTCTTGCAAATCCTATACTTATAAGTAGTAGGCAATGGCATGCAAGAACGTATAGCCGGAGACGCTCTTCGTGGCAAGCGAGCCTACCCGATGCAAATATCCACCGATGCAGATAACTGGCAATTCATTAATGGGGACAGGACACTTCCCCGCTTCAGCTTCCCTGCTTACACTGGCGACAAAACTGTGGAACTTGTCACGGAACAACTGATAATAGGGGATTATAAGGAGAACAACAAGGATCTGCCCCGTGCTCAGCCCTTTGGAAAGCCTTAGCTTGCAGTTGTGACGATTGGAGGCAATGACGCTAAGCTGGGAAAGTGAGACACCCCATAGATGTTTCAACTGTTTTTGCAATTTCTTGTTAATATTGTGGAAAACAGAATCTTAATAGACTGTGTCTACCGAGCTTAGAAGGCGGGAGATTGCCAAGAGACCCTCAGAGACCTTTAGAAAGAGATCGACAACGGCAGCCTTCGCGAGAAGATTAATGTTGCCTTATTCAACGTTGCGCGTGCAGGAAGAGAAGCAGGAGGCGCTAATCCGAGAGAAAGCTTCCAGGTCTACGTTCTCAGCTACATCACCTTTTTCAACGAAGAAACTACGGCTTGCGACAAATTCACCTGGGCCTACTGGTGGTGGATGAGTAATCCTAAGCTTACCAGGGATCTCCGCAAGCAACTTAATGGCTTCGTCCGGGCTGTTAACGCAGTAATTAAGGCCGCCGCACAGGATCTGGAACGCATAGGAGTGATCTTTATCGAAGATATGGATAGTTGGTACAATGGCCATTGCTACTGCAAGAGTTGGCATACTACCAGGGATATGACCGACTACGAAACATGGTTCTGGTCCCCTTATGCCAAGTTCAACACTCCATCTGAAGGGCCAGGCGATCCTACTAACCTATACCCGGCCGGAAACGTGGACCCCGGGCAGCTGCTTCTGGATTTTGTCTTCCCTGGGCAAAACATAGACATCGCAACCGTGTCCGACACATCACCGCCGCTATGGGAGTGGGAGGGTGCCGACAAGTATCCGACGTTCGAAGCCCTTCTGGCCGCGATTCAGGGAAACTTCACTACATCGGGAGGCGACGCCGTCCCATTCCCCATGGTGCGGACCTTCCATCCCAAGGGCACGGCATACGGTAAACATAGCATTGCAGCCTTCACCTCAATAGTAGAGAACAGAGAAACTTTCGTCGCAAGTATTGCTGGCGGCAAATATACCGAGCGATACAAGGATGTGAGCCTCCCTATTTCTTTAGTAAGTACTATAACACATGACAAAACAACTGACGCTATCACAGATAGACATTAAGGGCGACCACCTCCTTGTGGCAACCTGTACCGACAAGGACGGAAAGGGAGTGCGGACCCAGGAGGAACTTGGACTTTGCCTGCGTTACGACAATGGAGCCCTAATACCCGCAGACAAGTAAGTTTTACCTACGGCAGTAAATGGTTTTCCTAGAGAATGGATGATACTAATCTCGAGCGTTGCAGTGGACAATATACACAGAATTGCCATGGCTGCTTTTTCAATGGTCCAGAATCGCCTGATCACAATACCACGCTATGGTGTATTTGCAAGAATGACAATGATCTTGACACCAAATCTGCTTCTGTTAAACTGGATGATTTCATGACAGTTCAGGATAATGGATACGTTAAGTGTTATGGTCATATCAGCGCCCCAACTAGTCTCAAACGGTGGGAACGTGGGAGTTGGTGAAGAAGGGCGAGATGCTTGGTTTGAGCTTTGTGACCAACTTTATGATCAAAGAGATGGTTAAGGGGAAGGGCATGATGATTAGTCGGGAGATCAGGGATATTGTCCCCCTTGCGATGTCTGTTGGGCCTGCGAACAGTAGCACGGAAGATGATTATTGATGCAGCGATAGCTCGTATATGTGTAGTTCTAGGTTGTGTATACGATATTATATGCAGCACTGTTTCCATCGAGCTCTTTTCGAGCTTCGTGAGCTCTATAGAGGCGCTGTGTCCGTATCTTGCTAGTCCTAATGTCGTTATACTTAGATTATCCAACGCGACTATAGTAATAGTACGAGTCTGAATGACATGGATTCTGCAAGCATTGCGTGCTAGTAACGTGATCGTGTACATTATCAATTAACGCGCCTTTGTAGTGCGGAGAGGGGTTGTACTGCTTAACGCGGGGTGCAAGTATATAGTATGGACCTGCCTAATTGCACCCCCCTTTTCTCTATTCGCACCCCCTCTAAAATTCTATCCGCACCACCCCCCCCCCCCCCCCCCAACGACGCTATGCCTAATTGGGTATCCGATCTATTATTCTTTTTATTATAAATCCGTTTAGCTTGCGCCTTAATGTGTACTATTCTAAAGATTATTTGGCAATAATATAGCCTCTGGACCCCTAGTGGATGTTGGAACTTGTCAGCTACTTGTGGCTCTGCCCTTGCATGGATGATAAAGTGGCGCAGATCAGCCTTGGGCTGTTTTTCATTGAGGGTAAGTTTACTTGAGAGTTGGGGCCCTAAAACTGGGACCTAGCAGGCCTACGGGCCCGGAAATGGGCATTCCAAGGCAGGGTGAAGACCCCAGTCTCAATCCTCCCCATCGAATACGGGTCCCAAAACTGGGTTCTAACGAGCTGCTCAGTCTCGGCTCAGATGCGCTCAGTCTCGACTCAGGATGCGCTCACCCAGCACAGCCACAGCTCAGGCTGGCGCATGAGCAGCTCAGGTTCCTGAACGGGAAAGGGAATTGCTTGGGTGCACATTGGGATATCGTACTACCTGTTTCAGTTCGTTAGGCTCATGCTCTGTTACTACTCGCTGTAGAGCAAGAGTTTCTTATCCTTAATACTTTTTGAAATAATGAAGTTCGTCGCCTCTGCTGCGACGAAGACCATCCGTCCATCCAAGGGCTCTAGAATAACTAGACATGTCAAGAATGTTACGAGGATATGAAGCACCCATCACGTGACTATTACGTGGAACTACTTTTCGTATCAATTAGAGGCCGGAAAGGGGGACTTCCAAATCTTACGAAAAACCATTGGAGCGCTACGATTATCTACAGCCTCAAATCCTCTCTATCCAAAAAAGAAACTCAGTCCAGTCTAATGCTTTTTCGAGTGCCTCCATCCAGTCTACCTCCAAATACCATCAAACGTCACTAAAAACCTGCAACATGCGACGTCCAACAAAGCTCAGCCCCAAACACCGAATTATGATGCGCCCACAAGTAGGTAATATGCAACATGACGGCCCCGCCCCAACCCTAAATGCCCGAGTCGTCCTGCTTGTATGGCGAGGTCGGATACCATTTGTTCCACTTCTCGCATTGCGGCGCACCGTCCTTTGTCCAGTCGCTCGTGGCGCCGCTTCCCGTAATCAGGGACGGCGACTCTAGGATCGTGGCCGCAAAGCCCTGGCTGCTATGCCAGGGAATGTGGCAGTGCAGGGCCCATATCCCCGGGTTGTCGAGTGGCCATCCGAGGACGATATGGCCGTTCGGCGGCAAAACGGCAGTGTCGCGGCGCAGCGGATTCTTGAATTGCCAGGCGTCGGTCGTCCCGTCCCACTTGGCGATGCCAGACGCGAGCACGACGAAGTCGTGACCGTGGAGGTGCATGGGGTGAGAGATACTGTGTGGTAGGGTTGGTAAGCAGAGGACGCGACGGATTGAGCATCATGTGCACTTACCCTGGGATGGGCGTCAGCTCTTCGAGTACGAGGATGGTCCAATCGAGCTCGCTGCTCGTGTTCTTGGAGGGAGCCGCTGTGGAAGGGTTTGAAAGCTGGTAGCCGGCGTCAGTATTAAGCCCCCTGGATTCAATTCATCACGGGCGGAATGCACTCACCCCGACCGGGAAAACGTTGTCCGACTTCGGAATGGCGCCTAAGTTCCCAGATACGACATCTCCCAGCGCTGGTTCCGACCAGTTCGTCCACATAAAACCCCCCTCGGCCATATTGAAGGACCATCTGAGGAACTTTTTATCTTGGTACTCTCCCGTCACATTCTCGGACGAGATGCCCCCATTCATATTTGTCACGTCAATCGGCAACCACGGTACCACGCTCGCGGCCGACTCGTCCAGGCAGAATGCTTGGCGGACGACGGTACTCACACTCGTAGGGGTTTTGGTGCTATCCTTGTTGTATCTTACAATACCGGTGATGTTTTCGGGGGCGCCGTTGGGTATGCAAGAGCTGACGAACCCGCTTCGCAGCCAGTAGTCGTCCGGTGCCGCATTCGCCTCGACGATGATATCGTACCGCTGTCCCATATTGACCAGCACGCTGTCCGTCTCGTACGGCACAATCGGCACTAGGTCGGCCGCTATCACCGTCATTCTGTGCCCGTCAATGCTGAACTGGAACCACGCCTCGGTGGCGATGTTGATGATCCGCAGGCGGTACTTCTTGCCTGCCTCAAAGGCAAGTTCGAACTTCTTGCCCTCATTGAGGCAGTTTGGATCGCGCTCGTTCGCAGGAGCATCCGTGCAATTTCCCGTGTTCAAGCCGTTGACCAGACCGGTGAGCGCGCCATCAAATGTGACGTTGAAAGTGGCGACAGTGGCCCAGATGTCAAATTCCGTCTCGTGGCCCCAGTCTGTCATGAAGACGCTCCCGAGGTCCTCATCGTAGTCAGCCGTTGCCGGGCCGTTGATGACTAGGGGCCCATGCAACCCCATGCTGTACTGCACACTGAAGTGGCTGTGCCACATCGAGGTGCCGTACTGGCTGGCGTGGAACTTGTACGTCATGCTTTCTCCGGGGGGTATGGGGCATTGGGTGACGCCGGGGGTCCCGTCGTACTGATTGTTGTTCAGCTGGCGTATGCCATGGAAATGGATGGCCGTGCCATTGGTTGCGATGTTGTTGGTCACGTGCACGACAACGTCGTCACCCCAGTCCGCTGTGATTGCTGGGCCGGGCATGGTCCCGTTGGCGACCATGCATTTCCGCTTGTACCCGTCTGGCGCGCAGTCAATCTCCTCGACATTGAGCCAGTACTCAACTGTGCGGCCCGTGTGGAAGATGGTGTCATAGTAGTTGGTATTGATGTCGTATTGGCCCCAGCATTTGCGGGATGTCGGGGTGTTCTTGCATCCAGGGGTCAGACCGCTGGTATCGCGGCCGGTAAGGGCTGCGGATCTGCTGGCTGGGTTGGCGGTACGGCCGATGGAGAAGGCTGAAGCGCCTGCTGCTGCGAGGGCCAGCAGGGAGAGGAAAGAAAGTGTCATGGTTACGATTCGCGAGTGACAGTGGCTTGATGAGGGGGAGTTTGGTGTTTGGGCGTCATTGCTTCCTTTAAGTCTCATGGCATGTTGCCTGGCGTATTTCCGTATCCCCGAAATTGGGATATGGAGTGATGATGATGTTGAGTCGGAGTTCTTCCAGGTTTCCATGCCAATTCTCCCCTTCCTTCCCGATCTCACGGGGTTCGGCAGCCTTTGCTTCAAGGCGATTATTGCGCTTTAGGTATAGCTGAAGCTCTAATTTTACCTAGACAGGAATGGTGCAAGGATGAGTGGCGCGGGGACTGATGACATGACGATTCCTGACCGACGTAGGAGGCTCAAGAAGCTCCTCCGACAAGCCATCGTGGCCGCAAGCTGGGAACGCGAAAGCACGATACCGGTTGGCTGTCTACGCGACCGTTGAATATCTCGTCAGCATCACGGTCTTGGTGCCTGGTTCCTGGTTCCGGCGTGGGACAGGGTCACCTTGGGCCTCGGGAAGGGACTTAGATCTAGCGTGACACTGATCTGGGGTCGCCGTTCTTCCAGAGTTGCGGGCTGCCACGTGTGGGTGGGTCTCGGGGATCCATGGATGCAGTTCGGGGATCAGCCAACCAGCATATTCCCGTCGGGAAGGCTAAAGGGTCCGTATTACAGGAGTGTAGAATCGTCTACAGGTCCTTCTGTCTCTGTCAGCCTGAAGTCCGAGGAGTGAGACCCTTCTATCTCTGTCTGCCTGAAGTCCGACTAGTGAGAACCGGGGAACGCGAGTTCGAGCTGCGGACTACACAACCAACCACATGCATTTAGAACCTCACAGGTGTTGAGCCTGGAGAGTCTTTATAGTCTTTTCAGGTGCCGAGCCATCATACATGAAAAGTGAAGAGTAAACATCCTACCTACAACTTCTACGCCCAGCCCAGCAAGCCAGCACACCGGCGCAATCATGACGACCAACGCCATCAACGGTACCAACGGTACCAAGCACGTGAATGAGACCTCTTCCCCCTCCACCGACATCCTCACTCTGGCGCTGGACATTGTCGACAATGCGGCCAACATCAAGACGCTGCTCGCTTCCCAGGGTCTCCCCTCGCCAAGCTTTGAGCCCGACTCGGCGGAGATCCCGGACACGCCGGAACAAGCCGCCCTGCGCAGCCGCCTCGTGGCATCGCTCGACGATCTGAAGCTGCTCGTCGTCGGGCCGCGCCGCACAGTGCGCAGCCTCATCTGTTTCAGCAACGACCTGGCTGCCTTCCAGGTCGCGTTCGAATTTGGCTTCTTCACCATTGTGCCCGAGTCGGAAGATGGCATCGCCGTGGAAAAAATCGCCCGCCAGGCGGGCATGGATGCAAGTCGCGCGCGCCAGGTGCTGAGGCTGCTGTGCACGCATCGCGTCTTCAGGGAGGTCAAGGAAGGGTGGTTCGCGCACACGGCCATGAGCGCCGTCTTCAAACGGGACGAGAACCTGAGGGCTGCCGGGCATTTTGGGATGGACGAGATCTTCAAGGCCGCCTCTTCGACCTCCGACACCATCAAGGCGTCGCCTCACAAATCCGACGTCGAGCATTCGCCCTTCAGGACGCGCCTTGGCGCCTCCATGTTTGAGTACTACGAGCAGCACCCGGATCACGCTGCTCGGTTCGCCAAGGCCATGGCCGGTGTTGCGGGTGGTACGTAAATCTCGAATTCCCTCTTTTTCACGTTAGATCATCAGTGACTAATGAAACAAAACAGTCGACCGTAAACCAAGCGCACTCGCTGACCTGTTCCCGTGGGACACCCTCAATGGCACCGTCGTCGACGTGGGCGGCGGCAGCGGGCACATCGCCATCGCCCTCGCGCACCGCTTCCCACACCTCAACTTCCTCGTGCAGGACGGCGTGCCTGACATGCTTGTCCAGGGCCGGCGCCTCCTCGAGGCCGAGGACCCTGCCGTGGCCGGCCGCATCGAGCTGCTGGAGCAGGACTTCTTCAAGCCGCAGCCGCCGCCCGAACGCCTCACCACTCGCGGTCCCGTAGCCGGCTTCTTCCTCCGCCACGTCTTCCATAACTGGAGCGACGCCGACTCTGTGCGCATCGCCCGCGCGCTAGTGCCCGCCCTCGAGGCCGCCGCCCCAGAGACCCCGCTCATCATCAGTGACAGGGTGCTCCCCAGCCTGGGGAGCGGAGTGCCGCTGCACGAGGAGCGCGGCATGCGTCAGATGGACGTGATGATGATGGTGGAGCTGGGAGCTAAGGAGCGAACCAAAGTGGAGTGGGAGGCCTTGTTCAAGGCGGCAGATGAGAGGCTGGTGGTGAAGAAGGTGCACGGACAAGGAGCGTCCAGCATCGTGGAGGTGGTGCTTAGGAAGTGAGGGAGGTCATATTAACCGGAGTGAGGATACTGTAAAACCCCGGAGTAGTGTTTTCTGGGGATAGTGATATATTCCATACAGTGATAGTCTTCGCCAGACCGTCCAATTTTGTATTGGCTATGACAATTTTGTATGAGCTGGTGGTCCGTGGCACATGTACTCCCCTAGGATCTTGCTGTTTTCGGGTCACTGGCCTACAAATCACACACACGTGACTCTTTATACAGTGATACTCTCTGGAGCGATACAACCCCTCCGAAAAAAACATATCACTATAACGGGGTTTTACTTTACATTGGAATATCATTCCGAACGTAAGGCTTTATTCTGTGATCTTACACCATATGGCGGTCCGAAGATTGATATTCATCTACATTTGACAGCCAAACTTTTCAGAAAGAAAGCCGAAAAATCCTTGCTTGCAAAATATAAACCTCTGTCATTACAGTCCAAAGGAAGTGAAGTGAGATTGCCATAATCCCGAGAAGCACCATCTGCAGCAGGAGGGAAGACCGTTGGATCAATCCAGACACCGCTCTTGTAAAAACCATGTCTTCTCAAGCTACTTCTGTTAGTCTGTCCGAACTCTCCGAAACCCAATTCTTAGAGGAACCCACCTGTGGAGACTCATTTCAGCCGGACAGCTCGTCCTCTCCTGATATTGTTACCCCACTTTATCTCAAGCACTTGATCATCTCTAGTATGACATGAATAAGTACATGCTTGTGATGAATTAACTAAAATGTGAACAGAGACCACCATTCGTACTATCGGTATAATGCATCCCTTTTCAGCTGCTCCTGTAACCTCCTCTTCTCTAACATATCCTATAAACGTTTGACATGCTCCAAGCCCCGTTCGCCGTTGACTAACTTGTCGACATACCACCCAGGGAAGGCCCAGGTAATGAATTGCACAAGTGAAGCAAGCGCCCCACGCCAGATCGGGCCCCTGGCGCCGCCGAGAATGTCCTTGACCAGCTTAGCGGCAAGCACGTCGACTTTCATAGCTTTGCCTTGGTGGTCCATTCGCTCCTTGTATGCCGCGTCTGAAACGTTGTAATAGTACGACGTCTCGGGCAGCTTCATCTGACCACCAGGCTTGCCGAACATGGGCGTGTCGACAGACCCGCACATGACTGTCACAACGCGCACGCCCAGCGGTTCCATCTCGAGCCGCAAGGTTTCCGAGAGGCGCGCCTGGGCTGCTTTGGAGCTGGCGAAGACGCCTGGCCGCCGGATTAGCTTTTCACCGACTACTTACAGGTTTAGGTGGGGAGTTGAAGCTTACCCGCCCACGCCATAGACAGGACAGCGTCAATGGAGCTTTGGTTGACGACAAGTCCCTTAGCCTCAATCAGCAAGGGGGCAAACGCCTGGACCAAGGCGAGAGGGCCCCAGACGTTGACGTCGTATAGCTTCTTGGCCTCGGTGATGTCGACATCCAGCAGCGGGGTTTGGAGCTCGACTCCGGCGTTGTTGACTAGCACATCGAGCTTCCCGCCCGTGCGCTTGGTGACCGTGTCCTTGCACTGCGAGATGGTCTGCGGAACGGTGACATCTAGCTCGAGGATGTCCACGTTGCTTAGCGCCGAGAGGTCGGCAGCCTTGGACGGATCGCGGGCTGTAGCGAACACGTGGAAGCCCCGCTCGAGAAAGACCTTGGTCATTGCCCAGCCGATGCCGCCGGTGCTGCAGCCGGTAATCAGGACTGTTTTCTTCTGTATTGTTGCCATGGTGTCGTTGTTAGTATGAGACAGCGATGAGACTGATGCGGATCTGACAGTAATATTAAGCGGACGTTTCGGCCTTTGTCTTACAGTCCCGCTCGAACGGACTGGACACGCACGAACCGGGGTTATACAGTAGAGAATGTAAAAACCCTTGTTTGACGCACGGTCGCGTCTAGTCCGTTCAGGGGGGGCGCCCTGCAGGCCAGGGGGTTGAGGATCTGTACAGCCGGCGACGTCACGTACCTGAACTTCAGTCCCCGAAGTAGGCTCAGCTATCCGCCCGGACTTTGCGCGTCAATTGCCTAGCTGCTTTTCTGCACCAGAGCTTCTCCGACTTGGCCTACAGGTACGGACTTCGGGGACTCGGACTGCTCAGACCTGCATGCGATCCTTACACCCAAGTTAGCACCAGCACTTTGCAAAATCTCGTGACTTTGACTTCCCCGAAGTGACGTTCGCTCCTAGGCAGACATGCTTGGACTCGTGGAAGGTTGAGTAAGACAGATCCGTTCCACGATAGGTACCTATGGCGCACGCCATAGAGTCCGTTGGGCGGATACAAAAGCATCAGAAGGTTGCTAAGAAAGGAGCACTACACAGTATCAAACTCCAGTCGCTACTCGTTACCCAGAATTAGGAACAAAATCCCAATTTCGAAGATGCTCCTCAACCCAGCCCGTCTTGCCATTGCGGCCATGTCCGCTCTGGCTTTTATCGCACAACCCGCCTTTGGACAGAACATCACACGGTTCAAGCCGCCTGCGCTTATCCCATTTGTCCACATCGACCTATTCGTTGAGGCCTCGACATATGTGAACGCCACTAATGGAATCCAAACTGGGCAGGCTAATAATCAAGGCGGTAAGCCACGTCTCTCTCGGCTTCGCAATTGGATCGTTAGACTGACTAAATTCAAGGCAACTTTACCGGCGCCATAAGCGGGAAAGTTCTGAAACTCGGGACGGAATTTGAGACATTTCCCCTAGCTGCTAATGGTACGGAAAGCGTAAGTAGCTCCAATGCCACATCTCCTTCCTTACGTACCTCATGAGCATACGCTAATCATGCCGCGGACTGTAGACTTACGACAACATCTTCACATTAAATACTACCGATGGAACACCACTCCTTCTGAGCGTCAGCGGACACATCCATTACACTCCGCCCAAGCTACTTGGCTTCGCCCGTATGGAGTTCTCGACCAGTTCTCCAAAGTACCAATATCTAAGTTATGGTGACTATGTCGCCGAATTTGAGGCCACTTTCCCCTCGGGCAGAGTCTCTGTGGATGTGTTCGAGTTGAAAAGCGCCGGGCACTATTAGAGGTTCGATCCTAGGTTAGCTACAGTCTCCCGTCCCCCCACCCCCCCTCTTTTGTACGGCCTGGCCACGTCTGTGCACATCTGTGCACATCTGTGCGCATCTGTGCGTTGAATGTTCAGGAACCACGGCAGATGTTGTATATATATTCTAGAGCAATCAAAAGTACAGATGCCTAAGCATCTAATATGACGATTATCACCCCCAACCGACACCTCTCTTCAGTCTCTTATGATGAACGGCTTCAACCTTCAAGTCTGCATCAATGCACAGCCCTTAAAGGTTATTGACTACAGAACGTGACAGCAAATTGCAAAGGTGAATGTTTGTGGATTTGCGATTGTCAGGCCGTGATAAGGCAACCCTTACGGCCATGGCATTTTAGGATGTTGAATGTGAAGCAGTTCTGGCAAGTGCATAGCTACAAAAGCCTGCCTTACTACGCCTTAACTTTGCTCTACAACTTCTACACTCTTCTGTATATCTTGCCTCCAATAATTGTACTCTTTCTTTTAAACCGTGACCCACTCATGATTCCCTTCTTATACTTCGGTCTCAAAGCCTTGAAACAAGCCTCAGCTGACTACTGGGCTAAGAAACTATTTCGAGAAATCCAGGACCAGAAACGTAACTAGGAGGCTGTTCCTGTTACTACAATATGAACCTGGAGGCCGCGGTGCTACGACCTCTTTAACTCCAAGCGCTTCGCTTTCAAAAGGACTGGATCAAGCACGTAATTCGTTACAGTTATCGTACCCTGGCCAAGCAGATCTTAACCCAGGACTATAAGCTTCGATATACTTCTAGCAACACATACAACCTGGATGACACAACGCGACTTCGCCTCCTAAGCAGAATCTGGAGGGTGAGGTAGGCAAGGACTCAGGAGCGCGACTCGTTGATGGAGTGGCTGCATGGTTCAAAGGAGGGTCAGCAAGAGTGATTGTATTTCAACGTTGGTCGGTGATCATCAGGAGTGTTTGCTTCAAATAGTCCATTCGACAACAACCTAGAAGAAAAGACATTGATTCATTGAGCTGCGAGTTCCGTAGTTACATGTGTTGCGTAGAGTGCCAGCTACATTCCGTCATCGACCAAAGTCCTCCTACTTTGCACTCTTTCCAAACTTTCTACGCCGCCGCGGCAAGCAGCGCCGCCTTGGACTCTCCAAGCACATCGTACGAGAACACGTATTCGTTAATCTCGTCGGTGGAATCAAACCTCTGGCCATCAGGAAGGTACGCGGCGGCAGCATCGCGGACACTCTGCGACGCCGGAGGGTTGGTGCCGGAAAGAATCTGCAGAGCTGAGCCTCTGTTGCGCCTGACCTGCTCAAACAGTTGCAGCCGATCCTCTAGAGCCCCTGTATCATGGAGCTGGTCAAACAGAACACTAAGGGCTCCGCCGTCCTCAATGGCCTGTCCACCACCTTGACCCTGGACTGTTTCTAGAGTTAGCAAGCGCCCTTTCGGACCTTAACTGGCATGGGAAACCCGCTTACAGGTGAGCATGGGGTGGGCTGCGTCGCCAATCAGGAGAAGGCGGTCCTTGTGCCATTTGGGAATCGGCCCTCTGGCGACCAGTTTCCAGAACTTCACGTCTCTGGCTTTTCTGCGTCATGTGTAAGTACGTCATGTGCATCAGTCGCGGTCAAACTCACTTGAACGTAGGTTGCAGAGCCGGGTCAAAATGCTTCTTAGCATATTCCGCCGGCAGGCTTGACTCCACCATCGCTCTGAAATCTACACTCAGCATTAGTGATGGATCACTCGCCGATTTACAAGATGGGCTCATCCATACCTTCTCCGACGTGGGAGGTGTCGAATTCCCGTGAGAGGTACAAGAAGTTCTGCACCTCGTTGCTAAATCCCAAGATGGTCAGTAGGCCGCCAGGCATTTGTGAAGGGACGACACGACGTACTTTCGACACGGGTACCACACCAAGCCAGCGGCACCGCCGGCTGCCGTGAAGTACCTCGTGGACGAGTCTTGAATCATGTGCGCGGTCTCTGGGTCGGAAAGGAACTCCTCTCGCGGCACCAGCCACCGCATACACGCCCAACCCGTATCTCCAACCTGGACGACCCCGTCGCCGATGACGTGCTTCACAGCTTTCGAATGCACGCCATCGGCGGCAATAATGAGATCGCCCTGCAGGACCTCGCCGCTTTCGGTCGTGACCGTGCCATTCTCAGCGTCCTGGTGCATGCGTGTTAGTAGCATCCCAGCCAAGTCCGACTCGCAGCCTGTCTCACGTGCTTACATAGTTGACAACCTTGGACCCCACCTGGACGTCACAGGGGCGTCCGGCGCCCTCCGTTTGAGTAGCAAGCAGTCTCAGCTGGTTGTGGAGGTCTTCTCGATGGACGGCGTACATGGGCTGGCCATATGTCGATTCGCAGTCCTTGTAGTAGTTGGGAATCAACGTCTGCATGTTCGTGCCGTCGATCAGGGTGCCCCTGCGTATGGCAACCATGCCGGACTGCTCCGGGACATAGTCCCACGACTGGAGGACCCGCGAGGCATTGGGCTTGATCGTGATGGCCGCGCCCACTTCGTGCACCAGCGATGATTGCTCGAGAATCTAGGCGCCATTGTCAGAAGGGAGCGTTAACTATAGGGGCGGAGAAGAGAAATGCCAACCGTCACTTTATGGCCTGCCCTGCGCAGACCAACTCCAGCACTGAGGCCGGCGATCCCGGCGCCCACGATGATGATGTTCATGGCTATGGCTAGTTATGAAAAGAGGAGGCTATTCTGTAGTGATGAGTGAAGTTGCTTGTCGATGACCATGGTCCCAAACACGCTCTGGCTCCACATATAGACCTGAGGGCATTGCGATGAATGTCTCTCCAATTCTAAGTATCAGCTCTCTGTCATGCCACTTTTCTTGCTCGAGCTGATTTCGGCTGCCGTGTTCCTCGGATCAGCCTTCATGATGCGACGGTGGCCTCATGTCCCCGCTGCAATCTCATGGACTTCGCGGGCTTACGTGGGTTTCGGGGACGTGTGTAAGACGGGCACCATCTACCCTCTGTTCGGGATCTTCTAGATCGCTTTGGAGTAATTGGTCAATCTCGCCATCTCCCCCCGTGTTCGGGAACGACCGTTGCCAGGGACAAGGACGCATGAGGATTTGTTTCGCGGTGATCGATTACAGCGTTATGGCGTCAAGACACGTTCGACGACCTAGCGCGGGAATCAAGCCACGAGAGTCAGCCGCAAAAGCGGGACGATCTACTGCAGAAATTAACGCCTTGCGGTACCGTGCTTTGAGCAGTCTCAGTTCAGCCTTTCAAGGTTGGTAAAAGCCAGTCCAGAAAAGGGCTTCCTCCATCCTAACTCCACCTATTCCACCTGTGGCTTCACATCTGCGCTAGTTCCCCGGATGCGTCTTAACACTGTACTAATTGCTGTTCCTGCGCCGGGAATGTCGGCGATGGTCGCGCTGGAGGTACCCAGGGGAAACGGGAAAATCTAACAGAACGAACGGGCCGTGAAAGATCACGCGCTGTCAACCACCCAAGGACTCGCTTTTAGATCTATTCACGCCACAAGTTGATAGCCTCGGCCAGTCCTCACGCAATTCCAACATTAAATGGGAAATGAGGTGTGTCCGGCGGGAGAAATGGACGAGTGGCAAATCGGGCAAAGGATTCCCGAACTGCGGCGCGGTCATGCAAGGCCATGTAATCCTGTAGGGACTAGGTCGAGGATGGGGTGATGCTAACGTTTTAAGTTCCGCGGATCGTATAGAAGACCTTGTATTGGTGTATACAGGCAAAGTAGCTGCAGGGTCCCGAGGGTCGTGGAAGAGGTGCGGAGGCCGTGAGGAGGCTGACAGCCCGGGCCCTAAGCGAGGTCATGTGATTATAGCAAGGAATAAGGGCCACGTGACATCGTGACGTGTGGAGAGTTGTATCACGATAGGGGTCGCGTTACGGCCGACTGTCCTAATAGTGACACCAGTGGCCGTATACCTACCCTAAAGGTGAAGGTTTTCGCTACCGCATACCCGCCACCTCTCTCGGTCAGCCGTTCACACCGTTTGGGGCGGCAAACATGTTGTTTATAACGTCGTGCAGCTTGCGTGGAGGTTAACAAGTCGTATATCAACCTAGGGAGTACATAGGTAGAATACGCCTAATAGTTGCAATTATCATGCGGGAGAGGGGCCAGGTGTGTTGGATATATCACCACACACAGGCTTTCATCCAACTGTTAGCGGAGAATAGCTCGGCCGTGTACGGGTTCCCTTTTAAATTGGGGAGGGATAATCGTATACCTCCTAATCACTCCACGTACACCTTCTTTTCATGGTTTTCTGTGGACTCTACGGTTTTAGGGGTGAGCTGGCAATAAAGCCTAGAAATGGGCCACTTGGTAAAGGCGTCAGCAGTGGCCCAAAGATAGGCCATTTCATGAGATACCCCAGAAACGGGCCATCCTACGAAATTTCACAGAACTGGGTCACTCATGCAGGATAGCCATAGAAGCTAGCTCGAGTTTCTAGTATTGATAGAATATGAAACGCCAAAATATAGGGGACTACTAATCGTACACCCCCTTTTCACTCCATGTACACCCCCTCCTCTTGGCGCTTCACCACCTTCTAATTGGCTCGGAAAGCCCGGAGCTTCCTCCGGGCATTCACCCTTACGTCTCTCCACACGTGATGCTATACGCGAGGCTGTACGTGATGCTATGCACGAGGCCGTACGTGAGCTCGTATGTAAGGCCGTACGTGATGCTATATATAAGGCCGTACGTGAGCTCGTACGTGAGGCCGTACGTAATGCTATACACAAGGCTGTACGTGATGCTATACACGAGGCCGTACGTGAGCTCGTACGTGAGCTCGTACGTGAGGCTATACATGAGCTCGTACGTGAGCTTGTACGTGAGCTCGTACGTAAGGCTATACAAATTGGCATGATGTAATTGCTTGTGTTGTACATGGTCGCATTTGGAGAGAGCATTCGGAATTAGTGAGCGAGTTACGCGAGCGAATCGGAGGCTACGGAGCAGCCCTCCGAGCCAATCAGAAAGTGGTGAAGTAATAGGGGGGGGGAGGGGGTGTACGTGTAGTGAAAAGGGGGTGTACGTCTAGGAATTAGGGGGTGTACGATTAGTAGTCCCCAAAATATAACACCACCCTATCATCCATCCTTCTTTGATTATTTCTTCTCTATTTTCTGTGTCTACTCTCCATTCTTAATTTCTCTGCCTCTATTCATTCGATACAGTGCTGTTTCCATTTTACAACTGTATAGCAGCTCAGCCACGTGATAATACTAAACAACTACAACGGTCTCAATATCTGCAATTTCTAACCAGTCCAACAAAGCATGATGTGCAGCTTCGATGGCTGATCTGTCGAAATTCCAAACTCCGTCTATTGGTATTGTGATTGCCCTGGCCCTAGCATCATCTACAACTCCCAATACTATACCAACACGAGTATAAACGCGCATTGAAGAGAGAGCCGGATCCTGTTCCAATCCCGCTGGGTTGATGGCAATACCCGACCCAGAAAACGGAGTTAGCGCTAAACATTGAAGAGTACCATCCACGACTTCATAATGAGGCATACACCACACTTGATCGAGCGAAGATCTTTCTGAATAGACGTCTGGATCAAACCACCCAATGTGTTTTCCGCTGTTCAGATCATGAACTGGTGTTCTATCAAATATCAGACTGTCCGTCCTTCCTGGCCCACACTTGCCAACCATCATGCGTCCTTTGAGAACAAGTGCACCTGAGTGAACTTCACCGAAAGGATTCAGTACACTACGTGGCCTAGTCCAGCAGCCCAAAATGCCGCAAATCAAACCATCGCTTCGGAAACTCCCATAATCAAGCTACGGTTGTGACAAGTAGCCTCGCATCGATTGCATCTGGAGAAAATTGGTGTCGATGCTTGCCCAAGACCATGAAGGAGCCCGGAACTCGGGGGGCCTGGAGGTTTGCCAAACACAAGAAGAGTCTGGACGGACCGGAACGGACCCCGCAAGATGCTCACGAAGCTAGTGACGCCAGAGTCCAGCGAGATAATCTGTTTGCCAGTGCTGCGAGAACTCTTTTGCAATTTCACCAAGTGCAGGTAGTTTATCTTTGCTGCATGTCAATTTTCGACGTGCAAATTTTTTTACAATCTCTGCCCACTGGTCAGACAGAACCTTTTCCATTTTGGAACCCTGGTGCGTGAGCGACACTCTCGGGAAGCCTTCCGGAACACATTCACAGCCTTGAAAACTCGGACACCGCCAGGAGGCCTCCCATGGTCGTAGTTGAGAGACCTAAAGGATAAAATCTGTTCCTGTAATACCCATCCTCTCTGATGTAAAGGGAGACGCGAATCTTCGAACCTCCCCCGTCTCATGCTGGACTCAAACGGAAGATGCTCTGTCGGCATGCTTCCCCCAAGCTTATGACGACCTTGTGCTTGAATATAGCTTGGGCTCTGAGCACGGCTAGTAAAAAGAGAGATTATTTCGTCGAACACCGGACTTCGGCACAGCCTCTTTTCTCTGCTGTTGTGCGACACGAAGCATCCGCCATCATCGCTATCAGCCCCCTCTGCGAAAATCGTTATGCTGGCATCATGATAGATCCGTCCCATCTTTGCAGACTCTCGGTTCCAGTCTTCCCGGAATCCTGGCCAATACAAAGGCTGTCGATCCAGAGATACTTCATCCCTATATTTCGAGTGATAGTCACTGCGGCCTGAAACGTCCTTGGCATAGCTGAGAATACGATGGATGCCATACGATCTTCCAGTGAAGTGGTTTCAGTCTTGAAATGCTGGCTCCTCCCCCAACAGTGGCTTAGGCAAACGTAATCCTCAAAGGTATTTGCCGGTGGACAGATGAGTTTGGGATTCGTCTCGTTGTTTTCAACAGAAATGACACGAGTCGGAAGGCGACCTTTGTTCGCTGCCCTTCGTTTTCGACATATTTCGTGCTCTTCATCACATGATCTCATCCATTCTTTGATCAGCCCTGTGACGAAAGGACTCCCAGTACTATTATCTGACGTTATGTCGCGCATTTGTAGGATCTAGATTAGTTTCTCTAAGAACGATAACCATCAGTTGCGTCGAGATTGCGGTGGAAGATAAGCTCTACTCACCGTTAAGCTGGAGACGAGGATTAGATCATGAGAGATTCTTCTAGTAACAGTCACAGGCTCCGTCCAGCGCACGGCTACATCAATGCAACGGCTTTCTGCTTCGTCAATTCGCCGGTTTCGAAAAGTGATCGATATGAGAACAGGTCCTTCTGGATTTTCGATGTGACCGCTCACACTCGGGTTGCAGCAACCTAGGATCAGCAACTCATACGGTTCACCTGCGTGCACACCACCCTCCTAGGTATCCCTTACTCTCCCTTTCTCTTCCTTACGGAGTTGTGGTGCTTCCTTGCTGTCAAGGGAAGGGAGCGCCTTCCTTGCTGTCAATGGAACGACCAAGGGAGCGCCCTAAGGGGTAGTTCATCTCGTTCCTCTATATAGCCCGCCTTTACGGCATCTACAATACGACAGAGTTCACATCAATTTCAACCTGAGTCTCACCATGTCCTCCTCAAAATATGACATGTCTTTAACACTCACTCCAAAAGCGGCAGTGTTCGCGTTTTCCGGATCGCTGAACTCGTCGAAAAGGTCCGAACTGTATTCCCATTGGGGATCCACGGCGTCGGGGTTGCGCATTGCTTGCAAAAAAAATAAGTAGCACATATCGCATTGTTCCTCTTCCGCAGATATTGTAATATGATCCAAAGAGTCTGAATGACTGTAGAATATACGTGTGACGAATCCATTGTCAGACTTAAATTGCTCAGGTCCGTGATAAGGCTGTTGGGGATTGATGGCGGAGCACGCAGCACACAGGTGAGTTTCCATGCTTTGAATCCCGGATAGAGCTCTCTGAGCAAATCGTAATGTCCTTGACTTAACGTAAGAAAGGTTTGGAGTATAACTACTGTTTCAGGTTACAGGTTTTGTTCGCACTTTCAGCCTGATCACTGCCGTGGCTGGCGCACCTCAGCTTCTCGTTGAGTCAGCAATGGACATTACTTTTTCCATGGCATTACCTGGCTTCCTAAAGTCGTGGAAAGAGCGCCACCCACGGCTGAAGATGCTTGTAGATTGAGAATGGCATTTTAGTGAAGATTATTTTGCCAGTGGTACTATTTAGAAGGGACAGCTAGCTTGTGCGGTCTTGGGCCTCTCCCTCGAAAGCCTCGTCTAAGGGGCATCACTATATAAGAGAATTGACTGTGTTAGTGGGTGGTGATCGATCAAATTGCTACTTCTCCTAGAAAGGCGCGACTAATCATATACTAACAATAATAAGCGAAGACGATTAGGACTCTAACCAAAGTTGTGCATTCTTTTGAGATGAAAAGGTACCAGAGCTCTATCTGAAAAACAAAAAAGGTACTCCAACGCCGTCTATAAACAAAAAGTAACAATACAAAAATCTAATACCCATCCAATATCCTAATTCGAGCCAAAATATGCAAAAGCCTTCTCCATTTGCTCTTGGAGAAGATGGACATGTCCAGGCATGGGCAGCTCAAAATGATCTCCAGCCACAGACATGGCCAGGACCTCTCCGCCGGTATACTTATCCCAGCCGTTAGGGCCCAGGTGCTCGCCCTTGTCCGGGACAAGGCACGCAAACGTGCCCAGTTTGGGATCCTCCATGAAGCCCGGATAAGGCTTGGTAGGTACACCCTGTCCCTCCAGCTCCTTCAGTAGCGCAGGCTTGTCTGACACTCGGTTGACCAGCCCCTTCTCGGCCCAGATGACAGCCGTCTTAGCAGGCCGCTCTGCAGCGGTCATCGGGGCTGGAGTGTACTCGTTCATAGCGACAAAGAAGGCGCGGAAGTGGTCGCGGCTGGAGCCGATCGTGCTCCATAGGCCGTCCCTGTTGACGGCGGTCTCGAAGACGGCGTAGCTGAACTCGTCCTCAGCGAGCAGCGTCTGCTGGTCCTTGCGCCGCGACCGCGGGCAGCACATGTCGACCAGTAGAAGGCCATCGACCTTGCGCCCGACGGCGGCCAGCTGGCGCGAAACCTCGAAGGCGACGAGGCAGCCGGCCGAGTAGCCGCCGATCTGGAAGGGCCCCGTGTCGTGCTTCTTGATCAGGGCGTCGACGATAAGCTTGGCTGCGCCCTCGATGCCGACCTCGCTGGTCATGCGGGACGGGCAGCGGAAGTAGGGCGAGTCGATGCCGTAGACAGCCTGCTTGGACTTGAAGGGCCGCAAGTGGAGGTATGTCGCGACGGTGCCGGTGCCGTCGGCTATCATGTACAGCGGGGTCTTGCTGGCGTTCGGGCGGCCCTGCAGCAGCGTGATTCTGACGCTGGGAGGCGGCGACAGGTCGATTTCCGCCTCCAGCGCTGGAGATGGCAGCTCTTTTTCGACATGAACCAGGCTTGAGGACATGCTAGAGACCGAATCGTCTGGAGTCAGAGACAGGGAATCGTGATCTTCGCTGGAAGGCGTCGCGCTGCCATCGTCCGCTGGGGCCTCGGCAGCCTGCCCGCCAAACTCGCGACGGAGGTCGCCGATTGTGGGATACTCGAAGACAAACCCGGCGGGTAGGTCCACGCCCAACTCCTTGAGGGCGGCAACGACCTCGATGGCCATAATTGAGTCGACGCCGACGTCGGCTACCAACGTGTCGTCGGTGAACTCGGAAGGGTCGCTTCCAGTCGCCGTGGCGAGGGTGTCCGCGATAATCTGGAATTCTCCTGCATCTGGAGTCTTGTCGCCATCCTGTGCCTTGCTCGCCCGCTGTTCCCCTGGCGCCGCGGCCAAAGGAGCAGACAGGTCATCATGGTTCTTGACTTCCTTTGCAGCCGGCTTGTGGGCTCGCGGGGCGGCAGTCTGATGCTGGGGAACTGTTTGCCCGCCGAGGATGTGGCGCCAGACGGCCGTCTTGAGCTCTTGGTAGCGCAGGTCGACAGCCTGCATGACAATTTTGGACGTCTCCGGGTCGAAGACGTAAGCGGCACAGAAAGCCGTGTCCTTTTCCCACCGCGAGATGCGCGTATATGTCAGGTATTGCTTTCCAGGCTCGACGGCGGCGTACTGCTCGACGCTCTCGTAGCCCATGACAACAAAGGTCGACTGAGGCGGTTTGCTCGGGTTTCCGTTCACCATGAAACCCGCCAGGTGCAACAGACCCTCGCCCCAGTACGGCGAGGACGTGAAGCGGGTGCCCACGGGGTCCGGCGGCAGCACAACCGTCGCGGCAGCTTCTTGGAAGTCGTTGGCTATGTATGCCTCCTGGACGGCCCGGAAGTCAGAGGAGAACTCGACAGCGTTGGCGAAGAGCGCGTAGAAGACGCCGGGCTGCATCCTGTGGCCCGAGCCCTCCTTGCAAAGCCGGATCTGCTCTTCCATCTTGACCTTGATGAAGAATGACACACGGTCCAAGTCGGCCTGGACCTTTTCGGGGTTGCGATACTTGACTCTTATCGACCCGAGATCGTGGGATTCACCGCCTTTCGAAGTGGCCTTGAACGTGACCGAGACAGTGTCGGCAGACGCACTCTCCATAGTGGCCGTGGAGAGCAGCGTCCCGTCGATGCCGACAAGATCCCGAGTCAGGGGGGCGAGGAGCTCGGGGTCGTGGAAAGTCAGGTGGGTCGCCGTGACGTCCTTCCTACCGCTGTACTCGAGAGTATACTTGGCCACTGCAGCGGCGGCGTCGCTGAAGACGCTCCCCGAAGCAAGCCCGATCTGTTGCATCTTATGGCCATCTATAAGGCCCAGGAAGCCGTGTTCCGAGATAGTGGCTCGGAACGTAACCTGAACCTTGGGGGAGAGGGTTTTCTCTACGAGGTACTGCGCGGTCGTGCCGTGGAAGGGCTCAGGTAGGGCTGCAGCCTGGGTCGCATCAGTGACCTGCGCGCGGTTCTTGTCGGTGTGGGTGATCCAGTAGTCCTTCATGTCCCACGCATAGGTCGGAAGCGGCAACAGCTCGAGGTTGCTCTCGTAGGGTGCGTGCAGTTGTAGCCAGTCCACATCGGCGCCGCCCGTGTGCGCCGCGGCGAGGGTCTTGGAAATGGAAGCCCAATTGCTGGATTTTGCGTCGATGGTGTAGTTGACCTTTGCAGGCGGCGGAGAAAGCGTGGCCCGCACGAACGAGCTGCAAACCGGCCCGGGGCCGAGTTCGAGCCAGAACGGGTTTTTGAGCGCCGACTTGACAGCGTTGAGGCCGCCGCAGAAGTCGACCGCCTGGCGCGTCTGCATGCCTAGGTAGCCCTCGTTGAAGACGCCCGGCCCGTCGACCACGGATGCGAGCATTGTAGACGCCACGGGAATCTTGGGCGCCTCAAAGGTTACGCCGCTTGCGAGGGCCTTGTAGTCGTGCAGGATGGCATCCATCTGGGACGAGTGGAATGCGAACGGGACGGATAGCATCGTGGTACGCGTCTTTGCGTCCTGAGCCGTTATGGCTGCTTGCATCTGTGCCAAGTCCTCCGTCGTCCCGCTGATGACGGTAGCGCTGGGGCTGTTGATACAGGCGACGCCACAGGAAGAGTTTTTGAACTGGGCAAGACGGTCTCGCACGGTTGCTACTGGAGCTGAGACGGAGAGCATGGCACGGGAGTTAGGCTCGCATTGCTCCAGGAGCAGGCGGGCGCGGTGGCCGACGAGGTACAGGGTGTCGGCCAGCGATAGGACGCCCGCAGCGTGCAGGGCGGCGTACTCTCCCAGACTGTGGCCCATGACCATGGCGGGCACTATGCCGGTGGACCGCCAGAAGGCTGTCAGGGCAATCTCCAGCGTTACGACGGCGAGCTGGATCTGCGCCGCGTCCTTGGTCGACACATCGCTGGCGCTGTCGGTGATGATATCCAGGAAAGGCGGGAACTTGTCGGAGTCACAGATCCCAACGCACATGTCGACCGTCCTGCGGAAGACGGGGCTTGTGCGGTACAGCTCGGCGCCCATGCCTGCGTAGTGGGAGCCCTGGCCCGTGAAGACGAAGACGACGTCGGCGGGCTTGGACTTGAACGCGGTGGCACCACCGGCGGTGCGCGAGATCTCAGCCTCGAGCTCGGAAATGGCCTTCTGCGATGAGGATGCGGCAAACGCGAACCGGATGGGGTGCTGCACTCTCCGCGCCGTGGTCGAGTAGGCCACGTCCTGGATCCGGGCGTTGGGGTTCGCGCGGAGCCATGCGGCGAGTCGACGCAGGTTGGCGAGGTACGACGACTGCGTCCTGGCCGAGCTCGTGATGACGTGAGTCGATCGGGGGTCGATTTCCCTTTGTCTATCCGCATCTTGCTTGTATTCTTCAAGGATTACACAAGCATTGCCGCCCTAGAGATGCCCGTCCATCATTAGCGTGACCATTACAAGCGTGTGGGAAGGAGGGAACTTGCCGCTGCGTCGAAATTGTTGACGAGAATGCGTTTCGGCTTGTCAGCCACCCCTTTAAACTCTGATGCTTCCGAGGGAATCACAATGCCGCTATCGTCTTGCAGAATCTTCAGCAAGTTAGGGTTCATGCCATGCGGCATGCCCGCCTGAGGGGGAATGATGCCCTTTCGGAGCATAAGAATGCTCTTGAGCACCGAGGACATTCCGGCAGCCTAATCCACAGGTTAACGTCTACTCTGCCCTGCCTCCACCAACAAGAACAATAAGCGGTACTCACTGCTTCACTGTGGCCAATATTGGCCTTAATGGCTCCCACTGTCAGAGGTTGCCCAGCGGGTCTTGGTGAAAAGACTCTGGAAACCGCCCCCATCTCTGCCTTATCCCCGACCTGGGTCCCCGTTCCGTGCATCTCAACATACGAGACATCATGTGGGGACAGTCGTGCGTTCCGGAGGGCCTTGGTAAACAGTCGTTCTTGGGCGTTCGCGTCCGAGGTCGTAATAGACGTCGAGTTGCCAGAGTGGTTTCTGGCCGACGCCGCGATGACGGCCAAGATGTTGTCATTGTGCGCGATGGCGTCCTCCATCCGCTTCAGAACGATGGCGCCGCTGAAGTCTGCGCGGCAATAGCCGTCGGCGTCGTCACGGTACGTCTTGCAGTTCCCCGTGTCGGACAAGACGCCGGCCTTGCTAAGGAGGGTGAAGGAATGGGGGTCTGACAGCACGTTCGTGGCGCCTGCAATGGCCATGTCGACGTCCCGTGCCAGCAGGCTCATGCTAGCAAGGTGGATGGCCGAAGTTGCGCCCGCACATGCAGAGTCGAGCGCATAGGTCGGCCCCTCCCACTTCATCTGGAAGGCCAGCCGGCCCGGGGCGAAGGCGCGCTGCATGCCTTGCAGCGTGTAGGCGTCGCATCCGAGGGCAGCATGGCTGACCTGGTACCAGTCGTCGGCGCTGGCGCCGAAGAAGACGGCTGTCTTGTTCGGATCCGTCGACCGGGTCTGGCCGGCCGAGTAACCGGCCGTCTCTAGGGCTTCATACGCGCTCATGAGGAACAGCCGGGCGACGGGGTCCATCAACAGGGCCTCGCGTGGCGAGATGTGGAAGAACTTGGAGTCGAAATGGCCTGGGTTCTTGATGAAGCACCCGTGGCGGCAAGCCATAGTGCACTTCATCTCGCCTGGGGAGCGGACCGCGCCGTGCTTAGCGCAGTAGTACTCGTCCAGGTTGAAACGGTCGGCGGGAATCTCCTGGTGGCAGTCTAGGCCGTTCTCGATGACGTTCCAAAACTCTTCGAGGTTCTCACTACCAGGTCCTTTACCCGACATGCCTACAATGGCGATGGCGCCTTCTCGGACACCCTCGCTCAACGACTGGGATGCCACATCATCATCAACTGAGACGTGCCTTGTCGTCATGCCGAGACCGGCCTTTAGGACAGTGACAAGGTACGCCGCGTGGCCGCTGGGGCCCATCATCTTGACGTCGACATCCTGTGACGACCCAAGATGGGCGCTGAGCTTGCCCACGGTTTGCACAATATCCAACCGTTGCGACAGCGTCTGCAACGCTGCAGCTCTCAGCAGGTGGCCCCAGTCGGGGTAGGTGGCGTTAGCATCATTCCCGGCGATGCCCCATACTTTGTATCCCGGGCGAAGTGGAGCGGATAGAAGGGAGGAACTTCCCACGACGTAGTCGATATCCGCCTCTGAGACGTCAAGGCTGTGCTGCATGGCACGGATGCCGGTCAGCTCGTTCTTTGGGGCCCTCTTCAACTCTGGGCACTGGCCCAAGACAAGCTCCAAGACCGAAGGCGGTCCTATGATGGTGCTCCACCGGTATCCCGTAATGGCAATCTTGACCCTCTTGGAAGAAGGGACGCCCTAGTTATGCGTCTCAGGTCAGTATATTCTCCTTCTCCTTGACCCACGGGGAGTAGAGAGGACGTTACCTTTGCAGTTTGGAACTGTTCCAGTATCTTCTCAAGCTTATTCACCGCGATGTCGACGACAGCCCAGCCCCAGGCTCCAGGGCGGTCCTCTATCGCTCTTGATCGAGCCAAGGTGAGGTTGCAGAGCCGGGCGTACACCCGACCGGCCTCGATGCATGCATCGTACAGGGTGCTGAAGTTGCCAGAAGTCGCCATGGGAACAGCGTTGAATATGCCGGCAGAGATACCGACCAGGTGTGACTCGGGCCTGCCCTCGCCTGGGTTGAGCAACAGTGGCTCGCGGTTCGCGGTCCTTTAGGCGGTCAGCAAGCGAGCAGAGTCAGGGTTAGAGTTGGGGAGGAGACGCACTTCAACAGCAGCGCCGCTCTCACGGTGTAGAGAAGCAGGCCGTGGACCATACCGACCTCGTCGCCTGAACGATATTTCTGGGCGAGCTCTTGGATGCTGGAACAAGACCCGAAGCTCTCTTGCAAGAAGCGGTCCATACCCTTCACCTCGGCCTTGAAGGCAGAGAAGAGGTCTTCCAAGAAGCCTTGGAGCCATGGCGTCGTGGTAGCCTGCCTGCAGACATAGTCCATGCCATCGACCCATGGGTCTGTGACGTCCCCAAAGAGGAAAACGGTGGGTTGAGTTGAGCCCATTTTTGCTAGATGGGGGCGATGATGAATCGTTTTACCCGCTTAGTACAATAGAAATTGAAATGTACGAAAGAATGTGCGATGTTGCCGTCCTTTAATTGAATCTCTGCATTCGAGTCGACCTTTCTTCAGTCCTTATAACATCCTCTTCTTATCGTTGACCTTTTCCCGAACAACCGTCCTACATCATCCCCAAGCGCTTATCCAGTTTCAGCTCTAGATGTTCTGGTACCGCCATACCTAAAGCGTCTCTTGCTCCGCCGTTCCCCGATATCTCTTTGACTTTGCTAATGTTAGCTAAACACCGCGTACAATGTCAACTAACCACCTCACGGGTTTCCCCGAAGGGATCACCTATCACGCCTTACAGGATTCCCCGATAGCAGTTTTGTATTTCGCCTCGCATAACTCCCGCTAGTGATGTCAAATTGGCCCTCGCGTAATCTCCCCTTTCAAAAGTGCTGCTGAGACACAAGGATCTTTACCAAACTACTGGACTTACTGATCAGCCTTCCCTTACTAGGCAAGCTCAGCCTTGGAACCGGCACTAGTCTATTCGCCACGTGCATACAGAATAGCTATTGGAAGCATATTTTAGTGGATTGTGGCAGGGATGCGGGTGAGCGGACTATGACGTGGCATACGCAATAACATTACTGTATACTCTGGCGACATAGAAACACATCACTTAGCGCGCTGTCTCTATCTACAGCATATGCGTCTCAGCTTACCAGCGCACTGCCATCGAGCTGAATTGTGGGCCAGGTGAACGCCGGGCAGACCCTTAAGACCCACAGTTACTTGGATAGGTCCAAGTGATCAACTAGCGTGCCAAGTGGTGTGTCTCTGTGTTGCCAGAGTATTCGGTGTATACGATATCTGGGCGTGGCTGTGTCAGCTTCCCGACGTCGGCAGCGATGGTCGCGTGTGGCGCAAGCGAAAGACATGCGCAGTTCAGGTCCCCCTCGGGCACCGATTGTACCATCTCTTCTCTGTCTTCTGTTTCACTTTCAAGAGCAGATCGGCACCAAGCAGATCGACGGCGGCCATCTCGCCAATCCCACGTGCCCGTGCCTGTCTCTTCGCAATCCTCGTCATTAATGGTGTGGTTACATCCCGGGCTGCCTTCACGACCTCGGAGTCGTGTGTCTGTGAGGCAGAGGGTGTTCTGTGCTTGCCGTTTATTCTGATATCGCATGAGTTGAGGCGCATTCGGGATCGATTTTAGCGGCCGTGGCCCGCGTGGGCGATGACGTTCGGGGGTCAGACGGGGTTGTCATTGTGGTGACTGAGGTGAGGGACAGTTGAGGCAATCGGGGTTCACTGCAGTTCCGCCGACGCTAGCAACTCGCTTAAACACGTGACATATGGCTAGTCGGGAACCTTGCACCTACTTGGGCTTGCCGCGTGTCGAGCCCCCGGTCGTAAGTTGAGACAGGATTCCACCGACGCTAGAAGTAAAGTTGAAGAACACCGACAGGGAGGCGACTGGCGGCCGTTGAAGCGTGGCGATCAGTGGCGGCGATCCAGGCACGTGCCAGGGACTGGCGGCCTTCGAGAATGTGTCCGTTCAGATTCCGCTTCAGGAAGGAGGGCCGTAGGCACCTGGCGTGACAGATAGTCGGGAATCTGCTTGGGCTTGCCGCTTGTCGAGCCCCCCGTCGTCAATTTAAACAGTGCCCGACGCTTCTCGGGAACCTTAATGCTGATACGGTTGCTCCACAGTCGGCACAGCAGTGGGACGGGGCCCGGAAAGAGTGCCACGTGCTGAGCATTAAAAGGACGGAGGCTGCCACGATGTGATGGACGGACTTCGAGACAATAAGCCTTGCGTCGTCATGGCGGACTCGGTGGCTATAAGCCGTGACAAGGCGTTTCGAATAGACAAAGGCTGCGGGGTCGCGCTAATTACTAAGCCGGACTCGCGGACTTGCGCCGCAATTTAAACGCATAGCAATACCTTTGCCTAGTACTCTTCTTCGGATTCACAAGACTAACAACAATCCTTCTCCTCCACTATCAACGGATATTTGCCCGCATTGTTCCCGTCGAAAAGACCGTTACAGGTGTTTTACTAGTACTTTTCTTTCAGTATATTTGTCGCCAACCTCCTGCTACTCTATTGTGAAGGTGACGCCAGTTTGTGCTCCTACTGGACGAGCCAGGATGCCTTCTCAGTGGGCAGATACGCCGTATTCTCTTATCAATACTGATCCATTCTCAAAAGATGTACGTTTGTCATTTCCCTGCTGAGTTTTTGCATCATTTAATGTCTCCTCAGTCTTCCCACGCGGCATACTATGTTGCAACGCAGATGGCACTTGCCCACAATGGCATTCTCCGCGGGTTGAACTCCATCTATTTCCAAGCGCCGTACATACCGCGCGAAGACCTGGTCGCGATTCGAGACTTCCTGACATATTGCCAGTGCTGGGGTGAATCCATGCAGCACCACCACGATGCCGAGGAAGAGATCTTCTTCCCCAGCATAGAGCAGATATCAGGTGTCGAAGGAATCATGGCTCAAAATATAGAGCAACATCGAGCATTCACGCCGGGATTTGATCTGTTCCAGGATTACGCTCGGACTTGTCTTCCCAAAGACTACGACGGACAGAAGATCAGGAGCCTCATCGACGATTTTGCGGAGCCATTAACTCGACATCTACATGATGAGATCGAAACCCTACGAGGTCTCGACAAGTACGACAGCGGGCGTGTACGGCAGGCGTATCAGCGCTTAGAAAAATCCCTAATGGCTACAGACAATGTTAGCTGTCCTTCAACGTATAAGCGAGTTTATCAGCGTCACTGACTCTGTCTTAGTATCGAATCGCCCCCCTCGTGTTTGGAACCTCAGACAGGACCTTCGAAGGCGGCATGCATGACTTCCCGTCTGTACCATTCTTTGTGCCTTATATCATTCAACACGTGTTTGCTAGGCGGCATCGTGGCGTTTGGCGATACAATCCGTGCACTATTTGGAGGGATCCCAGAGAATTGGCCTTCAAAGAGTAAGCACAGAGGATGTCACAACAAGTTCTCTTGGTATTTGTGCACAGTTCGGACACCTGGAGGTGACCAAATGGCTGAAGGAGCATGGAGTTAACGTGGGCGAGAAGGACTGGCCATATGCTATGTCCAGGCCCACAACAACCCGCACGCTAGCATCGGAGTCCATACGATAATCCTCTGCTAGCCGGTCTAGCCTCCTCTTCTTCTTTCTCTGCAAGCACGCACCTTCGATGATGACCGTAGTCTAGTGACTGCATTACAGAATAGAGTCCGGGATCGTCCTGCATGAATCGCCCAGTCCTGGTGCATGTTACGGCGTGGTTCGTCTCAAGGCCACCGGTTGAAAGTGACAGACTGCCGAGCCGAACTCGAGCCAGGCGTAAATTTGCTTATAAACAGTGTGTGCAGCGCTAACTCGATAGAGCAACGGGAAGGAAACAAGTTGATCGATGTTATGCATACGAAACATCAAAGCACGGAAGCCATACAACCCACCTAGAACCTCACCACTTCACACTTGCAAGACTCACCCCTTAACAGAGATACAAAAACGCCCCATCACGCCTCATCCCAAGCCCTCTATCCACCTCACCAAGCCTCAGACCACCACCACATCAAATATCACTAAACCCGCCAAGAACAAGATCTAGCCAGACCAATCCAACCCACCACACCCAGCAACCGCGCCTGAGATCGCAATGCCTGCGAAGACAACAGCCATGATCATCTTCGTCCGTGCTTAATCTTCAAGAATCGCCTCCACCTGTTATTCAGCCGAGGTGTTATTTTAATATGAATTGCTTGCTATTGCTTACAGCAACTGCAAACGCGTTATCAACTCCATCTATACTGAACCTTATTTATATTAATTAAAAGGCTATACCTAAAAAGACATAGTACGCGTTGCAGATATCCTTATTATCTAGGGCAGTCTTAGTTCTTATAGTAGGATATGGCGGTGGCTACTTTAAATTAGCTGTTACATGCAATTCTAGGCAAAAGAGAGAACGAATGTTATAACCTCTTGCTATATTGCATAAGTACGCATGATTATCTCTATTAGCTGTATATTCTGTCTAAAGAGAATAAATAAAAGAAGAGTTTCCATCCGGCTTGTACTCATTAAATCTTATTAAACTATCTTTTTCCCTTATATTTCTTCCACACGTCCAGATTCAACTCCGGCCAGCCACAAGAACCAACACTATTGCCGTAGACACGGTGTGGAGTTGCAGGATTTAAAGGAGTAGTGTAAGTGAGTATCATATCTGAGAGTGCGTCCCCGAACCCTTGCTCGACCTGATTAGTGTATTTGCAAACCTTAGTATATATCCTTCTACATAGTAAAAACGCCGTAGAACCTCTACCGAAAAGTCCTATGCCCAAACTTCGCTGCTAGCATATCGCACTGAAAATAGCGAGGCCGAAATCTACAACCCCACTGCCAGCATCAACCCATACCCGACCGTCACAACGACGCAGAAAGTAATGATACTAGCCGGCACGCCGCGCGTGATGAAGTGCTTGACCTGCAGGTAGCGCTGGCCAGTCTGCGAGTCTTCCATCATGATGGCGGCTGGGTAGATGTTAGTTTCCAGTTTACATGAGCTATGCGAGGCTTCTCGGCGAAGTCGAAGGGGGAGGAGGGGAGAATGGACTTACTCATATTGGGAAACCCGCTCGTCGGCAGTCCCATAGCCGCAGAGCACATGAGCACGCTGCCCATGACTAGCAGATTTGGGTGCGGCTCCTCCATGCCCTGGCCTACCTGCTGCACGAGTGGCAGAACAATCAGCGCTGCAACCGTGTGGCTGATGAACGTAGCGACAACGAGAATCAGCGCCGCGAAGACGATCAGCACGCCGTAGAGAGACAAGTCCTCGACTTCGGCCGTGATGCTCTTGGCGATGGTGTGCAGCAGGCCAGAGGAGTTGACAGCCTTGCCGAGCGCCAAGCCTCCGGCGGCAAGGATGATGATGGTCCAGAGGAAGTTGTTGAAGTCTTCTTTAGTAAGAATGCCGGTGCCGAAGAAGAGGACGATAGGGATGATGGCGACGACGCCCATGTCGCCGAAGATGGGCTCCAGTTGGTGGGTCACGCACCATAGGGCGATGGTGACGATGGTAACGCCACTGATGAACCATTGGATGCCTGAGAAGCGGTCTTTCATAGGCCGGATGGGGACGATGGTGGTGTTGCGGCCGGGCTTGAAGGTGACGAGGAGGAGGAGCCAGATAAGCACGATAGAGATGATGCACACGGGGAGAGCGACGAAGAACCAGACGCCCCAGCCTGGTTGGGGGTTCATGTTTTGGAGGGCGATGAGGTTCTGAGGCGATGCGATTGGGGATGCAGCACCGCCAATGTTCGAAGAAAGGGCGATTCCGAGAAGAAGGGCCTTCGACATGGCCGAATCAGATGGAAGGTTGCGAAGAATTGGCTTATATACGTTAGCAGAGATATTTAGCTCGTTTAAACGCCACTTACCTGGATGATTGAGAAACACAGCACTGGAGCTGCGACGTTGCTGATCCACATACTGGCGAACATGGCAACGAACATGCTTGTTAGTAATACCGTCCTTGGTTTTGTCCCAGCCTTGCTCAAAACAAAAGTCGCCATCATCTTTGCAATATTATACTTCGAAAGCGCCGCTGCAATGGTGAAGCCTCCTAGAAGTAACATGATAACGGGCGTCCACATGGCTGCAAACACGTAGGATGCGGCCTGTTTGGACTCTAGACGAGCGTATGGCTTTTCGTCTTGACGAACGACGCGTAAAACGACGACTAAAAACGGTACGAGCAGCGACGTGACGAAGAGAGGTATTGCCTGGAATATGTGAGCAGCTACCTGATTGATCGGAGAAGACATACATACCTCCGTAGCCCACAACAGACTGACAAAAACGACTAATGCTAGGCAGTTTTGTTGCTCTGGCTTCTTCATGATAGGAACCAGAAGCAAGACCAAGAAAACGGCTAGAATGAGGATTAAGGTGTAGAACGTCGAGCTCAACAACCATTGAGGGCAGTGATACTTCCCAATAGGGGTGTTCACTTCCTTCATCTCTGCCTCAACTTCGTCACCCTGCAGCCTTAGCTTTCGCGGGTCAGTATCCCGCCCGAGCATGGTTTGTCGAAGTCCCATGTTCGCCGCCTGAGATTTCCGTTCGATACCGATCATCTCCCTCCAAACTGTGTTGCGCTCCCAGACCACATGCTCTCTTAGATGTAGCCGCAGTTCGCGCTTCGCTTCTGCTATGTCTCCTTTGGTGCATATCTTTGCATATGCGCTCTCGATCCGCGACAGATTCTCGGCCAAATGCGCCATTGTCGATTTCTGGAAAGGATATGCAGTCTCCACGTTGGCCTCAATGTACTGTCTCTTCAGATTGCGGTCCAGAATTTTGTCGTACTTCTTCAGGACTTTTGTGAAACCGGTCCTGTTCAGCTGGATAAACGATCGCAATTCGCATACTGACACGTAGAGGCTGACGGTCCGCTTTTTCAACGACACACCAGAGTCGTAGAGAGCAGAAAAGGCCATATCGTTGTAATCGTCGAACGCAACGCTGGTTCTCCGCCGTGACGAGGCGAAATCCGTGGAGGCTCTCAAATCCTCATGATGCGAGTCCCAACCCCGTTGTCCGTCCCGACTCTTCGTCTTCTGTAGGCCTACCGTCTCATCGGCGTCGTCATCGCTGTTGTCATTATCCACCTCCTCGTATGACTGGCTCATGCCGCTTGTCCTCCGAGGCCGGCCCAATCCTATTGTCTTGAATATGCTGTTCGAGCGTGCTTTCTTGCTCCCACGCGTGCCGGGCGGTTGCTCGCTTTGCTCCGTCTCCAACTCCTCCTGCTCCTCCTCGTAATGTTCCTCATCTCGTAGTAGCTGATCCACCTCCCCGTATATCTCCAACTCTTTTAGCTGGTAAAATGAGCAGATCTTCTCGAGCTCATGGTCGAGCGCGTTCGAGAAAACCTTGTCAGGGTCGTCTGCGGTGCCATTGAGGAGAGGCGAGGATTCAGCATCCTGGGTTTGGTTGGAGGCCTGGTGTAGCTGCTTTTCGAGGGTGTATATGCTGAGAGCGGAGGGGTTAGCAGGGTACTAATTGCAGCGCCGTAGGGGGTTAGGCCTCTGGTATACATACGTTTTCTTCAGGTTGCTGTACGAAATGTAGTGGGTGCTCCAATCCGGCACCGAATTGAACTGCAAGCTGTGCGAGAACTTCATCTCGTCGGCCGCGAGAAGCTGCTCAAGCTTCTCCCGCCTCTTTCTCACGCGCTTGCTCTCAGGCCGTGGGGCGTCTCTCCTGTCGGCAGCGCTGTCGTTGAAGTCCTGGAGCTCGATGGGTTCTTCACTAAGAATAGTGAGGGCACGGCGGCCTTCCACGGTGGCCAGTGTCGTGGTCGGTCTTGATTGTGTGCTGGTGGACAGCGAATGGGGTGGCGTGCCGGTGATAGTTGGCGGAGGCGGTCGGGAAGAGAGCAACGGGAGATGCCGCCGTCGTTGTCTTCACACGCTTGGGTTGTTGTCGCGATCAACGTGACCGCAAGGCTCAGGCTGGACACATGCACGATTGGTTGGATGGCCCTTGTCGGGCTGCACGACCAGCGCCCAGTCAAAACTGGCAAAGCTGACTATTAGCCAAGACATATTGCTTTTGCAGGTGAGAGGGCGCAGATGCCGCCCGGCGCCCGCTGTCACCCACGGGACTTTCTTCCACTGTTTCACTACGGTAACCACCAGTAGCAAGTCGTGGTTTTCTTTGGCCCATCCAGTCTTCTGACATCAGAACCACCTCAACGGTAACGACTTTAGTGCGGTGAACTGGCATCTAGATTACCAGACCCTATTTCACGTTCAAGCATCAAGGTAATTTATCCGTAATCGGGTTACTGATATAACCCTTGTGGTACAAGATGGACGCCAGATGGGTATCGATCAACCGACAACCAGCGCTCCGAGTCATGTGTGCTTAAGGCGAAGAGAAGATGAGTGTTTTATCCACTACCTAGCAATTTTAAGAAGAGAAGCAGGACGAGCCGCCGCATCATGCGTCACATGCTGCCAAAGCCTAATGATACAAGAAGAGAGCAGTACCAAAGCGGCTACGTGTCGCTTCAATCTCCCACCGAACCGTCATATCTCATAGCCACTGACCTGAGCGTCATCAAATTCGACTCAATACAGTAGAGTCGCGAAGCTTTATGTTCCAGTTTCTGCGTCATGTCAGCCCTGATCTTTGCAGTAAACAAGGGCAGAAACTTACCAGTCTCAACACCAGGCTGTCTACCATCCAAGCCGCCAGTGAGCTTGTTCTTCAACCGCCGCATGCCAATTTTGGTCTGGTCCTTGGCAAACTTCGCGTTCCGCGCTGGCTTCCACTGCATCAGACCCCTCTGCTTCCGCTCTTCTGTCCGCTTATTTTGCCTGTTGACATTTCCTTCCGCACTGATCTTGCTAGTGCTAGTCCTGCCCAACGAGGACTCTGTCGTTCCGTTTGTTGATTGAGAATCACGAGGGACGCCGTTCGAGCTGCTAGCGTTGTCCGCATCTTGGAGACCTAGGTCGTCCGAGCTGTTCGAGCTATCCTCATCCTCATCATCTTCGTTGTCTTCGCCAGAAGAAGGGTGGAACGGGTCGTGCAAGGGCTTGTCGACGCCGGGTTCTCGCTTCTTGCGACCCTGGGAGTCCATGTATGCCTTCGGGTCTTCGCCGAACGCACCACTCCAGTCCGTGCCATTCTTCGTTAACCACCTTTTCTTCTCATCGTCATCGGTGCTTTTGAGAATGTCTCGGCCTTCCTTCAAGGACTCCTCGTGTAGTTGTAGTACTTTCTCTGAGAGCTCCTTTTCGACCTTGCGCTGCCGCACGCCTTCAGCAAGACATGCTTCCCATGTTTCGAATGTCTCTCGAGAGTCGTTGTCCGTAATGAAAGCCTCGTGAGCTTCATCCGTGCCGGCCTTGAAGCGACCCTTGAACTTCAATCGGCCAACGACCTTGAGGTCTTCTAGGCCGGGCTCTTTTTCGGAGTTGTTCTCGGTGATGTAGTTCTGCGTCAGGCGGGCCGGGCAGGATGTCGTCCAGATGGGAATGTCGATGTCCGAATCTTCGTTGTCAATCAGGTGGTGGAGCCAGATGACTGAGTACGCTTCTGCCTTTCGCTTGCCGGAAACATGGAACTCAAAGACAATGGGAGACCGGTATCGGTACTTGACTGGTAAGCGGACATCGTACTTGCCATCCTTCTTCGCAATATCCCAGAAGATGCCATCGCCGTCCTCGAGCTTGCGCGCTTCGACACGAGGAATCTTGCCAGTGCTACCACCAGTGCGGAGCTTGAGCTTGGCATGATGGGTGTAGCCACTAGCAACAATACGATCGGACCTGAACTCGAAAGTGCCGACGTCCCAGCCAAGAAGGTTCGGTGGGAGTCGAGTTTCAACGCTACGGAAAAGAACCGAGATACGAATACGACCAAACCCGACGCCACCATCCAAGGGGTACCATCGAGTCACCTGTGAAGAGGTCTCGAGAACGTCGGAGAGCTTTAGAGGGACAACACCAAGGATTGGGTCGTGTTCTCGGTTTCGGGAATCGCGGACGGTGACAGTAACGATGCCAGAGCGCCAATCACGCATAAAGCGTTCAGTTCCAGCGTTGAAAATAGGCTGAGAAGAGACAGCCTTAGCACGGGTGCGGTAGACTAACTCATCATTGTAGAGGATGGTGCAGTAGCTCGTCGGTAGGGTGCCGCCTGTCTCTTCAGTGCTCTCACCGGAAGGCTTCGCGGGTTCGTATTCCCTGCCCTTACGGTTGCCTTGACTTCCCTTGACGTTCTCTAGTTCGAGGTTGACGATTTGGTGAACAATGACACTGCAAACGCCGCTTGGCCAGAGAGGGTCTGGTGGGGTGTGAGCCACGGCATCGTCAGTGGCAGTGTTGGTGACGCCCTTGTCGTCCTGCAATTCCGGATGGTCCTTGAGCTCGTCTGGCAGAGCCTTGTTCTTGCCATCGGTCCGGAGGGCAGGCCTGAACTGGGGCTTGCCGAAGTATCCAACCTCCCAATGAAGTTCGCCGGGCATCTCGCTGTCGGCATCCATGCCGGCAAGTTTCGAGGATTGGGGATACATCTTGCCGGGGTGCTGGATCATCTTTTGTATGGAAAGTTCCACCTTGCCGACAATGTCGTCAGCACTGTGACGGTCGGAGTCCCATAGCTCAACACTCAAGTTCTCGTCAGCTTTGACAAGTTCGGGGGTGACCAAGATCCTAATACAATGTTAATTATCTCTACTACAATCAATAAAATGAGTAGTACGTACGCGCAAGTCTCTTCCCAGATCGGGTTCAAATCGTCCGTAATAACTCGCGTGCAGTACATTGGCTTGCCATATTTGGAGAACGAGATAGTGATGTATGGGTCACTGCCACCATGAGCGCTTCCGCGGCGATCCTGCTTGCTGAGCCCGACTGCACGATGAATACGGATCCACAGAACACCGAGAGCCTGGACGTCTTTGGTGATATCATCGCCCTGAAGAATTGCCCGCATGTCTATCGACATGGATTTTGGAGCCACATACATGCTAGCCGCCGCGCCGATGGCATAGTTGACGAAGTTCGAGATCAAAGGTAGATTTAGGATGTTGACTCCCTTCTCAACCATAGGTATGCATCCGGCTTGGACTTGTGGCAGGCCCATTAGAGTGAAAGTTAGATTCTTGAGGAAAGGAGGCTCGGGGGTCATGTTTAGTCTCAAGCGAATAGTTCCGACAAGACCTTGTAGCTCGACGAAGATAGGAAGGGGGACACCAAAGAGTCCCTTGACGCCTAGGTAGAAAACAAGCTGCATATGCATGTTGCGAGCCTTGTCTGAGGCACGCTTTCCACTGGGCTTGGCATGGTAAGCAAATGAGACTTCGAGGTTGTAGAAGTCGCCTCCTTCTTCATCTGCTGCGGCCTCTTGAGGGTCTTTCGTCTTTTTGTTCTCCTCGTGGATCGCGACCTTGAGATCCTTCATGTGCTCATCCGGGAGTGCTCGTAGACTGAGAATCCGGATAGGATTGCTGCCCTGATTGATTTCGGCGACACGGACGTTCTCAATGATTCCGGGAACCGATGCTTGCATGACATCCTCCAAGGTATCAGCAACGCCGATGAACATGTCAGGGTTGATGAGGCCCCAGACTATGCCAAGTAACGTGTTCATCCATTCGACGGATTCCGGTAAGAGATTTGCGATGGCCTAGCCAACAGTAAGCATATGGCTCCTGACATCGATCTCTCCGCTTCTTCCTGACTTTTTCAAACTCGAACACTCACAGCCCAGGGGACGCAGGATGATGAAACGGAATTGACGTACCGTCTGACCACGAGTCTGTTCACTATCCCACTCAACCTCCCGTCCACTACGTACGACTTCCTTCATCCACAGCCATATACCAGATGTTATGCACATAGCCAGTGGGATCAGGCCCTTCAGTGCACCCCCAAACATCTTTCCAAGTATGATAATGGCGAGAAGGACGCCGACGCATAGTATTCCCGCCCGCTTCTCTATCGAAGCAAACATGGGCTCGTAGCTGACAGAGGGCGTAGGATGAAACAGAATGTTCGTCTTCTCGCCGTGGATAGGCACATCAGACGTGCTGCCCTCGGCAATTGGATCTGGGGGAGCTGTGATATCTTGGTTATGCTTGTATTCATCGTTGGATTGTGAGGCGTCTGTTTTGACCGGCTAGTATTTGTCAGTATGAAATTCTCAAGGAAAGGTTTATAGAAATCTTATATGGATGGAGAAACTTACAGTAGGCTTCCCGAGATTGGCATTCGGCACCGAGAGCTGTGGATTCTCAACCTGGCCCATCATGCTCTTGTTGACGTCCTCAATGACGACCTGGTTACCTGTTGTTGGATCGGTCACAGTCTTTTGGGTGCCTTTGATTCCAGCATTGGTCTCCTTGTGAGGCTTAGCATCTCCACCAACTGCCGCCTTCTTCCTCTGCACGGCCTCCTCGTCCAGCTGGCGGTCGCGATCCCGCTTGTCCTTGTCGAGGTTCTCCATGAATTTCTTGACGGTAGGCACAGGGTTGGCACCAGAGTAGTGCCCTCCGGGCCTGTGCTGTTGTTGGTCCGCCATGGCTGCGGGCAGTCCAATATACTGCGGGAAAGCAGGGACTGGAGTGAATAAGGAGGGAGGAAGGAGGGTCAATTAGCCTTGAGGAGAACTGGCAGTGCCCTTCGTGCCTATTCTCACTCCAAAAAGGCAGGCAGAAGTTAGAGGAGGCAGGCTGGTGTTGAAAGAGCCACGCAATTCATGATCTTGTATCTTGGTGGGCTTGACCAACTACGTCATGGATAGGTCGCCTTTCAAGACACTACACCATGCCAAGCTGTCGAACGCCACCACTTCACCTCTTCAAGAAACATGTCCGCTCGTCAAGCTCAGCTGTGATCAAGTCGAAGATGGTATGCGTGATAGATCGCTGAAAGACACTGCAGTTAGTGATAGACACGTAGAAAGGTCCTTTTCGTCTCGTCTCCGATTCTCAGCTTCCCTGCACATTTCTATGATCGCTGCAAGGTCAATGCTCCCAGCAACAAGGGAGTCTCTCCGCAGCAGGCTCTGCAAGATGCGGCCAAGACCTAGATTAATCGATTCCCCCAAGGTTGCGTTACAGATTAGCGATTAGTCTTCTGGAAAAACTCAAATGGTTTGCTACCGATCGTATGGCTCAAGATGTTACAGATGAGAATAATGCGGAGTATGATGGCCTGAGCTTGTTCTAGGCTTTCAGTGGCATGCAAAACTACTCGTCGCTCGAATCGGCCGTACCACTTCTCATAGCCCGCATTACATGCCCCGCCAAAGCTGACGCTCATCACCGCAGGCAGTACACCATTCTCCAATATCCCGCCAATATGTCAGCCGGTTGGTTTACAACCTTCACGAACTGCCGGTATGTTCTTAACGGCGAATTGGTGTCTGATCATCTCGTCATCTCGGATGAGTTAGGCACCATCCTAAAGCGCGAAGGCTACATAGGCGGGGAGTGCGTTGACCTGGAAGACACAATCATTGCGCCAGGCTTTCTGGAATTGCAGACAAACGGTGTGAACGGGTTTCATTTCACGCAATTTGACGATGAAGCGAGCTACGAGAAGAAGCTGGAAAGCACGGCCAAATACTATATTCAAGAGGGAGTGACAGGATGGTGGGCAACGGTGCCGACGGTGGGGGAGGCGGTGTTCAAGAAGGTAAGATGATGAAGTATCCAGTAAGCGGCTGGATGAAGAGTGGGCGTCTCTGTATTGTCTCATTCTACTTCGGAATTTCATCCCGCTTTTGTCACGTGCTGTAAACGCTTTCCTATAAAAAAGTCTCTATTCATGTACATCTATACTTCCACTCTTCATAGCTAGCTTCAATCATAATCTGGGTTCATATCTTAGACTGACAACCTCCAGATCCTCCCCTCCCTTTCTCCACGCGAATACCCCTCCGCTGCAACCCTCCTAGGCGCCCACGCCGAAGGACCCTATCTCTCACCCTCCAAAAATGGGGCACACAACGAGTCTCTCTTCACTCTACCCTCCACCTCTCCATCATCACTATACGGTCCCTCCCTCTCCACCTCCGTAAAACTCATAACCCTAGCTCCCGACCTTCCAAACAGCTCTTCCCTAATCCGTTCCCTCAACTCCACCGGCATCGTTGTCTCCCTCGGCCACAGCCCCGCCAACTACATCGACGGCCTCGTTGCCCTAAAAGCAGGCGCGACAGCTCTCACCCACACATTGAACGCCATGGCGCCGCTCCAGTCACGCGACCCGGGGCTCGCGGGGCTCCTTGGTCTCCCTCACACTTCGTTGTCCATCGACCAACCCGCTTCGCCGTACTTCTCTCTCATCCCAGATGGCCTCCACATGCACCCGTCGACGCTATCTCTTCTCCATCGTTCCAATCCTCGCAAATCAATCCTTATCACGGATAGCATCGAGCTCGCCGGTCTACCCGACGGCACGTACCCCGGCCATGCCCAGATCCCGCGTGAGCAGACGAAGCGCGGCACGCGTGCTACCATTGCTGGAACGGAAACGCTCGTTGGGGGTTGTATCTCGCTGCAGGAAGGCGTGCGCAACCTGATGGCGTGGAGCGGGTGCGATATTGCAGAAGCGGTCGCGACGGTGACGGAGAACGTGGCGGCGATGATGGGTATAGATGGAGTTGGCGGCCGTGGAGTGTTGAAGGAGGGACGCCGGGCTGATTTGTGTGTGTTGAGTGAGGAAGGAGTCGTGTTGCAAACGTGGATTGCGGGGAACAAGGTGTGGGACAAGGAGGAGGCGGAGGGGGATGCGGATCAGAAGGAGTGAATGCGGCCGAGGAAGTAGTTTGCTTCATGGAGGTTCTGGTGCCGGGCTTGCGTATACTGTCGATACGTGGGTTCGTAGATGGCGGTTCGGTATCTAGAGCTTGTGTGAAAGGGAAGTGAGCGGTTTTATAGACTACATTAAGCGGCGCTTTAGTCCTCTTCTACTTCGTCCCCCTCTACACCTCTTAAGCACTGCTACTACTTTCATGGTTTGCACATAGAAATATTTGGCTGGTGTAGGCTTCAAGCATAAGCTTGAGTAGGAGACATCCGATGCGTTCTAGGATTGACCTGCCTCCGAAAGAAGGGTCCAGTCGGTCCGATTATAAGGATAGTTGTTTTCGACATCACATCGTGTGTTATCGTCCTCATGGACGATATATCTGCCACAGGGCAATTCCACTGACGGGTTCAACGATTGCGACAGCTTGTGTGGTCGTAGGGCTACGGACTGAATAGCAACGAGACACTGACAACGAGGGTGTATCGAGCAGAGAGCACTTTGATATCAGTGCCAATGTACATCGGGTAGTCAATGGAGGATGAAGCGATGGAGGATGAAGCAACGAGTATCGTAGAAAGTCTACCCATGGATGATGAGTGCACAGATGGAAAAGCGGGAGGGAGGTTCCATGCCCCTAGCAGTATCCCCTAACCTAGTCCCCCCTCCCTCGTATCCAAGCTCACTTAGAAACGTACTCATTAAGAATACCACAGATGTAAAATTTTCACCCCAGTGTGGATCGATCGTTACAGCCCCTCAAATCTTTCAATACCCAGCTACTGCAGAGTCGACACCCTTGCATCCCCAGCTGCATACCAACCTGAATATCACGCCGCTTCGCCCAGCCCTTCGCCCCAACGATCAAATCATCTGCCCACCTTTAACCGTGGCCCAATCCGCTTGTTTCCCAGGGTCCCAAACAACCAAAACGTTGCAGGCTAGCTTATGATTTGGCACTGATAGGCCCCGCGAGTTGATGGATTTTGTGGCGTGCTGACGCATGCAAGTGCCTCGAAACAGTTTCACGAAGTGGACGGTTAGTGGCTGCTTTATTCGCCGGCACCGAGAGTTCCGATAGAATTGTGAAGCCACCTGTTGGGGTCTGGAGACCTCCATGTGAAGATATTGCGGACCGGATGCACGCACACGGCGGGGTGTTTGAAGGCTGGGGGTCACGTGGTGAGTTAATGACTCGAACAACGTCGCTTGGCGATGAGTTACAATGGCTTGATACAGTACTAGGACACAAATTTGGCATGTCGTCTTTTGATCTATTCTAGAAGCATGATGATGTGCTGAAGCACCACAAACAGCGGCCATGTAGACCTACTGTGAGCGCACAAACCCTCTCTGATTCAAGCTCTTAAGGCCTTTACATCTTATCGAAAACTTCCTGATACGTCGGAGCACCTCAAACCGTGGTAAGCGAGCGTACCCAGACGGAACGTACATACCCCTTCTCATTTGCGTAAGAGAAGTCGCCGTCGGGGATGCAACACCTCGTCATAGAATCCGTACACTCGTTTACCACTGCGTGAGGAGCTTCATAGTATTTTCATTCCGAATAAGAGAGAAACTTGACCTTTTGGACAACTAGTAAACTCGTGGGGCTACCCCAGACAGCGTCAACAGGGTGTACACAGATTGTAAGTGTATCCTCCGCCCCCGGTTTCTATTAGTACGTTGGAGTCCCACAAACAGTGGCAGGTAAGTGTACGGATCACACATTTAGACTTTTGAAGACGCATTGCAAGCACATTAAGCTATGAAGAACGAGTGTAAGGGCGCTAAATTATCTACTCGTCCGGCTTCTTGCTAGACTCGGAAGCTTTGGCTGTAGTTTTAGGAACTAGAGCCTTTTTACTAGGAGTTGGGGGAGCCTCTGGGGGAGACTTCTTGGCCGCGTCCTGGTCAAGTTGTGTCGCAGGCAAAGAACGTCTTGCTTCAGGATCTGAACGAGACTCTGGTTGAGGCGCTTGAACAGGATTTAGGTGAATCTTGTTCCAAGGGGCCGGTCCAGGCGTTCTGGTAGGAGCTGAGTGAGCCTCTTTGACCACGGGATCTTGGCCATGCCGTGCCCCAGGAGGCACGCAGCGTATGGCTTCAGGACCTAGATGAGATTCTTTAGCTTGTATTCAAACTAGGCTGTTCAGATGACACTGTACGTGGCTCTTTGACAGGAACAGTACTGGGCTCCTCAAGAGGTTCTGAACGAGAGTGTAGATCTGTTTCGTAGTGTCTAGAGTGGCCTGGCAAGCTTTCTAGTGGTGCAAAGTGGCCTGTGGTAGAGTTCTCTGAGCAAATGACGCGTTAGCAGTTTGACAGAGAACAATAAAGGGCCTTACGCTGAACGCCGGTGATACCCTGTCTGCTTAAATGATCAATGATATTCCGCCCAAGATCACTAGCATTTCGTCGAATGGACTCCTCGATGACAGCTAGTAGCTCCGCCGGAGAGAGGCTACATGCCGGACATGGTGAGCCGGCCGCAGTGGTATTGGAAATGGGGCTGCCATCGGTGGGCTTGGGTTGAATTTCTGTGGCCTTCGCGTTCTGATTTTGTTGTGCCGCAGGCAAAGAACGTCTTGCTTCAGGGCCTGAACGAGGCTCTAGCTGAGGCGCTTTAGCTCCAGGAACTAGATGAATTTTGTTGTAAAGGACCGGTCCAGGCGTTTCGGTAGGAGCTGAGTGAGCCTCTCCTGCCTCTTCAAAGCTGTGGTTTTCGGCATGCTCGGTTAAACCTAATGACTGAGGTTGCGCAGTGGCATTGCGGTGAGGCTCTGTGGTGTGTTCCAAACTTCTCATCACTTCTCTAGAATGGTCCACGGCAATTGGATATCTCGGCCCAGTAACAGTAGCGACATGTCTTTGGTGTAGTTCTTTCAGAACTAGACTTCCAAAATGAAGTTTTGCATGAGCAGGACTCATATCTAGCTTGGGCCACTGGAAGCTGTTTTGATCAAGGATGGAGTTGAGCTGGTCACGCAGTTCCAAGACATTACTGATTGTCGTGACGTTCAAAGCGGCAGCCAATTCGGTTGCTAGTTTGATTGGTTGTACAAGCGCGGGGTCCTCTCTTCGAAATTCAGACTCGAAAGTATAACGGTCTGACCAAGTATGCGTTAGTAGTTACATTGTAGTGACCGATGGTAGATAGAGGGACATACCGAGGGTGGTGAAGGCCCCTCGTCGGTGCAACTCATCCGCAACTAGACCTGCGAACTTTTGATGTGACGTCCAGGCTAATTCCCTTTTGGGCCACTGGAACTTCTGCTCGTCCAAGATGGCGATGAGGCACCTAACGAGAGATCTCTTGTTGGTGAAACTGGTCATGTCCAAGACGCCGATTAGGTTGATTGCTTGCTCGACAGTCTCATCTAAGGTGACCTCGTACTGAAGCTCTATGGCGGAGTTCACTAAGCAAACCAAAAGCGGTCAGTGGTCGAGTCTGAGTAAAGAAAATGGAAAAGAACATGCCTAATATGATCCTACGTCGATTCACCAACTTGCTTGTGACATTACCCACAATCATTTTCTTTGACATCTCTGGCCATTCGAAATTCGTTCGACAGAGGGTTTTGAAGATGTATTCGCGAGCCACGGACAGGCTGGAGAAAGTTATGACATCCAACTCCTCAAAGGCTTTCATTGCTCTAGCGGTGACCGCTAAGGGCAATTCGCTTGCTCCATGACGTTAGTAAAATTATGTACAAGGATGATATGGTACTTACTCATGGTGAAAGATGTAACAACGATAGTGTTTGTGATGAAGATAGTTATGGAACTAGAGTTGGTTGTATTTGGAACGAAGAGGCATACCTGAGCAGGAGGGCGGAAACCGCATATGAGCTTATGAAAGCAAGTGCGGGAACAATGCGCCTGCTTCGACACCAGACGACAATGTTCAAGGCGTACACTTCTCTGGCGCTGGCTGAGGTGGCCTCGCAAGTTTCCCAGCTGTTCAAAACGCTGGGCTTTCATCTGATTCGGTACCCTGAAAACATCATGAAGCACCACAAACAGTGGCAGGAAAGTGTAAGAATCTCCATAACAAAGCACTGTACAGTGCTTTGCCAAAGGTATCCGTACGCCTTTCTACTACTATTTGTAGGGCCACAACGTACTAATAGAAACCGGGGGCAGTAGACAGAATTCCAATTTACGTACACCCTGTTGACGCTGTCTGGATAGCCTCGCGAGTCTCCTAGTTGTCCAAAATGCCGAATTTCTCTCATTGAAAATGCTGAAAATAATATGAAGCTCCTCAAGCAGTGGTAAACGAGTGTATGGACTTCTATGACGAGGCATCGTATGAACGCCAATGAGCAATCAGGTCATCACAGATCTGAGGCATGATAGCTCGCCACAGATCTGTGTACACTTGTCTGCCGCTGTCTGAAGCTCCTCAACGCCTTCTTAATGTCTGAACTTTGTTGATTGGAACATCCAATAAGCTTTCCGGGGCATCTCATGCAGCAGTGAACAAGTGTACGGATTTCTGTGACGAGGCATTGTAGCTACCACGTCCTGCCAAGGTTACCGCTGATTCTGCACGTGATATCCCTTCTGCGTACTCCCTGCTGGCGCTGTCTGGGGTAGCTTCACGAGTTTCCTAGTTGTCTAAGATACCGAACTTCTCTCTTATTCGGAATGCTGAAAATACTATGAAGCTCCTCACGCAGCGGTAAACGAGTGTACAGATTTCAATGATGAGGCATTGTAGTAAGCCAAGTCTGGGTATCCAAATTAGTAATCCTTGAGCACGACTCTTGCTCGCTCGATACCACTGTCAGGGATAGCCTAATTGCGAGGTAACGAGTAAGTCAAGAGGCATCCCAATCTCTACCACAACAACTTCTACATCCTATCTGGAATTTTAAAGCGGGCGGAGCCACCTCAAGTAGTGGTAGACGAATGTGCACCAAACTTGTGGCAAAGCACTGTATTCCGCAGGATCACACATTTCTCGCTCGGTGGCCATGATCGCTCCTGGTATTGCCGTTCTCTAGCCTGAGATGTTCTCTAGCCCAAGAACGGCCTTCATCACCATCGTACACACTAGATCCTGGAACATACGGCAATAGATTGTATGGGGAAGATGGGGGAGAACGTCACAAAGTAAAAATTGAAGACGTTGGTGCTGACTACGCCTATTCCTCACCAATATTCGCTCACATTAACACACTGCCTCAGTATTTAGTCATGTGCTTCAATGCGTCTCCAGAAATGAAAGGTAGGACGCAGATACTCCAGTGGGCATGTGTAGGCATACGAGGGCTAGTTGAAAGACCCCTGCCTCTCTGAAACATACGGCAATCTTTAAAGTCGATGTGGAGAACTACATCCGGTTGAATAGCGTATCAGCAACCCAAAGTCAAGACAGCCAGAGAAATGTTGCTGATGTCCCGGATGTTACTGGGTAAAAAACATGCTGTGGGAAGGACATAGGCCATGGAAGACTAAACCCCTGGGCCTGGTTTGACTTGGCAGTGGATATCGATTTCAGGCTCGATGTGGCCACTCTGCAACGGGTCGACAAAACCGTACAATACACCAAGGCCAATTATCCCTGGAAGCTGTCAGCGGCATGCACAAGCTCGCTAGTTTCGGCGGCAAACGCGGTAAACCAAAACGCGAATATCAGCTTATCGATGTAGACTACGCATCACGCAACCTGTGAGAAAAATTTGGCTCCGCAGATCAGAGAGGCCTTATTCCCCAATGACAAATACGCGGAACAGGTGAGAGAGCTTTCCAAGGGTTGTGCGCGTGCTATCTCGGAGGAAGCTCCTCGGAATGGCATCCGCGCCACTAGGCGCGAAGTTCACAGCTGTGCCACTTCAACGCATGGAGGTATTTCTGTACAGTTGTTCAAACAGGCATGGAGCACTGTGGCTCCGGGGGATCTTTGAAGAAAAGTGGCCCAGTTCGTCGTCAGCATCGGCCTGGGGTGGGTAAGATCAGCAAGGTAAAATTTATGGCAGGTTGAACCTCGAAGTTTATTCGTGGAACCCAAGAATATTGAGGTGGATTTTCCGAAATAAGCTAGCATTATTTCCCACTCAGAGTGCTCTGAGGTGTAGGCTGCATGGGCCATGCGTAAGGCGAGCTCAAGGATGAGCTTGTTTTAGCGTGCATGCATAATCGTGCAGGTCGGCTTATTTCTTGAAATGAGGCGAAGGGAGGCGTATGAAGAGACCACTTGGATGAAAGCGCGGAAGCCACCACACCTAATTGGTTTGCGCAGTGAAATGGTTCAGACTGTGACTGGTGGATCGGGTAGATCGACAATGCTGAGCGGCAATATTGCCGCAGAGACTTTTGACCTTGTTCTGTATCGAAGGAGATACGACCCAAAGCGGCCGAGACTGCCGCGGACAAGCAGATGGCGCTATATCGTGCAGATGAGGCATGCCTTCATGCAAGTTTCGTGCGACGGGGAAAAGGACAAGCACCATCCGGGTAATACCTGCATGGACCCTACATGAGTCCTTCGTCATGTGCCGCAGCTGGACGCAATTTGCCATAGTCGAGAGTCTTCACTGCGTGGTGTGTGGAGCTGGAACGGAAAGCAAAATTTGATTGCTACCGCCTGCTGGGAAATGAGGGATGATTCTGCCGCCTGCTGGTAATTAAATGAAGTTTGCCGCCACTCGCTGGGAAATGAGGGATGATACCGTCGCCTGCTGTAAATGAAGGAAGGTTGCCGCCACCCGCTGGTAAATGAAAGAAAATTGCGGCCAGGTTCTCTGCAAACTCTCCCTTTGGCATCGGAATAGGCGAGAAGACTACTATACGTAGTATTCCACACACTCGTCGTCGCCATTCTCTCCAAATTCGTGGTCAGCGTCCTGACCTAGAACGTAGTGGGCCCGCCCATTCCCAATGATAGGCACGCCGACGGGAGGAAACCCGAATACTTATTCGGTCTCTCGCTTCGATGGTCGACCTTTGGCCTGAAATCCCCAAGATAGTCAGTATATGGAAGTATTACGCGTGTATGCCGACTTACCAAGCATGCACCACATGCATCGCCATTCTGCCAAACAAATTCGGGACAGTTGAACTCAATCCGGTAGCAGCAAGAGTACTTGTTGTACCCTCCGCCACCGCTGCTGTCACCTTCCCCACTCATGTTGACTTGCTCGAGGATGTAGGAAGCGTATAGTTAGAGAGTATTGTGTTTTGTGATGAGTTCTCAGAAACTGAAAGGGGCAGGTTTGAAGAGTCAACACGGAAAGCAGTCACAAGCACTTCTTTTTATAATAGACATAAGTATCAACTGCGCCACACACGGGGAGGGCCAGCTGAGGGTCGACGCAAGATATTCTCGGAATGCCGACTCCCCCTACTTACCTTCGGTATGCCGAAAGATGGCAAATCTTTCTTCCTCAGGTTAGGCAACATCTTGGGCCGTATGTGCATCCAGCCAAACGATGCGGCGATTCAGAAGCGTGAAGTTTTTGAGGCACTGGAAAGAGCATGAGGCGGCCGGCTCGCCAGCCTCTTTGGGAAGTCCCCGATAAGAGGCTTAGTGTTAACGAGACCGGATTGCATAGGGCTGCTGGGGCGTATCCATATCGGGTGAGAGACCAGCCGTCAGCAGTTGACGGCGAAAAGATGTGGACGAATTCAGTTGAACAACATTGACTTGATGAAGAAGTTGGAGTTGTAGGAGACGAATATTTGGAAGACCCTGAGAACAGCTTCATTACCATATCTAGCTGCTTAGCCTATATGAAAAGACCAGCAAAAGTGAAGACGTTCTTCTTAGTCGATTGACCTTGCGATAGCAGAAAATGGGGCCCATTTCTGTCTGGAACCGTTCTTTTCAGTGGTTGCCCGATGCTCAATTCATCGGGTTGCGGGGTTCGGTTGCGGCCAGGCCAACCCACCAGGCCTATCACTCTCCGGATGAATACATGCTTACCGCCATTACAGAACGCGCAATGAGGCACGCATCGGTAAGCAGGTATTGACAGCTGAGCCTACCGAGTAACAAAGCAGCTGAGGTCCACGGTTCGCTGGTCTGGTGCGTGGGCGTGTTCGTCCGTTATAGGGTGGACCGGAGTGCCTGCTAGATGTCTTCGCTGCAGCAGCACAAGTATACTTGAGGATGTGTACAGGCGGTTACAGCAACACATGCTCTGGAGGGGAAAAGACTGAGCGTGGAGGATGGGGATGTAGTTGAAATTGGGAGCCAGGCCATCGTCAAGCCCTGCGACGTTATCGGTAGTTCTAGCACAGAGTAGGTAAGCGCGATTGACCCTGCGAGAGATTTTGACAATCCCTTAGTCGTCTCGACGAGGGCATCTTCACCACCACCTCGTCCCTCCAATCCATCAACATACGTTGCACTGTCACCGCTTCCATCTGGCGTCTGTCCTCGTGGCTATCAACACCCGCTCGGCGAGTCCCGAACCGAGTCAACTAGCAACACGCTGCATGCGGGCACAGCAGGAGCACGACGACCTTCCCAACTGGCTATGTGCCAAAGGACGTTCGGCCTCATCGTCACCTCACGGGCACAACAGCAACTGCTTCACTCGAGAAGGGCCGAGTCGTCTTGTGTACTACCATTGAACTACTGCGCGAATTACAGAGCACAACCATGAAGCGTCCCCGCCTGCCAAGAGAGCACGAGCGCGATGCTTTGCCCATGACTGCTGACCTACCTGCAGAACAAGCTTGATCCTCGAGCTGTTTAGCGCAACGGCTACTGACGTTACCGTTGGAGCGTCGATAACCTCGTCATAGCGTCGGTTGCCGCCCAATTTATGTCCACGACCAATCTCGTCACGTGGTATGGAAAAAATGAAGCCCCACCACCACAACTCCGTCGAAGTTTTAACTTTAACAGCATGATTCCCCGGGGCGCTCTCCACAGCCTTTCAAAGGGCGCTCACTTGACTACACACGTCTCCGCCTACTCCGCCGGCACATCCGGAAATGCACACGACATAGCAGAAGCTGACTTCTGCAGCTCACTAACATAGTCGCGAACGTACCTTTCTAGCCGGAAGAACTTCTGTTGAACTTCAGCAGAGCCGGCAATACGAGGGCCCGGGGACCGGTCCATCTGAAAGCCAGGCGCCATGACCGACTATAAGCGGTGTGAATCCGATCCCCAGTGACGGCTTTGCAGAATGCAGAAGAGGTGGATCCAGATGGGCATCTGGGGCCACTTTGCAGACATGGCGGTAGCCAGGGTGATGCGGGAAGGCTGGTATGTAGCCCAGCCTTCCGCCCAGCCCTCCGGATGTCCACCAGGGTAGCAGGTATGTCTCGACTCTGTTTTCGAACGCGCTTTACGGCCTGCGAGCCAGTGCGTTGCGTCAAGAGGGCTGTTTGAGGGAGACTGGAGTGGTTGGATTCCACGCGCCGGACCAGAGCTCTCCGGTCACAACACGAAGCTCTCACAACAGCTAAGTTGCTAACGTATCGGCCGAACCGTTCTGCTAGGATGGGCGCTATCAACAGCAGGGTGCTGGGGCTAACTTGGCAATGCTTGCTGAAGCTTCGGCCAGTTGTCGTGAGAATGGTCAGGCGTGGGAGGCGAATGGTGTGGTGTCCGAGGCAGGTGTCGGTGTGATAGGCCCAGATACCTTGCCCGAATCTCACCCCGCAGCGTCTAGAAGAACACCAGAACGCTTCCAGTGCTTCCAGGGCTCAGGCACACATGAATCGGCGAAGGGATCCCCGGCCCGGCTGGAGCATTCTGCGAAGGTCTCCACAGCCCCGTCCGCACTCAACACCATGCCCCACCCACGATACGCACTGGGCACGCACTTTCACAAGCAAGACGCAGCGCAGCTCCTCGGTCGGCGGTGCAGGCGCGCGGTGTTTGAGCAGACGAAGGGCTTGGACACGGCCCGCAACCTGGGCCGGACGGACAGCAGGCGGCTCAGAATTTGCAAGATGGCGACGGCTCGGGAGTTGCGCCAGCGGTGCATGCGGTCTGCAGCTGCTCGGAGGCGCGGACAAGCACGCTAGCGGCTGCGAGAGGCGTCATGCAGAGCAGAGCGAGCGAGCAGGCGGTCAGGCAACGCCTGCATGATCATCAGCCTGCTCCACGAAGATGGCGACGCTGGCACCGCCAGGCCAGCGTCCCTCGCGCGCTGGCGGTGCCTTCGGACGTGCGCTCTTGCGACTGGACGGGCTGCGAATGAGTGCTGGAGGACGAGGGCGCTCAGTGCTCGCAGACGGCCCTACCAACTGACCAAGCTGTCCAGTCTCAGCGTCGTGGGGGTGGGTGGTCATATCTGGCTGCGCATGGCGTTATCGCGACCGCACCCAGCACAGCGGTACGCCAAGGGGGCTGCGCAGCAACAGGCGGGAGACGCAGAGGATTCGCGCACGCAGAGATTCCAGCGCCAACAGCAGACACCTCATCTGCCCCTCCTCACCAACCACGCCGACGGACGCAGCAGGGCCAAATTGGCAGGGTGGCGAGTGGGTCTCGTGTGCGCTGCTCCCCTCCTGTCATGGCGCGAACTGCTCTCGAGCGGCGGCGGTACCCCAGACGCGGCGACTCGATCAATTTCGAGGGGACCTGTGACAGCCTCGAGAAGCGTGCGGCGACGACAACGCGCTGCGGGGAAGGCGAGCGAGCGGCCGCGTTTTGGCCTCGACGTACTGTACGTACTGTTCCTATCGCCATGCCGCCTTGCGCGAGGGAGGGCGTCGAGGGAGGCAGTGGACGGGACCTCAGGCGCTGGGCGCGGCGGTGGAGCCAAGCGCGGGGCTAAAGAGCTTGGGCTTTTGGAAGGCGACTAGAAGGCGGCGATGGCTTTCTACACAGGTTCGGTGCAGCCTCTAACGGCTTCGATTGCATGCGCCCCGCCCACAGGCCAACCTTATTGCCTGCGCCGGTCGGCTCCGCACCACCCTTCTCGGCCTCGCCAGCACCAGCAAGCTCGCCGACCAGGCGCCCTCGACGGCCCAGGGGTGTCGGCATGCCGGGGCCATGGCCGTCGCACTGCACGCTGCTGGTCCGGGGCACGGCAGGCCGCCCACTCGTTTGCTGGCCGTTGTGCGCTCCGAAATAGCGGCCGCTGGATCACCGCGCCATGGCCGGCGCAGACAGGGCGGCGGCGGGCGCTGATTCGGCGGGTGGGAGTGGCGCTCGGGCAGCCTGCGCATCGCATCGGCTTGGCCTGCATCGCGGTCGGGGCGAGCACGGAGAGCGATGTAACCTTGGAGCTTGCGCTCCAAGTCCCGAGGCGCCATTCGTTGCGCGTGTGGGGTGTCCTCGAGCGGCCTTCACGCCACAGGACGAGCCCAGCAGCAGGCAAGCAGCAGGCCAGCAGCAGGCCAGCAGCAGGCCAGCAGCAATCCAGCGGCGCGCCAGGACGGAGCCTCGCACTTCACCACGACCTGCAAGCGGCCAAGCGTCACCAGGCGCGTCCTCTCCTACCTGGGCACCCCCCTCAGTCTTTTAATATATCCATGCATCCTGCCGCGGCATCTTGGATGCAACCCCTTGGCATATCAGCTCCCCTGGCCACCCGCTTGCATCTTATCTCACTCGGACCAACCAGCTCCACATCTATAATGCCCGCAGCGGCTCGCAGTTGACCTCTCCCATACAGCGTGCTTGCCCCTCGTCTCTTTGTTTATTCTGCTCCGTCGTCCGTCTGCTCCGTTGCTCTGCCGATGCTATAATTGCAACCCCATCCTCTTATACATACTCCACCATGGCCATGTCGTCATCAGCAACTCGCGCCGTCGAGCCTCAGAAACCCGAGTCCGCCAACACCACCGCGCCCCGAAAGCGTCGCAGGAGAGCGCCGGCCACGGGAGCTGCCGAGGACTGCCACGCCTGTCGGAAGGCCCAGACGAAATGTGACCGCAAGCGTCCGTACTGCGGGCCCTGTATCGACCTGGGGAAGGAGTGCTCTGGCTACCGCACCACCTTGACCTGGGGGGTGGGAGTTGCAAGCAGAGGGAAGCTCCGTGGTCTGTCGACGCCTGTTGTGCAGACCCCCTCCCAAACCAGCAATGCCCGGGACTCGAAGACCCAAACCAGCTCGGACAAGGCTGCGTCAAACCGCCCGACCTCCAAGGCCGATGCCCAGCGGACTCTAAACATGCAGCGCTCTCAATCACCGGCAAGCCCAGTCTCATACCCACCACCGCAAGAGTTCATGCACCTGGATGCCACCAGTCCAATTCCAATCCCCTCTCCCACGACGTCACACCTGGGGTGGCACATTCCCGGCTATGGCGATCACCTGGACTACACCTCGCATTCAGGCAAAATGAGCCGCCCCCACCTGAACAGGGGACCACTCCAGAGGTTACACACGTCATTAGCAGTGTCATATGAAGACGCTGGGCTGTCTGCTTCCACGGGCTCTCTGAGTGCGTACAGCGACAGTGACTACCCATCCCCAAGCGAATATCCCCAGACCCCCGAGGACTTTTCGTTTGCGGACAACTCCATTCCCCCTTACCACGGCCTCCTCATGCATGAGCACACGCCAATGAGCTCGAGCGAGAACCTCCTTTACCAGGAGGCTCCTCGCTCCTACCCCGTGACAGACGACATGAACTCTAGCATTAGCTCTGACCAGAGCCACCACGACTATGTTGAGGCCAACGCAGCACCGGCGGGGTCGTACGAGTCGTCGAGCTACCCGGATGTGTTTTTTGAAGGGGAGATGGGTGCAGGCGTTCATGGATTCTCCCATCCAGGCTACGCATATCTGCCCGCCGAGGGTACGTCTTCCAATGGTTCCGGTGTGGTTTCTACACAAGTGTCAGCGCTCACTCCTTCCGTTCCTCAGAACCTCTATCCTTTTCCCGCTTCCCACCTTTCCCAGCGGATGAGATACCTGCTGGACTACTACGACAAGTTTATATGCCCGGTGCTCGTGGCTTTTGACGGCCCTACGAATCCGTATCGGATGCACGTGATGCATTTGGCGATGCGGAACGAGGGCTTGATGAACGCCATTGCCGCCCTGGCGACGAACAACATTCGCATGAGAGGCGGCATTGAAGCACACCGGCTGGGCTTTAAGCAGGACCATGGATCCTCCGGCCTTCTCCCCGACCACGCCTACTCCAAGATGACAGCCGAGGAACTGCGCGAGCTGCACGGTGAACCTTCCCCCGAAGAGAGGGTTTACAAGTCGACCTCCATTGCGTTGCTCAACGCCGAACTCGCGGACCCGATCCGCGCCAAGGACGACTCGGTCCTTGCTACTCTTCTCATTCTCTGTCTCTTCCACGTCTGTGACAGTGGATTCTCCAAATTCAAGACCCAACTAGCGGGCGTGCAAAAACTACTAAGCCTGCGGGACCGAAGCGTCCAATCCAATTTCGTCGGCTGGATCGAAGTCTTCTTCACGTGGTTCGACGTTATGAACAGTACGGTCAATGACCGTGAAACGCAAGTCCTTGGCGATTCCCTCGACATGATGAACCTATCCACAGACCTCGGCGCTCTCGAGCATTTCTCAGGTTGCGAGGGAAGGCTGTTCAAGCTCATAGCCCGGCTAGGGCGTCTCAACCTGCTCAGCCAGAATCGGCCAGTCCGAGACCTTTGCCCTGAAAATAGTACGACGCCTACGCAAACGCCGCAGCTGAAGAACAGTGGCAAAGACTACTATTCCTTGCAACTTGAGAACCTCGATGGCAATGGGTGGGGTGCTTCTTTGGGCGACGCTCCCAGCCATGCTTCAATGTCACCGCGAGGCAGCATCTCGGTTCCGGAAGAAGATCCACGCGCCGCCTTCTGGATGGAGTGGCACGACGTACGATCGCGGCTTCAGGAGTGGGAGCTTGAGCCTAGTGATCCGCAGTCTTGCGGTGCGACATCATCGTCGCTAGCCTTGTCCCCTGCGCAAGCGGCGCTGCTGCACATCAGCGAAAGCTTCAGGTATGCGGCGTTGCTGTATACGGAGCGCTTGGCACACCCGACGGTATCGTCGTCGGCGCTCAACATCCAAAACCTGGTTGCGCAGGGGTTGTATCACATTTCGCAGATCGGTGTTACCTCGTGCGTTAACAAGTTTCTCCTGTGGCCTCTTTTCATCACGGGGACCGAGTGCGTCGACGAGCAGCATCGGGCAATTGTGCGGCAGCGGTGTGTCGAGATTCAACGCGAGAGCGGGTTCTTCAACAACCTTAGCGGGCTTGAGGTGTTGGAGCGTGTTTGGCGAGAGGATGACGAGAGGCGGGAAGGCGACGGGCAGAGCGTTGAGCAGGGCATGCTAGGGGCTCAGGCGTTCAAGTGGCGCAGCGCGATGGATCGCGTTGACGGGGAATACATCATGATCTAGCATGGGGGCAAGTCCGGGGCGGGAGGGGAATGAGGCTCGAGCGGGCCGGCTTGAATCGCTGTGTCACGGTGTTGACACTGACATTGACGGCAAAAACAGGCGGTGGCTTTTGGGCACGGCATGGGCATTTTAGCATGGGCAGGATTTGGGATCACGATCGCATGAGGCACGCAGCAATACGTCAGGCATGCGGACAGGAACATCACATCATATCATAAGGGCATCAAAATATCACACCACCACATATCCTCTGCAGCTCTCTTCACTCTATGCTCATCTGTACTGACGCCTTCGTCTCTGCCAACCTCTAGCGCATCAACCAGCACAGAACACGACAGCTCGGTGCATCTCCAGACCTGGGCGGGGTGCTGGCAGGCCGGATGCTGGGATGGGCATTATCGGTAACCATTCTGCAGCAAGGGTGCCTTTGATGGATTGCGTACCTAGGCTAGCGCATCTGGCTCCACAACGCCTATACATACCCCATGCCCAAATTCGCACTCTATGTACAACCGCATTTACACTAGCACAGGACCTCGTTTTGATACCGGCCACTCCCGCATCCTCCATCGCGACGATCTTACCGTCGGCTGCGATTGCTGACTGCTCTCGATAGCCGTTCCCTGAAGGCCCTGATGCAGCGCCCGCGGCGTCTTTCACTGTTGCGATCCGCGCAGGGACTTCCGGGCGTCTTGTTTCAGGTCACGGTCAGCCTTTGGCGTGGAGGCGGCCATGGCGCCCGCTTGCTGGCGGCCAGTTCGCACAGCAGAGGCCACCCTGACATGTCTCTCGGGCTCTCCGTCCAGCGGGTGACAGGCAGGGCCATGGCTGGCATGCAACTCTTACAGTAATTCTCTGCGCAGCGGGGCGCGCGATATGGCGTGTGCCCGCTGGAACAGCAGCTGTCAGACGGGCGGTCCTTGCGACGGACGGAGACCACGGACCCTCTTCCTTTCGCTGCTCGCTCGCCACCACTTCATGTCTGCGCGGGAACACTGCTGGCGTTCGCTCCGTAAGCTGCCATCCCACTCTGCAACCCACGCCTGCCCGGTTGGCTGTCGGGTGCTTCGGCATGTAGAATTTGGCGTGAGGCGAGGTGTGAAGAGCGACAGGTTCGAGGATGGACGTCCCTAACTCGGGATGTGCGATCCGAGACGGCGAGAGAGGAATAGGCGTCTTGCTTGCGTGCAGTAGCGGGCTGGCAGATGAAGCGCCCGTTCGCGCATCCTGATGTGCTTTACCCGGTTTTCGAGTCGTCTCTGCAGCACTGCTGGGCGCGTGGCGTGTAGCGAGCACTAGACGGGTTCAAGGATGGTCCAAGACCAGCGCCTTGGGGCCGTTTCTTACGTCTTTACCTCTGATTACAGCCAATGACTAGCGACCACGAGACACCTAGCGTGGCCCTGCCATTCGCTACCCCTCTAATGGGGCTGTATCTTTCGGGAGCCATGCCATGTCTTTGAAAACGGCTTGGCAGATTGGTCCGCTCCCATCCACCGCTGATGCCGTCTATTCCCCAGGGCCGACGGTGGTTGGATGACGGAGGAGGCTTCGATCTGAGGAAGGGAGCCAAGCGTGCAGATCCGATCACCGCGGCCTCCACACTAACTCACTAGCGCCTCAGCCTCTCAACACCAGAGCCACCCCCAGAGACGCCCGCCAAAGCATCGTCATCGACTTGTTGTTTTGGTCGTGACAGCTTGGCAGGGTCCAAAGTGTATCGCCATGTCTCAACACGCCCTCCTTGCCGGCGGCGTCACTGCTCGTATCTCTTTCACTTGCCACGTCGATGCACCGCGTTGTCCACACTGTCCACTCCGACCTACATGTCGTGTCCAGCACCCTGAGCATCGCCCTCCTCGCACGTCCGCGCCCAGCTTTGCGGACAAATTCGGCGCCCTGGCCCTCGGCACTCCAGACAATGGCCAAACGCAAGCGATCGTCTGTGTCGGCCGCCTCCGCGTCTGCTGCACCGCCGCCCCTCCCATCTCAACACCCTCACCCACCTGCCTTGAAGAGCGCAACGCCCGCAGTATCGGCCCCTAACCTAGCGTCTCCGCATGCAGATGCACCTAGCCGCCGTCCATCACAGCGAACAGCTGCTCCAACGTCTGCCGCGACAACGAACCCAGACCGCGACCCCACGATAATCGACGGCGCCACGGCCCTACGAGCATCTCCAACGGGCGATTCGAATGCGGGGATCATCCCGTCTTCTATACGTACGGACGGCCAAGTCGCCGACTTTGGCCTCCCCGATGCAACGCTCGAGCCTCCTGCGAAGAAGACGCGAGGGGCGCGTCGTGAAGCTGCAGCGAAGCCTGCAGCGAAGCCAGGACCACAGGGCTTAGCCGTGGGGGTGGGGAGCAGTGTTAGCAGATCGGCTGGTAAGGCTGGCACGGCTACCACGACAGGCAGAATCACATGCGACGACGATATCCAGCAGGACCCAGAGGCCGAGGACGACGAGCAGATCGACGACGCCGACGTCGAGCAGGCATTGGCGAGACCGCCGCCCGTCGACAGTGACTATCTGCCTCTGCCGTGGAAGGGACGGCTGGGCTACGTGCGTGAGCCCCTGACGCTGCTGCACGGCGTTCGATAGACCTCCTGCAGACAAACGGACCACCTCAGACCTACACGAACGACACGGCTAACACTGAAGCGCAGGCCTGCCTCAACACGTACCTGCGCAACGCGAACCCCCCCGTCTTCAGTTCGAGGACCTGCCGCATTGCCTCGATCCTCGAGCATCGCCATCCCCTGAAGCATCCGTCGCTGCCCGAGCATCCTACTAAGAACCGCCCGGACCGCGACCAGCCGGCTGATGTGGCCCGCGGGCAAGCGTACGTCGAGGCGCTGGGCCTGGCCAACGCCCGTGATGTTGTGAAGATGCTGCGCTGGAATGATCGCTATGGGATCAAGTTCATGCGGTTGAGCAGTGAGATGTTCCCCTTCGCAAGCCACGCCGAGTACGGCTATAAGCTGGCCCCTTTCGCAGCCGAGACGCTGGCGGAGGTTGGCAAGGTGGTGGCGGAGCTGGGGCATCGAGTTACTACCCATCCGGGACAGGTAAGCACGCACTGTCTCTCTTTACATAACACCAATTGCGTGAAAGACGGTAATAATTCGCCACTCTTTTCCCCGTGGGTAAATTACCCCAAGAAGCGGTGAAGTGAGGATTGTAGTCCGTATATGCTTCGGACCCTTGCAACTTGATAGCTGGAGGTCACGAGACGGTAAGATGCGTTGTGATGCCACATGGGGCATAAAAAAGATGGCACTTAACAAGCTGCGGTGAATGTGTACGCGTGTGCGCCACTGCTTGGGTTGCTCCAATGCATTCTCAGAACTCCGAACTCGATAAAAGTTTTCCGCATTAAGCCATATGGAAGCTCGTTGAAGGACTTCAAGCAGTGGCAGACAGGCGTACCCATGAGGCCGCATGCTTGATGAGTATGCTACTTTTTTTCACGCCTAAGCGTGGATGCTTCGTTGGGGTACGCCATCACGTGGGCCATACACAGTCGTTCCCATCGTGACTTCAAGCCAACAGCGTCTGGCTATCAATTTGCGTAATGGGTCTGAAGCATACACAGAACATACCCTCAGTCAACTACACATTCACAGCATTCAACAAAACCCTCTCAACCCACCATCCTCCTCCAACCTCAACGTCAACCCCGACTAACCCCCCCTCCCCAGTTCACCCAACTCGGCTCCCCCCGCCCCGCCGTCATCGCCGCCTCGCTGCGCGACCTAGCCTACCACGACGAGCTCCTCTCCCTGCTGCAGCTCCCGCCGCAGGCCGACCGCGACGCCGTCATGGTCCTGCACATGGGCGGCGTCTTCGGCGACAAAGCCGCGACCCTCGCCCGCTTCCGCGCGCACTACACGTCGCTCCCACAAAGCATCAAGAACCGCGTCGTGCTCGAGAACGACGACGTCAGCTGGCACGTGCACGACCTGCTGCCGGTCTGCGAGGAGCTCAACATCCCGCTCGTGCTGGACTTCCACCACCACAACATCCTGTTTGACGCGGCGCACGTGCGCGAGGGGACGCGCGACGTGGTGGCGCTGTTTCCGCGGATTGCGGCGACGTGGGCGCGGAAAGGGGTGCGGCAGAAGATGCATTATAGCGAGAGCGAGCCCGGGGCGGTGACGCGCAGGGAGCGGCGGAAGCATGCGCCGCGGGTGCGGGGGCTGCCGCCGTGTGACAGGGCGATGGATTTGATGGTTGAGGCGAAGGATAAGGAGCAGGCGGTTTTCGAGCTCATGAGGGTGTACAAGTTGCCCGGGTTCGAGAGGCTGGCGGGTGTGGTGCCGTTTAGGCGGGATGATGAGAATAGGCCGGTGCTGAAGAGGGGGATGGGGAGCAAGGGGGGGAAGGGGAGGGGTGAGGGGTTGGGAGAGATGGATGTGGAGACTGAGGGCCATGAGGTTGTCAACGAGGTTGTGCCGGAGGAAGAGGTTAGTATGGGCGGGCCGGACGGCCGCGTGTATTGGCCGCCGGGGATGGAGGAGTGGCTGCGGCCCAAGAAGCGCGTTATCGTGAAAAAGGAGGACGGTGGGAAGGCGGCGCCGGCGAAGAAGGCGAAAGGGAAAGTGAAAGCCACAGATATCGTCAAAGCTGAGCAAGACGACGAGGTGGCTACACCTGCCAAACGCCCTGCTCCCAGGCACGCAGCGAGTGCAAGGAAGAAAGTCGCGCGAGAGGTCCCTACTCCATCGACGTCTGATGGCGAAGACGAGATGGCTGATTTCAGCACCCATGAGACGGAGGCGGAGGTGGAGGTGAAGCGTGCGAATGGCATGAAGGCAAGGACGCCGGCGAGGAAGAGTAGGAGGGCGCTGAAGGTTAATTATGCTGAGGATGAGTAGGGGATGGGAGTGAAGATGTGGGTGTAAGTGTAATGTAGCTGTATGGTTAGGTAACGCACAGATAAGTACATGTAGGATAGACTAGGAGGCATAATATAGCAACTTCTGGCAAATCACGTGGAACGAATGAGTGTCGACCGCAGGAATGTGGTGACTCGGCTTCTGTGCTTCGGGGTTTGAGGGGATGGTATTGGTTTTCCAGTGATTCATTCAGATCCTCACTTGCATCCCTAAAACCCGAGCCTTCAAACTCGATCCTCGGTTTCCTGTACCCCCAGGGCCTCTAAGAGGGGCGCGGGCTGCTTCGACGAAGTGTCAGCTCTGCCAAAATCGTCTTTTTACGCACTCGAATTGGCACCGGAGTGAGTATAGACGAGTTAGGAGATCTGAGCTCTGCGGACTTCATCAGCCGTTTAGGGCTGTTGGTGGGGTCGGAATGGTCTGCCAGACCTTCCAGGGTATGCGTAGGGATCAACTCCATCGCGAGTGAGGGCTGTGGGGTTCCAAGGTAAAGTTGCAACATGTCGTTGGGTCATCGTTGGATGACCTGACAATTGATGCTCTCTTAAGAAACAGGCAAAGCGGAAAAGAAGGGCTGTACTTACTTCTTTTAGCTGCCCGTGGTGGAATACCCGCTATTCACAATCTATATGGGTGCTGCCCTCTCCGAGCGAAGGGGCAGAGAATGTATGCGTTTGGAGTAGTATCTCCAGGGCGTTGTGGTGATAGCATACCCAGGTGTTCTATCCCTGACCCTGATCTTTGGGATAGATCGGGGTTATCTGGATATACTTCGTTTATTGGAGGAGCCCTCGCCACGTGCCGCGGTTCCGATTCAGGTGTATGTGGCATTACCAGTTTGTATTCTTCCGCGGCATTCTTGCCTGTCTTAGGAACATTCATGATGGCGCTGATGAAAGGGTATTTTGATTCATCCTTGAGCTCTTCAGCTTTGGCCTCAGACATGTTAGTAACGTAGAAGAGTTTTTCGATTTCCGGAAACTCGCTTCGCTCTGAGAGGAAGCCAGAGGTCTTGTCTAAATGAATCGTGAAATTCAAGAATATGTTGTAGTCTGTGCCAAATTTCGCCGTGAAGAAGTAAGGCCCTGGCGTAGCTGACGGCGTCTGAGAGGACGAAGAGGACGAACTTGAAGAGCCTGTAGTGGTAGACACAGTCGCCGACTGGCGAGTATTTCCTGGTGATGAAATCGATGTATGCTCCGCCGTTGACGCCTGCAAAGACGTGACCTTCCCAGATCTGGTAGGAAGACTTGTTAGTGGAGTACTCGTCGCTACTGTAGATGCGCCTGAAACTGTAATTTGCGATGAAAACGTTGATTGCGGATCAGAAGTTGTCGGATCAACCCCCGTCGTCGGAATGCTCGCGGTTGGCAGGTCATCTACTGGTTCCAGGTCCGAGAGTGAGCTCAGCCCTGGTGTTTCGCGACCAAGCCCGCCCTTCGGTTTTGGCACGCTTGGATCTAAGAGGTCCTTCAGCTGCTTTTGTGCCTCTTTGATAAGGTCGGGAGGATTATCCTTTTGTATGGCGTCCATCAGAGTTTTGGCGCTATTCACGACATTTGTCATGTGTCTTGCTTCCAGCCATGCAGTTTTGATCAGAGGGCCGATATCCGAGGTGTTGAATTTGCCGTTCAGAGACTTGAGGTTATCGGCGAAATCAGAGGGAAACTCATCAGTGAGGCTATTGATGGCATATGCGAGGTCTTGCGCAGCTGCGATTGATTAGCAAAAAAGAGTCTGGCCTGGTAGAGTACTAGAACAACAGTCTGTACATGTGAAGTGCCTAAGTACTGTCGGAAATCCGAACGAGACGTAAGTACATCGTTTTGATCGGCGTTGAATCTCGCCAGGCGACCTCGAGTAACACCATCCATCGGTACAGAAGGCGATGTTGGCATGAGCAACCCAGCTACATCAAAGGATACTGAAGCAGTATTAAAGGAGTGCACACAGGGCTTCCTGATCAGTACCAGGAAAGCACGTGTGGATACTCGATTGGCGCCGCCTGGAATGCTTCAATATGACTCTGAAATTTGTAGTTGGGGTAAAGGCTACCTCCTCAAGTAATGAATGAATGACGTAGGAACCCAAGACGAGTTAGGCAGCCGGGTCCTGGTTAAGATGCAACCACATCTCTTCCAGATATTTCAACCGTGCCAACCGCTCCAGGCGGCGGCACGTAAGAGTAGCGGCATGGAAATTTGAGAAGCTTACCTTGGTCTACCAAGTTCAGTTTGCTGGTGATGGCGGCATGCTCGAGAGTGTCTGCAGTACCCTTTACAAAAGGTGCCGTGTCTTTCACGAGGCCTCCTACTCCATCAACTGCGTCTTTCGCTCCTTTGGCTAGATATTTTATAGCCCCAAATAGAAATTTGCAATTTGACTTCTTCTTTTTCTCAGGCCCTCCTGGCTTCGCCGTGATACCAGCACCCAGGTCGGTTTCCCCCTTGAGTCCAGACGGAATAGGCCTGTCTGCTCCTCCTGCTATGATTACACCGGAAGGGGACATCTCAACGTTCTCCACTGTACTGGCAGAAGGAAGCATGCGTGGTACGACGAATGGGATGGGAGAAGGACGAACTCTTGATCATCCATGACGACGTTCAACTCGTTTGCTAGGGCGGAAAAGTTGCCATATGTAGAAGCAGGATTGGCCGTCATCATTGCACCTTGACAAGATAGAGCCTGTGGTGCTGTACCGGTGGCTTTGAGAGCTAATGTGACTGTGCCGCACACCACCTCCGTCGGTCTAATCACAATGTCGCCGCCGCTTGACTGCGTGATGGTTCTAGTCTTCGTCTCGAAAGGATAGGTATCAGGTCCAATGACGATTTCAGGTCCTTCTGTTACTAGCGTGATGATTGAGAGTTGGAAGGAGGTGACCGTCGTGGTGACTTGGATGATGGAAGGTTGGATATTGGCGCTGGAGCCACCTGATCTCTGATTGGTCGAAGCCGTAGAAGCGGAAGAGGACGCTGAGTCTAAAGTGATAGATGAAGATGTGGTCGAAGACGAAACGCTCGTATCTCCCGAAGTCTCCGTCGTAATCGTGTATGACACCAAAGTACCATGCCACGGCGAGGTAGGTTGTTCAAGTAACGAAAGCCCTCCTGGCTGGTGTTACATAATAGGATCTTGGGAGATAGCTATTAACAGAGATGCAATCTGTGACTGTTAGCGTCTAAGAATGATTAGAGAAACTGTCCGACTGACGAGGAGAAGACCCGTCCACGGCCATCGCACATGGGCCAGCATGTCGACTGAAGTAGGGAATTTGCGTACTGAAGACTGATAAGTAAAAGAGGAAAGCGAGAAGGTAAGGATGCTACCCGCAAGTGCCTATATCAAAAACACGTCTGAAACAATGAAGAAAGAGAGCAATGAACGAGTAGAGAAAAGTTGGAGTGATAAAGAGAGTTGATGGGCTTCCTCTTATACAAGTGACATTGCTAGCACTGGTGGCCTTCTATAAAGGACACATGCTTCTTCGTAGTCTATACTCATTGTCATTAGGACATATTTGCGGCGAGAAGTTGCGAAGTCGAGGCGATGTGTATCCGAAGGCGATGCACCAGGCCCCCGCGGCGAAATGAAGCAGGATTCAAATTTGCACTGCCATAATGAGGTACTTGAGACTAGATGGGATTCTCGCCAGAAGAAGGATTAGGTATTCGCGGCTCGGGTGCAATAGTTACGAAGAAATGCGTAAGACAGGGGGAGACACAGGTAGTCCCCCTTGCGACGCAGCGCCGCAAATGTGTCCGCAGTCCTAAGACGTCGCAAGTGTACAGCAGGTATATCAAGCTAAGATAAGGAGACAGTTTTTAAATGCCTCCTTTGGGATGATTAAAAATTTGGTAGGGACGTACCGAGCTGCGTGTGCCTGATTCTTGAGCTGCGAAAATGAATATGCTGAGTTTGAGCCGTTTCAGTACACCTGGACAGAGGCCTGGGAGCGAGACGGGAATTTGGACGCGGCCACGATGCAACACTTCTGCGCGAGCCAAAACTTGCCAGTATAAGTAATATGCATCCATCAGCATCATTCCGACTAGGTGGGTATATCTGCATCTCAAGAAGTGTTTTTCATAGAAAGAAACATCCTCCCTCAACCATCACCCCCCTCGCCATCATCCTCAGAATCAATCTCCTCCATCTTAACCTTATCCTTGACAAACCCCTTGTCTTTGTCAAGCGTAGCCTCGAAACCACCGGACGTTATATATAAGAAGGTCGAGTCCTTGTAGTTATCGATATGAGAAAAGAAGTTGTGGAATCTATGCCCACAATTAGCAAAATACGACGATAGGGTTTACGCATCCACCACGGGACAATAAGAAGCCAAACTTACTGATTCGATTCCGCCTCCTCCCTAAAGATCCTTTCGTAAATCTCCCTCTGCTTAAATTCATCCACTGTCTCCTTGTACCTGTCGAAGTCAATCGTCGCCCTCCCATGCTTTTCCGCCTGCAAAGTGTTATAACTATCAAATACCGGCCTCTCCAACAGCAAGCCTAACCCGGGTGCCTTCGGAATCGGCATCAAAACATTCCCGTACGACTCCTCCATTCTCTCAATCGGACACCCGCACCGCACCACCAGCGCAGCCATCCCTACCATCTTCCGGATCTGATGCATCATGAAGCTCTGGCCGTGGACTTTCAGACTCAGCCACTCGGTGTCGTTGATCATAATAGGCTGCTCGGCGACTTGAAAGGACTTGATGTGGCGTTTGGCGGAGGGGTCCTTGAACTTCTTACGCACGGTGTAGTTGTGGTAGTTTTTGGTACCGAGGTATTGGCTGAGGGCTTCTTGGACGCGGGCTTTGCGGGCGGGGGAGATGCGGTAGGAGCGTTTGGCGTCCATATAGGCACGGCGGAGGGATTTAATGGCCGCGTCCAGGACAGAGCGGTGGAGAGTGTTTTCCGGGAGGGGAACGGTACCGTCGGAAGTGTAGTTTAAGGAGATGTGCTGGTTGGAATCTTCGATCTGTTGTACGGCTGCGTCGATTTCCGCATTCTCGATCTCTTCGGCCTTGATCTCGGTTGCTCCATTTGCTGTCGACTCCGCAGGTTGTGGCTTGGCTTCCTCCTCCGATGCCTCCTCGACTTTCACGTCGCGTGCCTTTTCGACCACGGGATCTGATGCCTTGTCGAGATAACCGTCTACTTGATACAAGGACGCCTCCACCAATGGCCGTATTGAATCATCCATGGCATCCAGAAGCGGCTTGATCGTTTTCTCCTCGACCTCGGCCCAGAAATCTGCAACCTCTTCCTGGCGCTTGACGTGCTCTTTCAGATCGCCATGCTTCTCTGCAATTTCCACGATTTTCTTTCCCATAAAACTGGAAGGGTGCGGAGGGAGGAACGCATGTGTTGGTATTAGGTATTCGTACCACCGTGAGTCGCATGCTTGATAGCAACTAAATGATGTTGTGGTACGCTCGATTCCCCATACCCTGATCTGAGGCGACAGATGGCTGTTGATCTTTTCCACAATGTCCGCATCTTCTATGATCAGTTTCAGCGAGATGACATTGCCGGCTGCGTGTACTCCTTTATCCGTCCGAGCGCAGCGAACGAGCGAGGATTTCTTGGGGTCGTCGGCGTTGGATTTGGAGATTGCCCCAGCAGCTACGAATGCTGTGAACAGGTCGCCCTCGATCGTCTTTTGGAGGGTGTCTCTGCACGTGGGTCAGTAAGGTTTCCTGTGAGGTCGCTCAGTTCGTAATCTCACATCTGCATTCCCTTGTAACCAGTGCCCGAGTATCCCAGCATAACAGCGACCTTGCGCTTCGGTCTTCTCTCCTCGGCCTCGATCTCTGCCTTGGGAAATGCCGATGGCAGCACCGAATCGGGAGCCTTGCCATCCTCCTCGAGCTTTTGCCGTTTGGCCTTTTCGTTATCGTTGCGGCCTCTCCTGTCTAATTGTTCCCGGCTTGCCCAATTAGCAGTGCAATTTCCTGGCTTCGTGAATGCGGTCTTTACAAGTGTTCCCGACGTCCCAGATTCTTTTTCTTATCTCCACCCCGAGATCCATGCTGCAGCCGTCCGCCTCGCTCCCATTTGCGCTTTTTGTTCCGGCCCGAGTTTGGGAAGGACTCTTTCGAGTCGTCGTCGTCGCCACGGTCGAGTATGATGTTAATGGAGCTCGCTGGAGTACTCGGTCTCGTGTCATCGTCAAAGATGCTGGAACTCGCGGGAGTATTTGGGCGCTCAGGGCGCTCAGGCGGGTCCATGGCTGGCGACAGAGGAGCATGGAAGAGTAGCTAGATAGAAAAAGATTGAATTGAGTGAGGAGCTGGCGGAGAAATTCAGCACCAGTTTCGTCAAATGAGATGATTGGTCCAGTCTAAGTTTATATTTTCTGCCACCGCTTTGGCGCTCTGATCCGCCTTGGCAGGGCGGAAAGCTACAAAGGTACGACACCTCGATTGCGTCTCAGCATTGTCTGCCAGCTACCTCTCCACACCTCACTACACCCAACATCACTAACGCACCTCACCACACGTACAAACTCTCTCGAACTACCCCCCTTGTGCTCCCGCGGATGCTCGATACAACTTAACGCGACTCCACGCAGCTATGGATCCCCAGGCTCTGGCGACCTTGTTTGTGAAGACGGTGGTGCGCATGTTCTACGAGACCGAGCACATCGTAGTCATCGATGCACTGATCTTCCACAGAGCGCTGTCGCTTGCCGACCTCGCTATCGTTCTGGATTACGGCAAACAACTGAAGACGGCCCAGAAACTCTGTGGCAAACTGCGGGAAGGAGGTCTGATCTCAGTATTCGTGCGCCCCGAAATCCGCGATGGAGCCATGAAAGCGATAAACCGAGAATATTACTACGTCGACTACCGCCGCGCCATCGACGCTACCAAGTACCGGCTACACATGTTGGACGAGCGGATCAAGGCGAACGCGAAGCCTACACAAGAGAAGAAAGAGTTCTTCTGCCCGAACTGCAAGGCGCAGTGGACAGCGATGGATGTGCTCAGTAGCATCGACTGGGACAACCAAGACAGCGGGTTCCTATGCCTCACATGCAATAGGCCGCTCAGAGCGATCAACACAACCTCCGAAGCGCTGGCGGAGAGCGACGACACTCCTGCGAAGTTCAACCGACAGTTCGCATCGCTTCTGAAGCTCATGCAAGATATCGATGAAGTTACCATTCCAGCTATCGACGGCGAGCAGGCTGTCGAGAGTGCCAGAGAGCTACCTCGAGACAACGACATCAACCCAGCTGCGAAGCACGAGCCTGTTCTACCCACAAATACACGCCCGACAGCCGTCAAAGGACTTGCCACTGGCCCAGAAAAGATCGAAATCAACATTGCCACCGACCAAGAGTATACGGAGGTTCAACGCATAGCAGAGCTCGCAAAGCTAGAACAGATCTCCAAGCAGAACGAGCTTCCACAGTGGCATATCAAATCCACTGTCGACGACAAGGAATACTTCAGCAAAAATGGAAAGGATTCTGGCGGTCCGGTGAATGGAACAAGCACGCCTTCCTTCAAGACAGAAGCTGAAGAGGAGGGCCGTAAGAACAAAGATCCTGCGCTCGACGCGTACTTCGAGGCGCTGAAAGCTGAGCAGGAGCGCCAGGCAAAGGAAGCCGAGGAGGAGGAAGAGGAAGAGGACGATGACGATGAGTTCGAGGATGTGGTCACCGCAGGCGTAGTTGACATGCCGGATCCTAAGCGGGCCAAATTGTCGCCGCCGGTGCCTTCTCCGCCTCAGGTGAAGTTCGAAGCCTCGTCTCCAGCTGCCGCCCCGTCTCCGCAAGCTGGAGGAGGATCCGAGTCGGAGGAAGACGAGTTCGAAGACGCGATGTGAGGTCTCTATTCCGTGCATATAGCGATGGCGTTTGGTTAGCTAAGTTGGAGCATTATACCTTGGGTTTGGTCGTCATGTCGCATTTACAGGCGAAGAAAATGGGCCATCTCTGATGGATTTGGAGGCTCCCTGATAAACTTTTGCAACTCTAGCTAGCTCTGCAATAAGAATCAACAGATAGAACACATTCTGCTTACGTTGTGAATTCCTGACTATAATTCCTCTCCTTGACATATATTGGACCTCTGACATCGTTTCGTCAAAAATTAGCGAGAGCTAACCCACCTCAACCCCACTACGACTTCGATACAGCAACATTAACATCACGATCATCAAGCCGACGCACAATTACTCCAGACAATCTCACTCCTCCAAGATACCGACAACTCCCATGGCGATCTCATAATCGAACAGTCCTATGATGACGACCCCGACGCCATCTCTCTCCGCCCTCCTCGCGCAAACCCACCTCACGGACCACAGTGCCGTCCTCAATGCCGCTAACGCCTCTCTCAAGAAATCGAAAACCGACATCGAAGCACAGCATGTACGCGTGGTTGCGCTGCTGAATCTAGAAAGATATGCGGACACCCTAGACGCCTTCGAGAAAGGCGGAGAGAAGTTGAAGAAGAGCGCGGGATTGGAGTACGCATATGCGCTATACAGGGCCGGAAGGCCGAAGGAGGCTGTAGAAGTGGTGAAAGCGGATGAAAGCAGAGGTGCGAGGCATGTGCTTGCGCAGGCGGTGAGTGGCACTGTTGAAGTTCTGGCGGGTTGGGCCTCGAGGCTTGATACTAGATCTTGAATTATAATTGTGAGGATTGGAGACTGACACGCATGTAGTCTTATCGTATCGAGGACTTTGCGCGGGCGGCGCGGATATACCAGGAACTGGCCTCCCAGGATGGTGGTCTTGAGAATGAGGAAAATGATCTGAGGATCAACTCCGGTGCTGTAGATGCTCAACTCGAGTGGTCCGGGCAAGGGGATATAGCTGTGAGGAAGAAGTCTGCAAGAGAGGACTTGGAGGCATTCGAGACGTCTTACAATGCTGCTTGTGTGAGCATTTCGAGAGGCGAGCTGAAACAAGGAGATTTCCTGCTGCAAAGATCGAGAGACTTGTGCAACGCGTTGGAGGATCTGACCGAGGCGGAGAAGAAGGCAGAAATTCTACCAATATTGGTGCAGCAAGTATATGTGTTGATGCAAATGGGAAAGCTTGATGAAGCGGAGGAGCTGTGCTCGAATTTGCCATTTGCGGAGTAAGTGTTCTCACATTTCGCGGAGGAAAGGAGTCTAACATGCGTAGAATTCGTGAGCTCTCCACTAGACACATTGCTCAAGTCAACTCCATTGCAGCGTCCAAAGAACACTCGAATCCGTATCTATCCCATCGCCTCATGAACTCGACACCGGCTCCTCCTCCAACGGATCAGCATTTCACCTTCCAATCCACGATTCTCCGCCAGAACAAATATGCCATGGACCTACTCAGCGGAAAATACGCTGGTGTTGCCAACTCATCCTCCAAGTATCTCTCAAGCCAACCTTCTCCAACCATATCACCTGGCCCCGTCTCTGTTGCAGTCTTCAACGCCGCCGCCCACGCACATGCCCTAAAAGAGAAAGCTGCCATCAAGGAAGTCCTCCCCGTTCTCGAAAAGCGACCCTCAGACGTTGGCCTGCTCCTCACAGTAACGCAACTATACCTCTTAACAAACAACCACGCCGCCGCAACTTCCCTCCTCGAATCCTTCTTCCGCCGTCTGGAAACGTCCGCCACACCCGCCGATCTCGACGTCCGCTTCGCCCCCGGCCTCATAGCGACAATGGTAAGCCTCTACGCCATCCAAGGCCGGAAATCGCACAGCAAGAACGAGCTAGCACGGGCAGCGAGCTACTGGCGGCGCAAATCAAAGACGCCTCCAAAGACACTCCTGCGCGCAGCGGGCACAGCCTTGCTGGACAGCTACAACGAAGAAGACCTCAGCACCGCCGGGGAAATATTCTCCAGCTTACACGCGGCGGATAAAACCGACCGCGCTGCTGGCGCTGGCCTGGTCGCCGCGTACGCCATCATCGCGCCGGAGAAACTGGATAAAGAGCTCGTGGATAGCCTCCCGCCTGTCGCGAAGCTGGTGCAAGGTATCGATGCTGCGAGCCTGGAGGAAGCGGGCGTCGCGCTGCCGCCCTCGCAGGCGCCGCTTGCGGCTGATGCTGGCAAGAAGCGCGCAGGTGATAAGGCGGTCAAGCCGGAGGTGAAGAGGATCAGGAAGAATCGGATGCCGAAGGATTTTGTCGAGGGGAAGAAGATGGATGAGGAGCGGTGGTTGCCGATGAAGGATCGGAGCTATTACCGGCCTAAGGGACGGAAGGGGAAAGCCAGGGCGGCGGGGCTGACGCAGGGGGGGCCGGTGGCAGAGGAGAAGGTGGAGGCGAAGCCGGAGGTGAAGGCGGGCGGGGGTGGAGGCGGAGGGCAGCAGAAGAAGAAGAAGGGGAAGGGGAAGGGGGGGAAGTGGTAGGGCTGTCCAGCGGGGATCTGTTTGGTGTGAGATCGGGCAGAGTGATTGCATATATCAGCATCGTCATACTCTTACAACCAGTATCGAAACTCTTTGATGGCCGTTGGTTCATCTGTTTCATTGCGTCTTGTCTATTTTGGAAATTAACTCGTCTCCTTCCCTCCCCCTTCTTACCCGACTCTACCTGTTATCCCTCTCCACCCCCCATTCTCCCCGTTCCCTTCTAACCCCGCCTCTCCTAGCCACCCTACCTCTACGCATCCCACCTTCTCTCGCACAAATTCCACCAGCGCATCCGCCCCCGGCGCACCCTCCAGTATCCCAAGCGCACTGAGCCGCGGGAGGTGCAGCGCGCTCGCGAGCCGTGCTTCGCTCGACGACGGTAGCGCCACGAGGCGAGTAGGTTGCCGCTCTGTGGTCCCTTTAGCCAGTTGATCGCCTTGGACTGAAGCAAGCGCCACAAGCGTCGGGATGTGCGCGTGGATGAGCGAGCGAGCGGGGTTCGGATGCGGTATCAGGACCAGGGCGAGTGCGCGTGTTGGAGCTGGCTTTCCGGCTTCTGGTGATGTTGCTGGCGGTGTTGGAGAGGGGGTGGGCTGGGCGGCGAGGGCTTCTAGGTGCCGGGTTGTGGCGTTTAGGCCGATTGTGAGGTGGGCTGAGAGGGTGGGTGCGGGAGGAGGCGGTGGTGGTGGTTGTTGGGATGGTGGGGATGGTGGGACTTGGGCGGCGCGTTTGCGCTTGAGGTTGCGATTAGAACGACCTTTGGATGGAAGGATGTGGGCGGTGCGGTGGCGGCCGATGGGGGTGAGGAGGCTGGAAGGGCTGTGTTAATGTGGTGTATGGGTTGATGCGATTAGGGAGTGGAGAAAAGAGGACATAGATCTGGAATGGGAACGGTGGCACATAAGATTGAGGGTTTCTCCAGGGGATTCTCTAGCTGTCTAAAGTCTTTTACAGGACTGAAGGAAATAGAGGAAAGGGTAAGAATCATGTGACGCAGATCACGTGATTATATAAATTCTTGATAGGAACGGATACCTACTTGCACAGCATGTCGAGAATAATGTCCTTGTCGTTATCGGCGATAGGAGGCCTGATACAGTTCAGTCATGCGTCTGCAGGCACCCGAATGGCATACATGGTGGTTTCAGTGAAGGGGGAGTCAAGCTTGAATACTTGTTTCTGGCCCTTCTTTGACGCGCCTGCGCCTGGGGGTGCCATAGCGGGGACAAGGCTCTGCGGCGAGGCTGATTGGAGGAGAAAGTCCGAGATAGTGGTGTCGTACACGGCCGTGAAGCTGCGCTGCTGCCCTCCTGAGTTTGCGTATGTACCTAGGTAGCAGCAATTTCCGCGAGCACATAGACCCGGCCTGAGGACTATTTGGAATGAAGAACGAAGTGAGAGGGCCTGGACGAGACAAGACGCGGTTGATGCCGCTCTGGCCTCACTTCGTGGTCTTGTAGCCGTGGTGTTGACCGTTCGGCGGAGCCAATGACCATGACGTTCGGCGGGACCGCGCTAAAGCGTGCAGCATCGACCACAGGCGGGCAAGCTGCCACTGCTTGGAAAGGTTCCCCACGACGCGTTCGCAAAACCCCCCTCCATTGCTCCACTAGCCATCTCACCACCGCTGACTTCTCTCGCGCACGCGTTGGCCCCTCCTCTGCCGCCTGCTCCAGCTGCCTCAATGTGGCCTGCCCGGCGCTGCGGCTCTTCGTTGGTGTTGTTGCTCCCGCAGCCCCGCTAGGCTCCAGAGAACGGCCTCCTCCCCCCGAGCGTGCTCGACCACAGCCTTCCTGCCTGCGACGACCCCGATTCACCCTCCACCTCCTTCGCGCGGGCCTTTCCTGCCCCGCCAGCGAGGTGCCACTCAAGCCCTCTCCTCCGCCGTTCACTCTCCCCCATGACGGAGCATGATCTAATGGAGCCTGGCGACTCTGAACAAACCTCCGGCCTCTCCTCGCCTCCTCGCCGCGACTCCATGGAAGACGCTGATTCCACTGGCACCCTCACCCGCAAACGACCGCGCTTAGACAGCGGCAGCAAAGCCACCCGTAGAATGTCGGTGGATGTTTCCACCAGCGACACGCAGTCCCCAGGAAACCACACCCCCGAGCCCGTCGAGGTGACCATCAACGTGCGCTCACACCCTCCCTCGTCGCAGCCAGACTCATCGGCCGACCTGCCTGCCGACCTCACCGGCTCAGACTCGCCGCCCGTGCTTGTCGACCCTGGAAACGCCGCTATGGAGGACGACATGGCCGCCGACAGCCCCCCCGTGGTGGAAATCAATCTAGATGGAGATACCGACGATGGCTACATGGAGCCACAGGTCATTGAGATTGGTGTGACCGTCCGAGAGGTCATGTTGCAGTTTCCTTTCCGTGAACGCTTGAACGGGCTTCCAAGCGCTCTCCACCAGATTGGCATCCATGTATCAGCCCGTACGTTCCTCTTCCTCTCCCGCCCCCTCATTGCTTCAGAGGATGCGTTCCACAACCAAGTCATGCTAACTCTACCCCAGAGGACAATCTCGAGCCTTCTCTATTGCCTCAGCTTGCCGACTGGCTGAACCAGTACCCTAGCCACCCTTCGCAGTGGGAAGATTTCTATGTGAAAGAAGCCGACTTCTGGGATGGAATCGCCGACATATTCAGGAGAGCCCTTAATCGGCGATATCCACTGGGTGATGACTTCACTGTGCACGGGGGATCCGCAACAGACATCGTCGGCAAGTGCCTGCTGGCATATCTCAAGACATGCGTTCGGATTACGAAGATTGACGTCGCGCGCCTCGAATCTTTGCCGGAAGAAACTCATCCGGAGCATCGCGTTATGTGTGTTCCACACTTTAGGGCTATGACTGCCATACTACGCGGCGATTCGAACAACCTCTTCCGCCAGATCCAGAAGGAGTTCAACGAAGAAACCCAAACTTTGGTGAACCGATTGGTCATGGAACTGCTCAAGGATGATTCCAATGGCATTCTTCAGTTCGTTCGTCTCGCAGAAGTGTCTTGGGCCAAGGGCCCAGTACCGGTCAAGAATTGGATCGCGAACAGCGTCATACCGCTTCTGAATAACATTTGCCGTATTATTCTTGAAACGCCGCAAATAATTGACCCTGCCAAGGTGCCACAGCTCTGCGACATATTACTCCGCGCCTTTCGAGTCTATGATGCAGACCTGCAGGCACCCGGGAAGATCCTCGATGTACAGTTCAACCGCGATCTGGTTCTGGCCTGCTCAATTCTACTCAAAGCCGTCGCTCTTCTGGACCCTCAGAAAGCGAAACAGCTTGCAGATGAGTTCATGGGATTCGACGGAGATTCAGCGTCTTCTACGTCCTCTAGCCCTGTCGAGGAGAACATGGCATCTACCACAGCGTCAGAGAACTTCAGCTCGGACTTGCTCCCGGCGTTGGCATCCAATGCATGGAAATTCAAGCTACTCAAGAAGTACATATCAAAAGGCCGAATGGAGCTCCGCGTCGTGTGCATCAGCACCATGGACACACAACTGGTAGAGATATGGAAAGAGTACAATGGCCTTGGGCACGACCACCCCTTGATGCAATACTTGGCCGATTACTTGCTCCATGGCAAGGTAGTTGATTACATCATTGGAGTTGATTCTCATCCACAGCTCATTTCACGGAGTGGCAACATCGTTGGGTTTTTGGTCGTCACCCGTCGATTTACTGACAAGGAAACGGATGCCATATGGCGCGCCATTACACACAGCCCCGATCCACGCGTTGTCAGCGCAATCATCCTCATGCTTAAGCAGATTGTTAATCTGATGCTATTGGACGATCTACTCGCAATGATTACGAAGCTCTACCAAATGCCAATCGAATCTTACACCTTGGAAGTGTTGAGATTTGCCCGAGAGATCACTGTGCACATCATCCGGAACCACTATGTTTGGAACTCGTTTGATGATCGTCCGAGCCCGGCAGAGTTGTTTGTCCGTATGATGCAGGATACTGGGCCGAGTAGGGCATCAACGAAGCTCACCAACTCTCTTTACTCCGAAGCCGCAGAACAGCTCGGCAATCTGGCCTCCTCTATTGTCAACGGTCAAGAACGCCTCAAGATATATCAATCCTGCGTCGATAACATTGAAAACAAGTCACCGAAGGCTACAGGCAGTGCTCATGCATTCTTCCTGCTCCACAAAGCCCACAGCTACGAAGATAGTCGGGTAATGAGCAACTTGGATCTAGGTCGTCACTTGGTCTTGGAGCTATGCGACTATGTCGAGAATGAGCGCTCTAGCGAGCAAACAAATGAGGCCCTTAAGTATCGCCTTTATCTGATCGCACACATTGCCACTCACGTGCCATCCGAGCTCTACAGCCAGCTTTGGGATCACATCTTTGGCAAGGATGCTTGGAACAACGACATGCGCGATCAAGCTTGGTGGCTTATCATCGAAGCTGCGAAACGTAGTCCTCTTCGGAACGAGTTTTGTGCTCTCATTCTCTCGGATTTCATCCCCAGGGTAGACCCGATCTATTATACCAAAGGACTATATGAGTTCATTACCCGGCTTGTCCCTGTTCAGGAGAGGAAGACAAAAGCGCCTGACGATAACAGCAACAACGAAGTTCTTGCGATTCCTGGCGCGAATCTGCTTTGGCCGCTAGTTTTGAACGCACATACCGATCTGGTGGTAGACGTCTCTGCGAAGAATCTGGCTGCGCGATACCTCGAAGTTTATCGTAATGCTGGAGTAACTTTCGAGCAAGTAGAGGAAGCGCACGCCGCACTCGCCGAAGAGTGCACAAACCGACTCCTGTCCTCTTATCATATCCTCAGGCCAGGCAGTACGGTCGGATCTACTGGCCAAGGCGAGCCAATGGTCGTTGCTGCCTCAGATGAGGAGATTTGCGCGCACGAGCGCCATTTCACACGGACACTGCTCTTCGCAAAGCTGTTTTTGCTTACGATACGAAGCAAGCCCGAGTTTGCCCACTCCCGTAAGGCAGAGTCGGCGTGCGAGTCCATCGAGCAGGAGCTGTACCGCGGGGAGCCGTTTCAAGTTAGATTCCAAGTATTTGGCGGCGCTTCGAACGAGAGGCAACTCATTGTCATCGGCAAGGAGGACACGGTTCAAGAACTGCACGATCGTCTTTGTCGTCTGACAGGTTTCACAAAGCTGAGGTTCATTGTGGGCGGCCAGAATTTCTCCGTTCAAGACTCCGCAGACAAGCAACTCCACGAAGTTCCTGGTATAGACTGGATCCTCGTCAGCAAAGCAGTGGATGGAGAGCCACTAAAGCCCGAGGTCAACATCGATGCTAACTGCTCCATCTTTGAGACGACCATATTGAACCACTTCGAGGAGATGTACTCGTGCATGGACTCCGAGGATCATATCAGTGAGGCGGTCAGTGCTGAATATTCCAAAATGTGTGGTTTATGCTGACTTTCCCAGATGTACGATTTCCTCTTCCTTCTAAAGCCCCGAGAAGCAATTGCCGAGTCAGTCGCAACTGGCACTGCCCGCAGCACCGACATATTTCCGCCTGGTAAGGTCTTTCAGGCCAAATATGCCGGCCTAGCACTTCAGAGTCGATTGCGTGCCCAATTGAATAAGGTACTTACATCCGTTCGAGCTATCTCTGGGCTTTACAAACTGATCAATCCAAGGGTATCGTCGACGAAAAGTTTCTCTCTACTACAATCCAGCTATTGGACTCAGCTCTTCTCAACAATGAATTAATCGGTGCTTCTTTGGCGGGTAAACATGATGTCCCTCTTGCTTCGGTCTTAGTCAATGTGCTACTCAGCTTTCTTAAAGGTATCATCTCATCGCGAATCCCTTCGGGCTAAATTCACCGACTGACCTGAAGTAGAACGACCACTCCAAGACCTCTCATCGAACTATTTCTCAGACGAAAAGCTCTTGGTAGACCGATTATTTTCGGTGATATACAAAGCGCTTGACAACGGAAACACTGGAGCCGTCGCTGATTGCTACGCCACCATATTAGAGGCATTTCTACACTCGAGGAAGGTCTGGGAGGCATTCGTTTCTCGGGCGGACTTCGAGTCGCTCCACAAGATACTGCTTCTTGTCAATGGAAGCAGTGATCTGCGACAAATGGTTGCAAAATCGATTGCGTCCGTGTGCGGCGGTGCTCTACCATCCTCCTCGCCGTTGACAGCAAGTGAGATTGCCTCATTCTACTGGAAAACAATCTCCTCGATCGTCCCCCATTCCGTTGAGTACCCGCGGCAGTCAGCTCAACTGTTCGACATTGCGGAGCAAGTTCTCCGGAGAAATGACGAGTACGACCGCGACGAGCCTACCCTTCGGGTCTTCTTGAGTTCTTGGAGCAGCCTTTTACTTCGATACAAACATGAGGAGTTCGTTGGCCGCGACGAGGTTGACACCGTCGTTCTAGGATTCACCAAACTTCTCCGGTCCTGCATTCAGTCTCTCAAATCATTCAAGAAGCCATTAGATGCCGGAACGCTTATGGAGCAGACCTTCTCAAAGTTTCTCTTTCCACCGCCAGCGAACTTATCTTACGAAGTGGATCCGAATGAACAAATCATCCTCCCGGTCCTGAACAGCGAAACAAGAAAAGAGTTGTATGAACTCATCCTAGCGCTAGCAGAGGATAGTAGCAGCTACGGATTGCTTCTATCATTAACCGATTCCTTGCTCAGCAACGATGCGCTAGACCTAGATGAGATTCAGTCCTGGAACTACGGCATTGATCGAAGCACCGAAATTCGGTCTTCTACTGGCTACGTGGGCCTTGTCAACCCGCGGGCAATATGCTACATGAACTCGCTCCTCACACAGCTCTTCATGAATGTCAACTTCCGGCAGTTCATGCTGGACGCTAACATCTCCGACGCGAGAGGGTCGCAGCAGCTGCTTTCAGAAACACAGAGACTTTTCGCCCAAATGCAAAACACCTATCGCAAGGCCGCTGACCCTAGAAGTTTCGCAGCGTTCGTAAAGGGCTTGGACAGTGAGCCGATTGACATCAACGTACAGATGGATGCGGACGAATTTTACAACCTCCTCTTCGACCAATGGGAGGGACAAATGCTTTCCCCGGCTACCAAGCAGCTTTTCCGCTCGTTTTACGGCGGGCATACCGTCAACCAGATCAAATCAAAGGAATGCGAGCACGTGTCTGAGCGTGTTGAGAGCTTCTTCGTCATTCAATGCGATGTTCAAGGAAAGGCCAATCTGCAGGAGAGTCTACAATCTTTTGTTGAAGGCGACGTCATGGAAGGAGGTAAGTCAATATTGTGCTAAGAATCATGTGCTAAGAATCAAGCGCAATATACCTACTAATTACAAATAGATAACAAGTACAAGTGCGAATCTTGTGGAGGCAAATTTGTCGATGCTGTTAAGCGGTATGTGCTCACCTCGGCTTTTGGAATATCGTGCGCTGACGAAGTGCTTTTCAAGGACTTGCCTGAAAGACGTGCCCGATAACTTGATATTCCACCTGAAGCGATTTGATTTTGATCTTATCGATATGCGGAGAACCAAGATCAACGACTACTTCGAGTTTCCCACCGAGATTGATGTTAGCCCCTACAATGTGGACCATCTCAGCGATCCAGAGAAGCCCCGGAAAGAGGATATCTTCGAGCTCGTTGGTGTTCTCGTCCACCAGGGCAACTCGGAGAATGGCCACTACTACTCTTTCATTCGCGAACGACCGTCGGCATCTGGAGGCTCGCAAAAGTGGCTCGACTTCAACGATCGCGAAGTGACAGATTTCGAACCTAGCCAAATCGCATACAACGCTTTTGGAGGGATCTATGACGAACACTTCCAGAGACAGCAGAAACCGTTCAGTGCGTATATGCTTTTCTACCAACGAAAATCAGCGATGGATGCAGACCACCAGAAGTTTATCAGCACTTCTCTCTCTGGGCCTACCAAAGTTCCGATTCCTGCCGATCGTGAAATTTCTATTGCTCAAGATAACGAAGCGTTCGTCCGAGAATACTGTCTCTACGACCCCAACCACTCTCGCTTCGTCCGACAAGTTCTGTATCAACTGCGCGATGTGAACAACGGCATATGCTCCGAGAACCACAGACAGGAAAAACTGGTCCTGGGTATCACGATTCAGCACATAACCCAAGTCATCGGCCGGCAGAGGGACATCTCCAATTTCGATGAGATCATGATTCAACTTTGGAAAACCGTCCAAGGATGCGTGACTTGCTGTAGAGTGGCTGTTGACCAGCTTTGCAGCAACGAGCACACGCTCGTCGGCCTTCTTCTACGATGTACACACTCGAAGATCCGAATGGGGATCCGATCGTTCTTGCGAGAGTGTCTGTTTAAGATTCGCGAAGAAGACTCAGTCATGTATGGCGTCGATACTTCCGACGAAGACTTGGAGGCTTTATTGGCCACCAACGAGGACGGTGCTCTATCAGTTGTAACACGGCAACTCGGGCAACTGAAAAAGCACATGTGGATTGGTACGCGTGGCTGGGATGACTACTTCCGCCTTCTCGCCGACATAGCTAGCAAAGGAACGCATGAAGCAGCAGTCATGTTGGAGAATGACACGCTTCTCTTCTGCTTGCGCCTTTTCGCCATGCATGCTTCTCCTAACATCAGAAACGCGGACATCAGTCTCTGGAAGTTGGTGGACAAGAAGAAGGGTGTGTTCAACCAAATAATCGAGCTGGTCTGTTGTCTGCTACATCGGATCGACTTGAATGCAGAGTCAGTCTACAACCACCAACAACGTTTGAGTGCCTTCAGTGGAGGCAGGTTTCCACTCACTAGGAACGAGCGAAGCGCTCTTCTTACTTGGCATGAAGACTACAAGATATACGCCACGTTCGACATGATGATCGAGAAATTTGAGCCCTCAAAGTCTCAATGTTTCTGGCCGGGCGAAATCATAAAGCTGGCGCTGGCATTTGACAGCACTAGCATTCGCTCTCGGCTCTCCCACACGATCAACGAAGGAATCACAACAATCAGTCCACCTGGCAATGAGGTTTACATTCGCGCGGCCGTTTCATTCTGCGAAGCTTGCCGAAGTACAACGGAAATAACTCATACCATCCAGAGCGTTACGGCGGATACAGAGAAGTTCCTCGATCAAAACGGCGAAGCTCGCCTGGACTTCTTCACCCACTTGCCCAATCTGCAGAATCCCAACACACCCCCAACATTCTTTTACGAACAAGCAATCATTTTTGCAAAGAGATATGCTGTCGGTCTCCTTCTGTACGAGGATGAGTCTATACGACGAAACGCAATGACGATTCTTGATCACTTGTTCCTCAGGCTCTCCATCGCTGGACCCAATGAACGAGAACTCAAGTTCAGAAAGTTCAAAACCATGAGGGAACTACTCAAGGTACTTTGCAACCATGTCCTCTTGGATTACGACGCTGGCGCGAACCGAAGTATCATATACTTCTTGTTCCTCTTTGCTCGTACCCTGGCAGCGGCTGTATCGGAATGGCAGCGCAACGAGGACGAGTGCTTCCTTGAGGCGGAAGATGAGACGTTGCTTCGAACCTTCAACTTAGGTAAGATTCCCTGCTTATGCTAGTTTTCTCACAAGATCGATAGCTAACACTCTTTCAACAGTTGACCAACGGTTCCGCAACTGGCCACTTGAAGATGACACTCTCTCTGGTGGTAAATGCTCCCTACTCCTAGACGATAGCATGTTACCAACATATGACATAGATGCCTACGACGACTCCCAGTATGAAGAGAATTCTTCAGAAGAAGAGGCAATTGACGTGGACCGCTGAAGCGAATTCTTCTTCACATCTCTTGTTTCATCACCGCAGATTTGCGGTCGATGATTAAGTCATCTCTCTTAGTCTGATGGTAGGCAACGAAAAACACCAAAAGCTCGTGCACACGATGCACTTGACCTTACATGCCGGCGTTTTCTCACGGAACGGGAAAGCAAATAGACGACTGATCACGGGATGACACGGCCTTTACCTCTACCTAACTGGCAGTCGGAATGACGGTGACTGGTGTTTTTGGCGTTTGCTTCTCTCTTGCTTTTGGCTACGAAACCTTTTCCCCTTTCCCTTCCTCTCCCATGGTGTCCAGCGAAGGCGGGGAAAGCAAGGGGTTGAAGAAAATTGAACAGTCGTTTCTGGCTTGGGGGTATAGCGGCGGCGAAGGATCTCCATTGCCTATTGCATCCATTCCACACACCAATTACTCTTTCTTGTTTCTATTGGTTCGGCTTTTTCATAATGTTTTCATTACTCTGTGGCAGGCATTGATGCTTCATGGTTGTGAACTTTTGCAGGGGCACCTGGGGTTTGCTTACTTTTTTTTTTTTCTTTTTCTCTCTGATATTATGGCATGGCGGTCGTGGAGGCGACTGCTCGACGAGAGATGATAATGATGATAAGCATGGGCTGAGGTGTTGGAAGGGGATTAGGATAGTGCAATGAGGTTGTGAAGTCATGCTGGTTCGACTGCTGGCGATGTGTGAATGCGTTTTGATGGTGGCTTCCCGTGCTTTGCGGTATAGCCTCTAATGACAAACGGGACGACCACGTTCTACCTCTTCTAGCAAAGTCTTAGCTGGCTCAAACAGAAATATATCGTAATATTCCCGCGGCACGCTCCACCATCAGAGACTCCCCGGCAAGCCGTTTCGAAAAAAAAAACCCCCCCCCGAGACCGGAATCCCGTGAACGACTGCAACCCCCTGGCGTAGAACCCCCCCCTTACCGTGGCTTATACCAGGCGCCTGTAATTCGACCTTGAAACCACTTATCTGCGTCCCTCCACCTCGGCAATCAGGCCCTCGCGCATGAGAAAGCAGATCTTAGCGAAGGGTCGCCCAGGCAGGAGTATTCCTTCGACACGCCAGCCCACGGTTCATCGGAACCGGCTTCTTGTGGGTTTTATTCACACGCTATTGTCGGTACGTATACAGAATATGCTACGCTACCGATCAGGCCCCATGGGACAAGGGGTAGATTTTAGGCGTTGGCGAGGAGTTATTAACGGGAGCTAGGCCGCGTGATCTGGACATGGTCGTGGCGTATCATTGGAAAGCACCGTAACTTAAACCGTCACAAATAGTACGACTAGAGATATCTTCTAATTCAGAACACCCTATATATCCCGTCCATCATCCCCCCCTCACCCCTCACCCCCAACCTCCCCTCCTCCCCCCCTCCACCAATCCCCCAACCCCACCCCCCGTCCCCTTGCGCCCCACACTCCCCTTCAAGCACCCGCTATGCACCACACTCCCATCCGGATACACCCTAATCGCCGCGCCCCCAAACCGCTTATGGCACACGGCACAATGCCGCTCCTCGCCCACCAGCACCCGCCGGTTCCGCCCGCCCACGCCGCCTTCGTCGCCCACCAGCAGCGCCGCCTCGACCGCGACTTTCTCCACGCCGCGTAGCCGCGCGACGATGCGCTCCTCGTTCATGACGCTGTTGGCGTTGCGGATGCGGCCGCGGAAGTAGCTCTGCAGCTCCTTGACGGGCAGGGACTGCGGGACCAAGTCCAGCGTCGTGGATGCGGGGAGGCGGGCGCCGTGGCGCGAGAGGAGGGCGAGGGCGGGCGCCCAGTTGGGGGCGTGGGGCGGCGGCGGGGCCAGGTAGAGGGAGAGGAGTGTGTGGTAGATTGTCGGCTCGGCGTCTTCGGGGTCCATGGTGGGCGCGATGCCGCGCGTGGCGGCGTGGGCGGTTGTGGAGGTGGGCGCGGAGGGTTGCAGGCCTGTGAGGTAGGTTTGGTTGCAGTATCTGTGGGGAGGAATTTAGTACTTGGTAGGGTCGGGAAAAGGGGAGGGTAGGTACGCACTCTTCGGCTTTTTGGTAATCTTTCATTTGGAAGACGTAGATTTGGAGGGCTTGTTTGTGCTGGTCCATTTTGCTTAGGACGATGGCGCGCGATTCGTAGTAGTCGGGGTCTGGGGCGAGAGGGTTAGCGGGGCTGTGTTGGTTCTCCATGGAAGTAGGTGCTTACCATCTGTGGGCAGTTCTCTGAACGCACGAATCTTTGTATAGTGGGAACTGCTCTTCAAGAACGTCTGTAGTTTCCAAAGCCATATCTGCCGCTCTTCATCACTATCAAACGCATCGGGGCCAGCTTTCAGCCGTTGCAGATATAGGTCGATGAGCCGTTGATGGAAGTCTGGCTCAGGGTCGCCCAGCTCCTCGATAATGTGTTCGAGATATTTCACGGCCAAATTGAGGTCGATGTGCTGTAGAAACTCAAGAACCTTCTCTCTCGGCAAAGTTTCAGCATTCTCGGTGTCGGCAAGGAAAATCTCCATGCCGTGTTCCGGATCAACTCTGAGGGGCCATTCTGCAAATTCGAGAATGAGATCAATCATCTCCGGCGGCAGCTGCTGCAAATAGCCAACAGTCCTATGTGGACCTCTCAGTGCTGGTGCTACTTCGCCATCGGCGTCATTCTTCCCGAATTTGGCAAGGAGCTCAAGAGCTTCTCGATGTAGCTTTTTCCCATGTAGAAAATCGATGAGATCGCTGTACCGGCCGCTCTCGTAAAGCCTCTCGTTGACAACCTCCGGATCGCAGAAGTTATCTAGGCGAAACAACGGACCAGCTAAGCTTGGGCTGACAAGCATATAAGCTCGGAAAAGCGTAGTATCGACCAATTCTGCGACTTCGCGGAGTTTGCTAGCCCAGTCACCCTGCCCAGACGAAGGTGGTTCCATGATGTACTTCCAAAATTCAGGCTTAAAGTCTTCCGATTGACTCTCGCTGGGCTCCTGTAGCGGTTGCTTGAGTGTTCCATCGGTATTGATAAATCGTTTTAGTTTGACGCGAGTCTGTGCCAGGAACGCACGGAGCTCGTTGACAGCCCTGGTCAGGTCTTTTCCTTCTGTGATGCTGTCAGTAGATGCATCACCGCTCAAGAGAATTTACTTACCCAAGGGCTTTTCATTCGTCAAGGTCTCCGACACCTTGGCTTTGATGCTTGCCGTGTCACTACCATCAGTAACTACCTTCACCGACCTCGCGGATGAAGAGTCTGAATCCGCCTTCTTCTGCTCAGCGATGAATTTGCCAATCATAGATCGGCCGAGAGACGATGCCGGCGTAGGAATGGTTTTACTGCTTTCAACGCTGGGTTCGCCATTTGTCTCTTCATGATCAGCCTCGTCCTCGGCTTCTTCAACATGTTCAGTAGCTGCAAGGCCGCCCGCAATCACTTTGGGGTACAATGCGATCACTCGCTCGGGTGGTGCTTCAGCGTTCGAGAACAGTTCCAGAGACTCCCGGTACCTTCGTAGGTCAAATAAGCCTTGCGCCTTGAGCATCTTGATTTCTCGTATTCTTCCGACCTTGTCCTTCAAAAGGGTATCTTCGAGCATGCCTAGCAAGCTAATCGACTCGTCATATCTCCCATTTAGGACGAGCTCATCGATCTGCGAATCGTAATCCAAAGCACCCATTCTCCAAATGCATCGATCGCTTGCGACTAAGAATCCCTTGCCTGCATGAGCAAGACTAATATTCGGCTGCGGAACGTGTAGGAAGTTTGCGTTTGGTAGAGATATAGTCTGGAGGAGCGAGAGAGTATCCGGATTGCGAACTTCTAGTCCACCTTTTGCAGGAGCTTGTAATGCTAGCATATAAGGATACGAGTATCCAATCGCTTCTGGAGCAGAAGCCCAAGGAAATTGTCTCTTGTCGAGGGCATTCCCATCCGTATCGATAAATAGTGTATTGACGTCCTTTCCAAGCAGCATTTGGCCCTCTCCAAGCCTAGTAGCCATAGGTTTCGGAACCCAGCTCCCCATGCCCATATACCCCATTCCAGAAGACGTGACAGCCCCGAATCTTGTTCCGCCTTGCCCTCCAGCTTCTCCCGGCGCGCCTGGTTTATTGATATCCGAAATCTCCTGGCTTTCAATATCCACCATCACAAATCCCGGGTCCATCCCGGCGACAATCTTCGTCCCCGTCGCCCATGTCAACGACTTTACCGACGCAATCAGCGTCAGCTCAGAGGCTTCATCCGACAGCTCCATATCCTGCCAGGTCCATAGTATAATCTTCCTCTTGACGGCCACCGCCAGCCTCGACACGATTGATGGTATGCCTGTGCTGGGATCCTTCACGATGTTCGACGTGACCGCGAATGACGTCGCGCCCCGCGTCTTCTCCAGGCGCTCTTGCAGCGCGTAGGTCTGGAGGTCGTGTATCGAGACATAGTTGTCGGAGAGGGAGACGAGAATGTTGGCTTCTTTGATGATGGCGAGCTGCTGCACCGGTCGGCGCGAGAACTTATCCTCTTCCCGGAGCAGGTCTGCAGGCTTCGCCTTGGGTTGGTCGGGTTCATTGTCGCCGTTCAGTTGCTCTGGCTTGTCGGCGTCCTCGTTGAGCTCGTTGACGCGGTAGATTCGGAGGGAGCCGGTATTGAGGCCGACGAGCACGCGGTCACCTATTTGAAGCTCGGTCAGTAGTGTTAAGTGGAGTGTCGTAAGTAGAGTTTACCGTAAGCCAAGATCGATTCGATCTTAGACTTGTCCCGCTGCTTGAGCTCGACTATCGGCCGGGCCGTGAATGCTGAGAGCATGATGATGTCCGGCGACCTTGGGATTAGTGTATAGATTGGTCAAGGTTATGCGAACACAAAATTGCGGTCCTGCCGCGCTCCAGACAGCATATTGTGGAGTCTGAAGCTTGAGAGAGCTCACATGCAAGATGAGGTACGAAGTAACGGAGATGAGGCCCGAGCTTGAATTCAAGTCACATGACTTCAACATCCCCTACGGATCCGATGCCCACTCCCGAGGGCTGGATTTCTTTGGTGTCATGTATCACAATTCAGAATTCTATAGTTTGTCCAGGAGAGGGTTTCAATTTGTCTAGTCTACGGCCTCCAGCAATAGCAATTTGGAGGGAGCCCGTCCTCTCTTAGGACATGATTTTCAAAAGAGCGACTGTTTGTGAAGCGCTGGCCGCGCATACGTGTATATTCCACCACTGACTCTTCATGTTCCAAATATCGTCCCGCTACAAGTGCAGCAGGATCCACAGGTCGCAAAGCGCAATAACCAACCCTTCATCCAGAGGACGAGGATACTTCAACCAGCCGACTCAACACATTCTCACTCTCCTCCAGCTCAACTCGCAATTTCCTATCCGCCCTGGTCCTGAGAGGAAAGAAAGAAAATACACGAGGAGGAAGGAATAACGCTTGTTATCGATCAGCAGCTCCCACTGCTCCGCCGGGCAAGACAACACAAGACGGGTCAGGCCGGCAGCTCCTCCTCCGCCACGATCACCACAATCGGGTCCAAAGATACAACCGTAAGGGCAAGGGGTAGAAGGGAGCAAATAAGAGGCGAATGAACGATCATACCCAATATGTCCGGCTCGTGCACAGCACCGCTCTACCATCAACAACATCGCATCCTAAGGTCCAAACTCCACGACGTCGCGGCCAACCGGGCAAGCCAACGGGAAGGCGGGGACGAGGGAAGAATGGAGAAGGGAAATGAAGGATGATAGAGAGCACTGGAGAGGAACGGGATGGAAAGGGCCTCGGGAACAGACATACCAAAGGAGATACACGCACGCTCATTAAAGGATAGTCATCAAGTAATCTTTTGAAGGAACGCTAAGAAAATGCTTGAAAATGCAATGAGGGGATATCATCCAACGCCGCGCGCATATGCAGAGCAAAACACAAACAATAAACCAAAATATAAAAGTTATCCAACAAGTGGACGAGAAGAATATTATAAACACCAGTTTTCTGCCAGAGAGAGCCGAAGCTCTACATCTTACAGTTTTTCCAAAGAGCAAAGCCTCATTTGGAAAGGACCTAGGGACCAAGGTACGTAACCTGAGCAATTACGTCTCTTCGCGTGTCCGAAAAGGCTACGTCCTCGTAGACTCAGATCAAAAGAAAAGGTCACAGAGGATTAGCAATTTAATGCTAGTGGCTTAGTCGGCAAATGGATTATTCGGGTTTTTCTCGTCGTAAGGTGAGTTGCCTCCAAGATGTCCGTGGCTGCTGGCCCTGAGATGGTTTGGCCGGGCAACCGAATCGCCAACGTTTCGTGCACCAACTTGGCCGACCTTCTCGTCTGGAGAAGTAGGCGATTCTGGCGACGGCTCGAACGTGGGGAAAGGCCGTGGTTGAATTGTATATGGCGCAGCCTTGTTGACCGGGTACTCGTAGGAAGGGGGTGCCGCAGTATCGGGTGGGGGGAAATCGTGACCTCGAACGTTGTCAGTGACGGGATCGATTGTGTAGGCTTGACCGCCTTCACCGCGTGTCTTGTCGCGACCGAAAATCACAAAGCAGGCACGGATGAAGCCGCCGAGTGCGATAAGAACCCAGAGAAGGAGGATGAAAGTCGAAATGAGAGCCTCAGTGCGAATGCCATCTTGGAGTTTGTTTGTCAAGCTGGTGATTGCATCAGAAATGTCATCCTTGGTGGAACTGCCGGGGTCTGAAAGAAGATCGGCGGCGGATGAGCTATTGCTGATACTAGCCAAGGCCCCAAGTGTGAATGTGTCGTTATTCATCAAAGGAAAGTCAACGTGGGCATGGTCCGTGACCCACGTCAACGCCTTCTGGATGCCCGTGATCTTGAGAGTGACAAGGCAGTCCAGAACTCCGGTGATCGCATCTGACAACGGGGTGTTTGTTCCAAAAGCCTTGTCAAGATCATCGTGCATGGTGTCAACAAACCCGTTCAGGGTATTGTTCACGGCAGACGTGGTGGTGTTGACCCAGCTGAAGACGTCCTGGTTGATGTCTGCATTAGTAGTGCCGATCGCGTGGTTCACTCCTCCAGCCCAAGATGAAGAGGCGTTGTTGAGGGAGTGGATAACGTTGTCCGCGAAATCGGCCACCTGATTCGTGAGCCCCGGGACCTCCTTCTGGATTATCTTAAGGAGGATGAATTGACAGAGACAGGCAAATAGCCCAGCGACACCCAGTGATAGAACAAACAGAGCAGGAACCGACGTTGCATAGGCCACAGACCATCGTATAACAGTCTTCCGTCGGGTGGATCCAAAGCGATTGGAGAGCTTGACCCCGAAGGTTGACGTGTATGGTCGAGAGGTAAGATATACGACGTCCATTGGTTCGTACCCGTTCTGATTCACTAGCTGAGATCGCTGTTGCATCCAGCGGTAGCGGCGGATTTCTCTGTACCACATGGGAATGCAGACAAGAACAGCCAAGATAACGATGACCGCGATGAAGATCTTGCGTGCCTTGATCTCCAAGGCAACGAGATCATCGAAGAACTCGTTGATCCCGTTGCTGCCAGTGCAGAAGGTCAGTTTCGCCTTTGCAGGGACCGGTAGAAGCGAACGATCGAATGTAAAGTTGGTCATTGACTCATTGATCAGCTTCTTAACCTCTTCGAATGGTAGCCTGATGAGGTTGTCGGTGAAGTTCTTGACGTCGGCGAAGTCAGGTATCGAGCTGTTGAGCTTTTGCAGGCTGTCGCTGACATTGGAGGGCAACTGCGTGGTAAAGTCCTTGAGCTTGTTGATGTCGTTGTCAAGGTTCAAAGTAGGTGCTTTGCCCCCACCGAATGGTATGCTCGAGAGTTTCTGCAGGAAGCTGTTCAGGTCACTCGTAAAGGACTGGGCCGTGTTCCCAATGTCGTCTCCAATGCCGGGGAGTGTCTTGTTCAAGAACTGGGTGATCTCGTCACCAAGCTCGATGGCGGCGTGGAGACTGCCGCTCACCGCAAGCGTGATGAGGCAGACGTAGGTCGAAGTCATCATGTTGATGACAAAGAGCACGATCTCCTCAACTGTGGTAACGCTTAGGGAAAGCATCGACATGAGCCCGTTGACAGCCTTCTCGACGCCGGTGGCGGTCATTTCGTTAATTCCCTGGGCCATGAAATGGGGTCCAGAGGCCATGGTGCTGCCGATGCCTTCGACTTCGGTGCAGGCGCGGAGGGCCTTGTCCCTTGCGGAACCGAGATTGTCGTTGATGCCGGCGACGGCGATGAGGGTGCGGACAAGGACGAGGAGGAGGAGAATGGTCCAGCGATTGATCCATACTTGCGAGAGTCTAGCTCGAAGGCCGAGGTATGGTGTGAGGTATGGTGTTTGGTTTATTGGAGGTCGTGGTGCATCATGCGGGGCGTAGTAGTCTCGCATCTCATGATCGCCAGCGGAGTGAGACGGAGGTACAGCCGGGAAGATGTGCTGTTGGTTCTCTGAGGAAGCCATGACGACGGGAGGTGGAGTTGAAAGCCTCAACCTGGAGGCGAAAGTCGTTAGAAAAAGGCAGGTCTGGTCGAAAGAGGCGAAGGCGTGATGAGATGGTGGGAGACGGCCAAAGAAAGGTTGAACAAAGAGGTGGTACGAGTCTTTGGCGGGTGTAGTAGGGTGGAGGTAGAGGAAAAAATCTGCCAGAGATTTACGGAGAGCACGAATATTACTATGAATTACAAGAGAAGGAGAACAATAGAACAAAGGAACAAGAAGGAAATGCCGAGGATTTGCCACGCCGCAGAACAATGAGGAGGTGCCGGAGTGAAGTGTTCGGGGGAGGACCAGGGCATTATGTCCTTCACCACAAAGCAGGCTCAAGGCGGATGAAACAAAGAGCGGTACGTACCGCGAGGTTGAACAGGACCCGTTTGGCGACCTCTGCGAATTAGCAGACAGAGGCGGCTCCGGTCGAGGCGTTTCAGCTGGCACCCAGTCGGTCGCGGCTCTATTCTGGAACTTGAGGGTGCTTGGTGGTCAGGCCCAAATAGCCGCCCCCGCAGAACCCGGAGGAGTGCTCAGCGGCCAGTCATCTGGGAGTGCAACGGCCAGCCTGCGGGAGGCCCTAACACAGCGTCAGCGTGCCATATTCGATGGCGGTGTTTGTCACCGGCCGGGGGGGAGGCTGACAGAGCCCTCAGTTCCTGGACTTGCGATCACTGGCCGACAGACGTCGAAACGGGCGAGGCAGCGCGTCGCTTCTCCGGCTCGGTGAGCAGGTTCCACGGGCGGCCAGCACCCGTCCTCAGTCGCCGTGGAGTTGTCGATCGCAAGGGGACAAAACCTAGGGTCCAGGTGAACGCAGAGGAGATGTCCGCCCTTCCCACGACCGGGGCGGCCGCCGTTATGTATGGCGATCTTGCGGGGGGCGTGCGGCGGGTTGCATGGAGCGCGCCTTGATTTCGCCTGCAGGCCGTCGTCATCTGCAAGGATCGTGTGTCTCCCACTTCTACATACATGAACCACCTCCATCTCCGTTTTCGTGGTGTTGACTGCCATGAAGCTGTTCGGCGTGCCCTCTCCCGGATCGTGACCCTCCCGCCTCGTCTCGCCGGCCCAAGAATAGCGGGACGATCAGAGACACAACTGCGAAGGTCCTTGCGTGTCGCGCGCCATCGACGCCTGAGCGTGAGGCCGACGAGTGGCTGCGAGTGGCTGCGGCGAAGCGCTGGTGCAGCGGAACCGCAGTTGTTCCGGCCGAACAACGTCGCCTGCCAATCAACACGGAGGGTTCCTTCTCCCTTGAAACACAACCAAATTCAACCTCCACCCACGCCATCGCCGTTGCAAAGGCCCGCCCGAGCACCGGATCCAGCCGCCTTGCTATTTTGAGGCCGTTTCCATGCGGCTGGAATTATGCCTTGTTTCGTGCGCCATCACGCGTCACGACGTTTCAAGGTGCCTGACGCGACATCTTCGACCTCGTGGACGCCAGGCGCATTGACGACAACAACAGCTTCGATGGAGGCATGGCGGACCACATGACATGTCTGCGGGTCCCAGAACGCGTCAAGGCTGAGCTACCACATCAGAAAACGCCCTGGCTACATCTTGGACCGACGCTACGCCCAAGCTCCAATCCGCACCTACGAACAAAATCGCGAGTAGGTACCAAGTAGAGACTTTGTTTGAAGAGGGGTAAGTGAATACAGCAAATGGGAATGACGGAGCTGTGTCCCAAAAGCTGTCCTTCCAACCCAATTAGGCAGAGTGGACATCCACATAGCTTTACGTTTGATATGTTGTAGAATTCTCGTTGAGGCCAGCCACAGGCGAGTCCCTCGCGCCTGATACAAATCTCTTCGGGGATTTCAGTGATACTAGGGGTCTTGGGTATTGCGCCATATGGCCCGAGGCCTACATATGTTGGCTTTTTGGACCTGATTTCTCCCATTGTCATATGTCCATCCACGAGGAAAACCGTATCTTGAGGCCGATAGCGTAAGTCTATAAGAGTGTGATGAGCGGGCCGTGATTCATATAGGCATGAATACCTGTTACCGTGTAATGGACATTATTAGGTTGAAGAACCTGAAGCCACCAAGGTGACTAGTCTAACAAGTTCTTGTAAACGGCCTGAACGCCAAAATCCCTCTCCACCATCAACATTCTCTTCACATCAACATCTACAACTCATTATTGGTTTCTCCTCCATCATGTCGTTTGTGAATCCAGTAGGGGGTCCACTCCGTATTCTTTCCTAGCTTAGTCTTCCGCCATCCCTTTATCTCCCCACATTCGTTGCCGTTATAGTGACCTGGAGTCCCCCGGCTACATCACTATCACTTCACCAACTCAACAAGTCTCTCGTTAGGATTAAAGAGCACCCACATTCTACACTGAATTCGGATGTTTCAGGTAAGAGAGGTCAGTGAAGGTTTGAAAATGTCCCGGAGATTGGGATCACATGTTTGCCAGTTCACCGCCAATACCCCATTCCAAGCCACAATCTCTGCTACGTCACAGTGAGAACCGTACGCCGCAGGAAAGCCTCTATCAACGCTGTGGAAGGCCACATTCTGGACCTAGCTACTTCCCAATGGGCCGTGCTGCTGGCAGTTGACCTTGTGCGGTAACGCAAACTCATGTCAGGTGGGTTGTATCTCCCCTAAAATTCTTCTTTCACCTGCCCCGCACTCTTTCGTCTTCTCAAATCTCCATAATCTGGCACAATTATGTCACACCGCCAGTCGCCGCGGCAATGCGCTCAGAACAACATGCTTGGCTGCCTGACCGGCCCCCATGCCGTATCTATTGACGCTGGCAGAACAATAGCAACGTGTCTGCCTTCCCATTGTCGCCACTAATATTCTTATTCAGTTTACCATAATAGTAGGCATCAACAGCTAAAACTTAATTGTTAATCCAAGCTCCACCAACCAGCAGCTCAGTATACTTCACGATATACTCATTCGCATAAGGCGTACGACCACTAGGATACTACTCCACGCTCTATTCATCGACAACTGCGGATTGAGATCCGAGACCCAAAGCCTTCGACACCGACATCGAAGCAGGTTCTCGTATCAGGTAATTTCTCATCGGAGCCGGGCACTCGTGAGCGGTTGTGACCAATATTCCTCAACTCTGTGGGCTCCCCACGTAAATCTTCGGTGCGGATATCTAGGATCCATTTCCTGAGAAGAAAGGGTGGCCATATTGTGCACTTCCACACTGCAAGCACATAGGTAGGCAAACTGCAGCGACGTTAATCGTTGTTGATGAGCGTGCACCTTTTTGAGGTTTTGAACAGCTCAGGTTATAGGATGAGGTACGCTATTTTGGCTCTGCTACATCCCCAGGACTCTGAAGCCACACAGGCACCCTTTGGCCCGCACCCGCAAGAGCTGGTGAATCGTGTTTGCCAAGGCAACCAGAAATCCTGCGCTAGCCTTCACTCATTTCACCTGTCTTAATCAGCTGTCACGACTTCTGTCCTTCTCTCTCGACAACCTCACCACCTACCACCACCACAACATCCGCGATCGCCAGTCAGGAGCCCAACGCCGTGCCTGCTTACATTGTTCTTGCGTGTTGCTATTGGCTATAAGCTAATCGTTGGTGAAGCACAGATACAGAAATCCCAGTGCGGTCACTGGAGCAACAAGCAGAACAAACTCCTTACCTACAGCGAAAGCCAGAAGCCCTTGCTCTGTGCTTGACGCAACGCCTCAACAGTACCCGGATCGACAGTAGCAACAGCAGTCCCTGAAAACTCGGTCCGCCGGTGACTATCAGATCACCCCTTCGCTTACGTCATCGCGAGTCCCACGCTGAACGACAGCCCTCTCCAAATGGCGTACTACAGCAAGAAAGCCTGGATGTCTCCGGAGGCGAGAGAGAACGAAAAATACCATGTAGTCATGAACTCCATGCGGCGGCTGTTTCCGAAGTCCGAGGTTGCTAAAATGGACAAAACCAAGTGGCTGGCGCACAGGCAAGCTGTCGTCGAGGCCCACACTAAGCAGCTCGAACGTGCCGTCAAGATCAAAGAGGAGGTACTAAGCAAGGGCGGACAACAGCCAATTCCGAACCGCCTGAAAGAGAAGGAATTTCCGGAGAATCATGGCGTTGTGCTCTGCGAGAAGACTATTTGGTGCCCCAAGTGGCAACTCAAGGAGGAGGTAGCACCTTGGCCAACGCTGCCGGAGATGAAGTGGGAGGGAGACGACAGAGCGAAGACAACTGTGGGCCGGTTCCTCCCTCTTCCACGCGAGCCTGGTAGTGCTGCCGTGGCCTGGCACAACCTTCGTGTCCTTCCCGCCTGGCCTTTCGACGACGTCCGCAAGATTCCCACCCTCGAAGACATCCTGCTCCCGGTCGATGAGATCGACGAAGACATCGTCCCAGATCTTCTCAACTCCGATCTATTGGAGGCCATCAAGCTCGAAGACAACATGTGACAGCTCGTCGTCCGACGATCATTCCTAGGCCACTACGACGCTGGAGAGGTTTCGCACATTGGATTTAAGATTGAGATAGGATAGGATGCTCAACTACTCACGACTTCACTCCACACCGACAAGACCGAACGCCAACCTCACGGCTTCTACTACACACCGACAAGATTGAACACCGACCTCACCTCATGACTTCTACTACATACCGACAAGATTGAACGTCGGCCTCACGACTTCTATTGCACATCGACAAGCCAGAACACGACAGAGGAGAAATCATGGTTCTGACTTGTTGAGTCCGAATGTTTCTGGCCCTCGGCATATTTAGGCGTTTGGGGGTGTGGGTTTTTGGTTTCGACTTGCATTCCAAAACTAGTTTTCTTCTTCCAACTGGACTACTCTTCTTTGCTCTTCAAGAGCCGATGCAGCAATCTCTGCGTTACGCCCGATCTCTTTCGACCAGTCTTGCGAGCATAGCGTTTTCTTCATTGGGTATTGCATTGGGTCTTTCTCTCAACACTGCACTGCAAGTCTTGGAATGACATATGCATTGCGAGTGCTGAAGCAGCATCTACGTCTGGCATGGCGCAGAGCACAGAAAATTACGGGACATCTCTTTTTCCTTTCACATATGCAGTCAGGACTTCTTGTTTATGTTTTTGCCATTGCGATTAGCGCGCGGCCTATGCTTTCCACACAATCAACTCCTCTCAACTTCATCAATGCACCAAACCTTTCAGTGTCGCAAGAATATCGTGAGTGCAACATTGATATGTTCCGACACGCTTTTAGGTACGTCAACTAAATTCTCCGGTCGTTCAGAAGCCAGTGTCCTCGAAGGAAAGGCAGTATATGGGCGGAATAGCGGGGTAGATGAACTCCATGATGTAAATCTATCGGTTGTCCGCTTCAGGCAGGTTAACATTCTCTTCCGGCTTCTATAAAAGCAAGCGCCAAGTACTACTATCGCAAAAGTAGGTGGGAAGCGCTCGCTTATTAGCTAATATAGAACCTTGCCTTTAAGTACGTCGACATATCGGCTAGGGAGGGCGCCGTCTCGGAATAGCAGGGTCTGATCCTTGAAATATTGCAACGCCCCACGACTTTATTTCGACTCTTACGATGAAAATCCATTGATTATTGTCTCTGATCTCTCGGGATTCTTTTCTACCCAAGGCCCGACTTGACTTTACGACAATGTGGCTATAGGTTGAGCCATTAGCTATTCTCGTATCAAAGGTGGGATCTCGATGGCTGTCTGCGTCGTGACTCGCAGAATTGGGTTAATATTGCGAGTTAGGCAACCGCATTTCAACCACCATACAAGAGCCAAGGTAGCCTCATCCTATCTATATGGATAACCCAGCAAGACATTTCAAAATACTAAGAAATACTCTGCATTATTAAATGAATGGAAAGATAAAACACTTGAAGTCGTAAGTGTTAATTGATTTCGAACCGACCTCATCTCAACGATCAAGTCTCACAGCCCGAGGAAGAGTGCCTCCCAATACGCTCACCGTCCATCTATAACTCTACCAATTAACTCAAACTCGAAAACTCCTCCATCATTGTATCCTAAACCCGCCTCCGTTTCTCACGCACCAAAATGTCTCTCCACTACATCCCCCTCGTCGCCACCACCCTAGCCTTGATCTACCTCTCCCTCCTCCTCCTCAAACACCTCGCCACCCGCTCCCGCCGCCGCACCTTCGCCGTCTCCCATCACTGCGCCCTAGCACCCCCTTGGCCCTCCACTGACCCCACCCCAATCGGCGTCGACATCCTATGGGGCAACCTGCGCGCCTTCCGCGCCCACACGCTCCTGGCACGCTTCCAGCACGGCCTCTCCACCTACAGCCCGCCTGGCAGCCGCACCGTCGCGCTACGGATCCTCGGCAGCACGAACATTGTGACAGCCGATCCACGGAATCTGCAGGTGATGCTGGCGACGAAGTCCGCGGAGTGGAGCATCGGGGACGACCGGACGAATGAGAAGAAGGGGATGGGGAGGCTGCTGGGGCGGGGAGTCTTCACGACGGAGGGGGAGGAGTGGAAGGACAGTCGGGGGATGTTGCGGGGGGCGTTTGAGAGGAAGTGGGTTGAAGACGTGAGCCTCTTCGAGCGACACGTGAAAGAGTTGATTGAGGCGATTGAGGTTGAGGAGAACAAAGAGGAGGAGGGGCTGGTGGAGGTCGATCTGCAGCCGCTGTTCGGGAAGTTGAGTCTAGATATCTCGACTGAGTTTCTGTTTGGGGAGAGCACGAGCACTTTGGCGGCAGGGGGGAGCGGGGAGGGCGAGGCGTTCGCGCGGGCGTTCGATTATTGTCAGAACCCATTTATGGCGGATGGGATGACGGTTTGGAATTTTTTGTTGGAGGTGATACAGGAGTTGACGCCGGCGTATTTTACGAGTGGGGAGTTTGTGAGGCATCATAAGGTCGTGAACGGTAAGTTTTGATTTCTTATGACCTCCCTTACAGGTTGCCTTTGTTCTATTCCATCATCTTTCGTACACTGCAGTTCTCTTCCAACGTCTATCATCTCCAGAGTATCTAGAAGACACCCTACCACGCACATCCGCGATTCCATTCAACACATTTCATCAACCCCCTCCTCCCCCTCTCCTCCGTACACCTCCACAACTAACACGACCAGACTTCGTCGACACCCTCATCTCCCGCGCCCTCACCCAACCGCCCAACCCCACCCACCCAACCTTCCTCTCCACCCTCTCCACCCACGATCCCGCCCCCTCACCCCTCCGCCTTCGCTCGGAATGCCTTAGTACGTAACCCCATCCCCTTTCTAACCCCCCCCCCCCCTCTCACCTACCCCCCCGTCTAATTCTCCATCTCCCAGACATCCTCCTCGCCGGCCGCGACACCACCGCCGCCCTCCTCTCCAACCTCGTCTGGTCCCTCTCCCGCTCCGCCCCCACCCTCACCCGCCTGCGCGCCGAAATCGCCACCGCCTTCCCCCCCTCCGCCGCCGTGCGCCCCTCCTACGCCGCCCTCAAGGCACTCCCCTACCTGCGCGCCGTCCTCAACGAATCCCTCCGCCTGCACCCCGTCGTGCCGCACAACGTGCGCACCGCGACGACCGACACGACGCTGCCGTTCGGCGGGGGCGCGGCGGGGACGGCGCCCGTGTTTGTGGCCGCGGGCTCGTTTGTCATGTGGAGCACGTACGAGCTGCATCGGCGGGCGGACGTGTGGGGGGCGGATGCGGGGGAGTGGCGGCCGGAGCGGTGGTTGGATGGGGAAGTGGGCGAGGGGGAGGAGAAACTAAGGCCCGGGTGGGCGTATTTGCCGTTTGGGGGCGGGCCGAGGATTTGCGTGGGGCGTGAGTGGTGTTTTTTTTTTTTCCATCCTTTCTGTTATTGTGAGTGGGTTCGGGGAGATCAGAGGCTAATAGTGTTGCAGAGCAATTCGCGCTGGCGGAGGCGGGGTATGTGGTTGTGAGGCTGCTGCAGGAGTTTGGCAGGTTGGAGAGTCGAGATGGGGAGCCGTGGAGGGAGAAGCTGTCGATTACGTGCACGGGGCTGGGAGGGTGTAGGGTTGCGTTGGGGCGGTAGATGTGTGGGGAGCGTGGGATTATTGGTTTGGTTGTGTACATACAGAAAGCTCTTCGGCTTGTCAACAGTTTTGGTGGAAGGGTAGAGGAAATGCATCGTACGTGATGCTGTGGTATGAACATGAGAAAGACAACGGACGGGGGTATTCCTCCCTCAGAAGCAAGCTAGAACAAGCGTATTTGTGATGCTGTGGTATGAACATGCGAAAAGAAACGACTGGAGTATTCCTCCACTAATAGACAGGTTTGTGCAAGCTTGAAAAGCACGGCTATGATGCAGTAGTATGATCGAGAGAAAAGAAATGCCGGGCGGCGCGTGGCGGCTGTCGTGGCGGCTGTCGTGGCCGGAATGGCGTGCGGTAATGGTGCCAGGGTATCCAACTACATCCGCAAGGCCGTATAATACAGATCTATTCTGGTTAGCAACGCGTATCCACCAAGCCGATTGCCGTTCATGCTGGAAAGACACAAAGTAATCCATCATGTCATCACGTGACCCAAGCTTCTCCATCCCAAGAGAACAACACTCACCGACTTCCTCGTCTCCGCACTCTACTCCTTCCCCTCCTCTCCCTCCTCTGCCGCCATCAACTCCGCACTCGACTCAAGCCTACCCCGGTTAGCATGCACCCGCGGTAAAGAAAACCAAATATCACACTCACCTCATCATCCCCCCTCCCCTCTCCCTCCTCCGCTTCTCCCTCAACCTCCTAAGCGGCCGCTTCAGCTTCACAATCGCCCGCACAACGTCCCACGTCGCGCCGACCCGCTTCGGCTCCTTGTCGCCATCGAGCTTATGCGGCGGCACGAACGAGTCGAACGTGTGGTTACGGTCGCATGTTGGCGATTTGCCGTCGTCGACGGTGAGCGGGGAGTCATGGCGGATGGCCGCAGGGGTGCTGCTGGTGGTGGAGTCCGAGGAGGGCGTTTTTTTGGGGTTCCGGAAGGGGTTGCGGGAGGCGAGGTGGGGATTGGGGTAGGGGGAGGGGAGGGGATGGGTCTTGAGCATTTTGGGGGTGGGAGATGGGGATGGGATGGGATGGGATTGGGAGTTGTTGAAATGGGATCCTGGTGGCGAGGGGTGTCGTGACCTCACCGGTGCGAAGCGGGAGATGTTGGACGGTGGTGTTGGGGTTTAGAGAAGATGGGTCTGCATCGTAGGGAGAGGTAGCAGTGCCATTTCACTTATCTTTTGCAGGTGCGGCTGAGACACATACAACGAGTATGTAAGAAGGAAGGTTGCAGCTGACAGGGCAGGTTCTAGGTTGAAGGATGGCGGGAGGAGAGCGGGGCCGCGACGCGATCCGAGCGACGCTATCTAGGTACGGGATGGTAGCGAGACGGCTGGACTTTGATTGGGTGGAATGGTCGCGGGTGAGATGGGGATTTGGTAGGTGGCGACGTGTGAGACGTGGATGGTGAGTATGTAAGGGTATTGGTAATAATCACGCATACAGCTGGTTCATTCCGCCAGGTTGGTTTGCTTCTCAAGACCGATTTCGGCGGTGAGCGACGGCGACATTTGAGGCGGCGTGGTGATTTGGCAGGCTGTTCAAAACGATAGACTTATATCGCTTGCATATCTCAAAAAGTCTCCTGGGGTCCTTCATACAGGATTAAGTCAGTATGCATAGGCTAGCTTTCCAAGAGTGGGAGGCTTGTTGGTTGAATTAGTGATTAGGAGTACATGAGCATATCAACCATTGAACTCTGAAGTACCGAAGTTAGGCCTGTAAGTATGATCCAAACCCTTCCCAAAAGCAACTTCACATCCTACACCCGCATTCTTGCTACCCATCAGGAATTAGACATTACTCTGCCACAGGCCACAGAGGTATGTGTCCCGAAAACTCGATTTCAGGCCACTCTCCTTTCCAAGCCCTCCGACACTCCGCTGAAAAAGTCCATATCCGTAGCCTGTTTACTTCATTACTTCCCCTTCTCCAAGTCCAGCGGCCGCTGTCTTTTAGTAAGCTTTCTACGAGTGCGAGATTTAACACGTACCGAAGCCCCCTCCTTCATCTCAGCCGTCCCATCAAGCACTCTCCCTTTCAACATCTCCTCATTATCGAACTCATCCCCCGCCTTCGCAAGCGCATAAGCATCCGGCTCGTCTGAGGTCGGCACAGGCAGAAGAAAGTCATCGAAGGTCCTGCCCAGAACAGCTCGCGGCTCCTCCGGACTCGTCGTCTCCCACAACGGAGACGGCCTTCGCTGATTAGTCGCCGGCAGGGTTGCCGCGATGCTCGAGAGCGAGAGCAAGGAGAGGGGCCGGTTTGCCCGGCGGGGAGGGCGCGCCTTCCTGACCTCTATTGACGCAGGCCGAGATGGTGACGACGAGCGACTCATGCGAGCTTGCTGGTGCTCGCGTTCCCGCTGTTCAAAGAACTGACGCTCGCGCTCGCGCTCGAGGTCTTCGTCAATCATCCACTGCTCTTTCAAGTCCTGGCTGCGGTTGCCTTTCAGCAGGAGGTCTGCATTTGTCCACTTCTTGACGCCGCCGCCGCGTCGGAGCGATTCCCGCTCTGCTTCGGTGAGGGCGTGGGCGTAGTACCGCTTGCCGGGTTTGTGTTTGATAGGTGATCGGGGTGTATGGTCGGGCTCCTCGTAGGCTTCGGAATCGGAGTCGTTGTGGTTGGAGTGGTTGGCGGAGATCTTTGACTCGGATAGGACGGGCTGAGCGTACATTGGATTCGGCGAGGGCGGACTTGAGGTCGCTGCGGAGCTGTAAGATGGAAGGAAGCATGGGGGCTGTGGAGTTGGGGCTTCATCGCAGTCGTCGACGGTAAGCATGAACTTGACGGCTTTGGGTTCGCAGTCTCCTGGTGAGCTGTCGCCTGAGGAAGGAAGGAACGTCTGAGAAGGGCTGCGGAGCATGGCGGCGAGATTACGGTACTTTGGTCGCATTAGGAAATGTGGGTTATAGCATGATAGGTGAAGGTGAATGCGGTTTTGGTGACGTGAGGTAAGGTAGGTTGAGTTGGGGTTGAGGTGAGAAGCCGCTGATAGAACGTAAACAAAAGGTGACGACTCGGCTCTGTCTCCGCTTCACAACTCTGATGCCAGCGCCTGAGGTACCCCGATAAGCTACCGATTGTACAAAATGATTGCTGTAGGTCTGGCGTTAAATATTGATAATTTATTGAAGAGCATCGCGCGGCGACAGACGAGTGGACGCCGATAGAATCTCGTCATCGTACTGTGAAGTCCACTCAGAGAGTCGTTTCAATGCACGCACACCCTCGGATTACCAGCAGGCTCGTCCTTTACTTGAAGTTCGGATCTCTTTGTGTCTTTCCCCTCTCGAGCACGGTCTTACACGGCAGTAGGCGGCGCTGCTTGAGGTGGCTCAACGAGTTTACAACCCGAACAAAACAATTGTTGCAAGCTAGGTACCAGATCTTTAAAAGGTTGTAAATGGCTTCAGATAACAGTGCACGAACCTTTATCCTTTTATTGCACAGCCAAAGATGCACGGAGACCATCAATATCTCTCGAACCACGATACTTGTGCTTTTCATAGAATATATTAATTATTGTCACTCAGAAGTTCAAGTACACATAATCAGCTATTCTCAAAATACGAACGGGATTTGGAACAAGATGTGGTGTTTAAGATTGTATTGAGTAGTTCACAAGACAGTCACGTGACTCACGTTTTGCTGGGAGAATTGACACAGCCTTGAGCTCTCGATAGCTTCAAACATCTCGAAGAGATTATCGATTTGCATGATCCCCAGGCCACTAGGGTGAGGAGTTCATTTTCCTCTTGAGGCCTTTTGCAAGCCCAACGATTGGACTCAACGGCGAAAACGGGCTTGCTATCGTATCGTCACTGAAAGCACTCGTGGGCTGCTCGTAGAAAGAATCTAGCGAGCTATCAATCGAGAGTCGAGTAGTTGGGGTTCTCTTACTCCCTGGGAGAGGCTTCCGAAGTTTCGCAGGCTTATGGACTGGCAGCGGCGAGTGAGGCTTGTTGAGGTCTTGAGAAGGTGTCTCCTCCTTCTCGACATCCTGCACTACTTCCTCTTGGACCTTCGCTTTGACTTCCTGTTTCACAGGGGGGTCAGTTAGGGCCATGAATGTTGGATCAGTACCAGAGCTAAGTCGTTGTCCGTACCTTGCTAGATACGCCAGCCTAGTGGCGAGTACTTCGTCCACAGTACCATGTGTCCGCCATGTTGCGGAAGACGTCTCGGTCATATCATCTTGATAATAGCCGCTATCAAATTTCCTATCATCCTCGTGAGCGCGTTGGTTGTAGTGTTCCTGTTTATCTGGTGGCAGATGGGTTGGGAAGTGCTCCGACAAGTATTCGGGAAGTTCGTCAGGGTCGAAGTGGGGATCCAGCCATCGATCATCTGTTGCGTTAGGCACATTCATGCTGCGCATTTTGACTTGGTTCACTATCAGTTTGTGCTCTTCGTCTGCTTTCTGAGACAATCTACGGTGTTTCTCTCGTAGCGGCTCATCTTTGCATGCTTGTTGGGCTAGTTCGTGCTGCTTTTTGAGATAGGCGTATTCATCTGCAGGCAGCATGCTGGCGCGCGGGATGTAAACCTCCTCACTGTCAATTCCTACAATTCCTAGTCCTATTGGCTGCGAACTAGAAGGGCGGGCAGGGTTGGAACTGTTGGCGTGCGAACTCATCTTGACCCCAGAACTTGAAGGCTTGCTTTTTGATTCCGAAATGGTTGCAGTCAGGTTAGAGAAAGTTCTTATCGAAGTCGATGGTCCTCGAAACCATGCCCCTCATCCATACTTATTTGTCTTGAATAGACCTCACAATACTCATCATTGTATCTGAACTGTGAGATGTTCTTTCACAATGAGTGGCTGATTGCACTCGATAGCAACGCACTAATGTCCGTCCCTGGGTGGCACAACCCCCACCGTACCGCAAAATACGAGGGTACATGGACTTCAAACAACTCAGACTCTGTGCATACATCGATATTTCCTATAGTTTAATATAAGCTGACTGTGGCCACTCAAGAGCCCTTGGAACCCCTCCTATGGAAAAATTACGTTCGCGTTGTCGCCTTGGCGCCTAATTTACGGAGAGCCTTCTTTCATGGCGTAACAGAATTCCTTCACCATAGCACCACCATCGAGCTCTTTTCACCTTTCAAACTTACAGAAGGCTTTGATCCGAGTCTGCGAGTCCCACCACGATACTTGGAAGCGGTGATCAGCAATCTCTCACACGTGGCATGAAGTTTCGCCACAATGGAACGGCCCCGCACGTCCCACATAATGATTACGGTGCAATTTAACTTATCCAGCCTGTGGCTGCGCGTAATCGCAATTATCCCTGCGTGCCGGAACAAGAATGGGCTGAACCGGCCCGGGCCTTGATCGATGGCGAGAGAACGCCCGATCTGCGCGCGTTCTGGAAGGTACCACGGGGATGGGAGTTTCGGGACCTGGAGCAAATGACTTCTGAGGGTCAACCAAATGAGGCCTGGAATGGAGTCTACTTGAAATGGTTCTCATTCGCATTGGATGATCTCCCGGAAAATAGTTCTGTCCCACTTATTTTCTGTCGAGAGTATCGCTTAGCGGCGGGAGATGTGTTTATTGTGAAGCTTGCTCCGCAAGAACATGATGAGCAGGGATGGACCGCCTACGAGGATTTTCTACCAGAGTTCTTGGAGTATTGCCTTAAGCGGAACAGCATGGAGATTGAGTCGTATCTCCACTTTCGAGACGAGTTCGCCGCTCAGAAAGCCTTATTTCCAGGGATCTGGGCTCAAGATAATAGAAGTCGGTGGCTTGATGAGATTTACAGGGAACATTGCAGCTTCCCGCAGCGGTGAAACTCATACAGATCTAGGTAGTTAGCAGGGTTACACGGCTTTACTAGTTAACGAAATAAGTGGATGGCCAACAACAGGTACAGCCAGCCATCTTAGTGAACTGGCAGACAGAGCCTTTTTCTCCGAGCTGGTATCATTTCTGCCTAAAAAAATAAGTTAGTGATTTCATCCTTTGCGATGATCGACAAGTATAAAGGTTTTGAACTACGGCTTATGTCTATGATTGATTCTATTAAACTATGGAAACTATGCAACATACGCAATGCTAATCCTTGACCAAGCTCTCCGGGGTACCGCCTTCAAATCTAGTGGAATCTTCGATGCTTCAAAAGAAGCCTGGGGATCTTCTAATGACTTTCCTCAAGCTCCGCAAGAACCTCAGGCACCACGTCTGCTTTTTTTCTCCTGCATATCCACCTCCACTACGAACTTGTGTATATGTATCATCGACATCGGAGCTCTCAGATTCACTCCCCCGTGAGCTCGGCGAGGAACTCCTGTCACTCCTCGGGTAGTACTCAAAGTCCCCCTCATCAATATACGGCAGTCCCAACTCGACCGCGGAGTCCATCTCAAAGGCCCGATCGTCAAGCATATGCCGTGGACTCTGGATCTGCTCCGCGTAGAAATCGATATTACGGTCGCTAAGATGCGGAAGGTAGTAATTGAACTTGAAGTCGTCGCCCTCGCGCTTCAAGCTTTTCGAAGTCTCTTGATCCGCCTCGACGGGACGTTCGAGCTGCGACATCAGGACGTGTGAGCGGGAGCAGCCGCACGGGAGGATCTGCTTACTCGGGGGGCTGGATGCGTTACTGCTTGCGGGCGAAGGCGAGTAGAATTGATGTGCAGAGCGGCTGTGGGTGGGTTTAGTTGGTTGTTCGTCCTGGGCTTCTGAAGAATTTGGGAGGCTTGGTCTTCGAACGAAGGAGATTGGGTCTAAGATCATGCTTTTAGCAGTAAAGAGGCTTGCTTGTTACTAATGAATGGTTGGGTTATTTCGGTAATGACGGGTTTGTAATAATGCGATGACGGAAAAGCGAGGGTAATGTGGCGAGGAGGCCTTTTGAGAAAGGTGTGACCGCGTGATCATATATGTCAGGCGAAGGGTTATTACCATAGTCTAAGAGTTCAAGCACCGAGGTTGATAAATAGAGACAAAGAAGAATACTTACGCCAAGTCTCACACAAAGGAGAATGGTGTCAGAGTGGTGTTATTAGTGATCGCCACCTCTTTGTTAAGTCAGGTGGCAACGTCCATATCAAAGAAGGGCCAGTTAATGGCAAACAAAGCAGAAACTCCATACTTACCAACCAAGAATGGTGACATTCGCTTTGCTTCGCGTAGCGACTTTGCAACCTTGCGGCCTAGGGCAACCTCCTCATCCGATGTCTTTTGCCCGAGATCTGGGATCATGCTGGGCCAGGTCAGATGATATCATGATGATAGCAAACGAATGAATGAACAAGTCTGAGCCCCGCTCTATGCAAGCTTACGAGGGAATTACGGGCTCTAAAGTGAGCGTAAGTTTAGCTATATTCAAACTAGCCATAACATGCCGTTACAATTCGCGTATCGAGTGGAAGCTAATAGTGGCTTAACTCAGCAACCCCACGATCAACAGAATACAAAGACTAGCCTCAAGCCCACCCTGCAAACACTATTACCGACCTTCAAAGCCAAATCATGACTCCTGGATATGAACATCTGGATCACTTGTATAGCTTCTTGCGGCGTTTATGAGGCTTTTCTTGAGACGCAGTCGCGTCGTCCTCGGTGTCTACATCGCCGTTAGTTAGTTGGGTTCTTGAGTTGCTTGGGAGATGAACAGTATTATCCAACACTTACCTCCGGTACTCTGAGAAGACCCAACTTGCTCCGTGATTGGCGGCTTCACGTGAGGGACTACCACTTATTAGCAATAACCCCATATTCGATCAAGAGAAGACTTCTTACTTCGTCCACCCCGTGGGCCTTCCGCGATAAGTTCCTCGAGCTCATCTAGCCCAATGATTCTCTTACCACAGTACTCCAAGATCCAGTCCGTAGTCGTGCCCTTATAGTCTTCTGGAGCATTTGTCTCGTGGTATGTTCGCAGATGGTGAGCGAATCCAAACTTTCCACCGAAATACGCGGGCTGCTTGGACGACTTGGCGCCTCTAATATATCTATCGTCTGGATACGTATTTGCGTTGCAGAGGGGGCATATGAGCTCCACGTACTGGCCACTTGACCCTTGGCCTACGCAGCCTAGCCAAGCAGGAATGGGGATACGGGTTATCGATTCCACTGGGCCATTGGACCCGGAGGGCAATGGCACTGTCTGGATAACAGCGGCAGAATCCGCAGGCCGACGTGAGGGTGGGTCGAGTTGCATAGCTTCGTTCAACTCTGAGGCTCCAACACCGAGGGCTGAGCTAAAGCTAGAAGGCTTATGCATAGCTTCGGCTGTCTCTGAGACTTTAACGCCGAGGGCTAAGTTACAGCCAGAAGATGTGGGCATAGCTTCAGCCATCTCTGCGACTTCAACATCGAGGACAGAGCTGGGGCCAGAAGTCTTAGGCATGGCACTCAGAGCTGCGAGGATCTGTTGCATTTGCTCTGGGGGGGCGGTCGCTGGAGTAGGCACTGTACCACTTATTTGGCGAAGTGCAGCAGCGCCAGTGAGAGAGGCCACGTTAGCTGGACCTCTAATGCCTTGTCCTGCCACAGAAAGACCAGACTCGCTACTAGTAGTAATTGTGCGAGTTTGAAGACCTCCCGGAGGTGCGGTTGATACGCGAGCTGTGCCGTTGGCCTGATGACGAGACGCGGTACCAGCAAATGGACCGGGCCTGTCCTGCATTTGAGCTGAAAAAGTCGGCCGAGAAGACATAGAAGCAAGTAAACCACTCTGTCCAGCTTCAGGAGACGTGCTTGGCGTAGAATTCCGGTCAATGACTCGGCTAAGCAGAAATGGACCATGTCTACGGCGATGAGCGTTGTATTTGCCGTAAGCGGAAGAAATGGGTCCAATAGAGGGAGGAGGGGTTGCAGCGCCATTCTGAGGTCCGGTGGGCGTCTGTGATAGAGAGGTGGTACCGTTGCCTCGACGAACGGGCGGGATGTTTGACACTTGAAAGGCTGAAGGGCTGGTGGAAGTTGAAGTGGATCCAGCCTGAGTAACAGTGCTACTAGAACGGAGAGTAGGGCCTTGGCTTCTCGCCTGTATAACTGCATTACTGACATCTTTTTGTCTCCAACATTCAATCTTCTCCACCCAAGGGTGTCCCCGGGTATCTTTCCGAAGCACCGAGAGGACCTCACCGGTGTTCCAGAACCTATGAAGACATTGACTGAAGATCTCCTCTTCCGATAGGTCCACCCAATGGGTCTCTAGAATATGATCTTGGAGTTCTTCAACGCCCTTTAGAAAGACGAGAGACTCGGGAGAACTGCTCTGGTCCGCGCTCCGGGCATTGCCCTCACACCATCCGCACCTCAGATCGCTCCAGGTGTTTTTAGCAGTTCGAACAACCATTGGGAGACCGAAACTGGCCAAGGTATCGATTTCGCTCAGTTGAGCGGATTCCTCTTGCGTGGGTGGGCGTATGAGGTGGATTTGGACGTTGAAGTTTCTGCCTTCGACGCGAGGCACTCGACGGGCAGTTCGATCTCCCCGGACTACGGCCAGAATTTCCTCAATCTTCCATTGCCGGTGATAGCAATCGTCCAGAATTTCCTCCCAGGTTGAAGATATCCCATGAGCACGTGCCAATTGGTACTGAAAGCTTTCTACTCCGCGAATGAAGGTCTTATTGCCTGTACCTTCATTATCCTTCAAGTTCGTCTGGCAGATGTTGCACATCAGCTCGCGCCAAGTTCCATCTTCACAACGGACTACGGTTGGGTATTTGTCTAGTCGATTCACGGTCCGTAAATGCTCGGCTTCTTCTGTGGTGGCCCCGCTGGTGGCCCCGCCCCCTCTCCCAATAGCTTGTGCTGCGCTATTGTTTGTTCCTTGACCAGCCGCCGGGGGTACATTTGTAGTGTCTACTGCAGGGGCAGGCCGGTTTGCGATTTGTGAACGGCGATATAATTCCTGAAGGTTATCGTGAGCTTAGAGCCAGGGTATTACAGCGCAACGCTAGGCAGTCTATCTTCCCTCTCTGGCAATGCTTGAAAAGCTTCAATGCACTCCCAAGTGGGTGCCCGACCGATCACAAGGCTCGAACCCAGGCGTCAATCCAGACGTAACGCGTAAGACATTGCGCTCAAACGGCTTAGAGCTTATAAAGGCACCCCAAGCAGTATCAAGGAGGCGTTCGTAGACGAAGAGTGACTTACCGCTCCAGCTTTTTCGGACTCATAAAGCTGACCATTGAGATCAACAACAGTACGCAATGCCGCCTTCAATTCACGACGGAGAGCACCATGGCTCGCCTCATGGACTGCGATCTGATGTTCAAGGGCTTCCATGGCCCCTATTTCGGACACCGAGACTGTTGTGTTGTGGAGAGGATTATGGGTGGAGGTTGCAGCTCTTCGAGGCAGACCGCGAGGAAAAAACCCTTTGAGGGAGCTTAAAGGGTAAGTGAATAGATTCTAGTCTTTTCCATGTGAGTTGAAGAGACATATGTGGCGGCTAAAGTGGTCCGACTTTTATGGTGAATATCCGGGCGTAATATCCCTATACCGTAACAGGCACACTCGAAATTTTGATGGACGATCAGTGTGTCGCCATAGCCGTATGTGTCTCCATTGCTTCTTACTTGGGGAGATCCAACTAACATTGAAATTATAAAGGGCTGGTGAGGGTACAGTGCTAGGTCATAAGTCTGGGCACACGGGTATATCACTGCTCTAGCCACACTCTTGCTCGCTCAACACCACTGTAAGAAGTGCCCCAGCTAGTAGGTATTAGCTTCGTTAAAAGGTAGTCTAGTTTCCACTGTGTTTACTTTACATTGTATTTGGAAGTTTAAAAGCCTATTAAGGAACCCCAAACAGTTGCAAGGACTGCCCAAACTTGTGTCTTGGTACTGTAACGGGGTCAGTAACGCTATTCAGTGTTAAAAATTGTGCCGCCGCTTCTACTCTTACGCCTCTTTCCATCGTATAAGCTCGATACCAAGGGGTGCTAGATGAGATCCTCTATCAATTTTGGTGCTACAATGCTTTCCCAGCAGATCCACGTTGTCTGAGATCATTTATTGGCTTCCGAGGTCCATCCATTCAAAGAAAGGGATCCAGCTTATGAGCATCAGGAATATTCTCCAACACTGGTACTTAATTAAACATGTTACTTAGCATAGCTAGCTCATAGAAATTTACAGATCGAATCGATGATCCGTTTCGAGGTGAATATGCCCCCCTTCCCCCCCTTCCCCTCCCTCTCCCCCCCGAAAAAGAAAAATCATGGAGGTCGTGAACTCTTTTGAAAAGAAGGCCACTGTAGCCTGCTATGAGGTGAAAGCTGTGGATGTGTATGATGATGGATTGGACGATAGAGAAGCGAAAAGAGAATAAAAAAGGTCGACCGAGATTCGAACCCAAGACGGGGAATCCCATAATCTAGGCCCCAAGCTGCGAGCACTAGTAGTGTCAACGGTATGGGTGGAACAAGTAGAACCCCTAGACTATGGGAATGGACCAGCCGGCCGGTCGGTCCACCCATGGGTCGAATTGATATTTTGCCGAAAAATAAAATAAAATATATAGTTACCTTAGGGATCCGCCCAACACAGAATTAGACTTGCTGCTAGCAAATACCTTCGGAATCACTAGCGACTTGACCACGTACCTCCTGCTTCTCATCGTCAGGCGTTTCTCTATTACCAGCAAGAGATGCGAGGTTTGCTCTGGCATTCACCTAATCACTGGTTAAATCTGCTCACTCACGAGGATACCTGCCCTTTGTAAAAGTGTATTACTTAACGTAGTCGGCAAGCTAGTGGGCCATGCAAGCTAGTGGGCCACCCAATTATTGGTGCGATTTAGACCTTTTAGCACCCTAGCAATCTTAACAATCACAGAATATTCCAGGTTGTGACTTAGGATAATGATATCCGTGGTTATTTTAATATCATCTGTTAATTTTTTAGATCTCTTGATAGCCCTGTTTAGCCGCAGTAAAATGTTGCCTAGTTTTGGCCCCTAAAATCAAGTAATACCTACAATATAATAGGATTACGCTGCTATACTGCTCCAAACATTCTCTTAGCTATTAAAATGAGCTAGATAGTATATGCAATCTTAAAGCTATACTTTATATCTCGTAGTTGTTGAGATTGCTGGGGTGCTAAAAGGTCTAAATCGCACCAAAAATTGGGTGGCCCACTAGCTTGCATGGCCCACTAGCTTGCCGACTACGTTATCACTGAGCAAATTTAGTCATGTTTTCGATACGTGGTGTTGGTCGTATATCACTTGACAGACGGAGGGAGTGGACTAACTATTGTGTCATCAGCTCTCGCCTCTCCCTGTGAGTAGTCCAAAGAGGGTTACACCTATATCATCACTTTTCAGCAGCGCCTATGTACTGACAGCCTACGGATGCTTGATGCTTTGTGTATCCACAATGATTGTACAGTACAAACCTCAAACAAGGGAGGTGACAATCGCTTGATAAACCCCAAGTAGAGATTTTCAAGGAAAGAATTATCAGTAGCAGCCCCCGCTGAAGGGTTGGGATCAGCTACAAAGACGGATTTGATAATTTAGTATTACATCGGTGCACACTGCAAAACCAGCTGACAGGTGTTTCTTGGGGGTGAAAATGTTATTGGAGTCTCTACGGCATGAATTAACGCTCATTCCGCCGCATATGCAGAAATAGCAGACTGGGAGGGATACTGACATATTAGTCATTTTGGTCTCCCTTCCGTCCAGCAAAGAGCTTGTTGTCAAACCACTTCCGTGCCTTGCGCTCCAGCTTCCGACCGAGAGCTTTGACGTCCTGCAAGGACTTCTCGATCTCCGAATTTCGATCTTCCTGCGACTTCTGGAACATAACTCTATTAGAAGACGGTAGGGGCTTACCTGCTGATGTTTCGCCCTGCACCTTCGATCGCATGCGCTGCTCATCAACGCGACGCTGCATCTCTGTAGCGCTGCGCCACATACGCTCTGAAAGCTCGCAGTCCTCATCAGACGGCTCGGGGGCTGGCACATCATTTGCGAAAGAGTCAAGCTCCACGGGAATTATGGAAACTTGCGTGTTTTCTGAAAAACAAACGCGCTTTTCGGACTTTGGTTGAGTGAGGTTTTCCATCAACGATGGACTGAGGGATCTTAGATTGGCTGATTGTAGTGGGGATGAAATTTCGAAAGCTTTCAAGGCCGGAGGCGAGGGAAAGGGGAACCGCGTAGTTAGGGGAAAGCTCGTCTTCGATCTTGCTTATATAGTTTAGCTTTTGCTCATTCATGACCACGCAGTTCGTGTTATGTGAGTGTACTATGCGATATGTACTGGAACTGTTCATGAACAATGAATAGCGAAAACGGTGGATGCTAGGTTTACAAAGCAGGCATACGTTAGACTTGCGTGCTGGAAATACGAACGAATGGTAACTCACATTGGAATGTGCTGGACTATCTGCAGCTTGTGAGATTTCATCTGCTATGTTCTAGATTGACAATAATGAACGGCTAGGTTCTGTGATTATCGTATGAACCCAAGGTAATGGAATAAAATAGAATTTGGGAGGAAAAGTATGCATTTGATCAGCGAGAGGGGAGTCTGAGTATTTGACTACAGGCTTGAGATACGAGAATGATCTGAATGAGATACGTCAAGAGTATTTTTTTTGTTCACCTAGGATCAAGAGGTTATAGGAGTTTGGCAGTTTGACAAATGTCTCATATTTTTTGTTCGATGATAATGGAAAAGACAACGCTCCAATGCGCCGGCAAAAATTGCAGAGAAAACTCCAGAATCTAGGAAACGTGTGAGCGGCTTCTGATGCACTTACCGATCTATGAGCATCCCATCTTGTTCACGATAATACGCATTCGCGACGGCTTCTTCATAAGCTTGCGCTTCACATCCTCATCCTCGCGATCAGGCGACTTCGCAAGAACAGTTGATGAACTGCGAAAAGTACTTTGCGTAGCATTTGGCTGACTGTAGAAGGGCCTAGAGTTAGCCACGGAGCGGCACGACCTGAGTCTATCAGCAGACACTACGGAGGCACGCGACTTAGCGCGCTCTGCTCCCTCTTCACGCATTTCTTGCCATTTAAGGAGGGCTTGCTCACGTGTCAGCCCATTGGCATAGGGACGTTTAGCATTTTCATGCTTATCTAGGCCGATGTAGATTAAGCCCGGGACTCCACGAGGGCTAGTAGGCTCGGATTTATGGCTCGGTGGTGCGGGGTTTATGCCTGCATAAGCCCGGTGCTCCTTCTGAGGAGTCCGAGTTGGCCTCGGAAGCTCATGAGCCCTTACGAGGACGTGGCGGGTAGGCCGAGGTGTTCTCATCCTTGGAGTGACTTCAAAGTTTGAAGTCTGATGCCGCTCAGAGTGCCTAGAGCTTAGCGTGGTAGGATTTTCCCACCAAGCGGTACCGCCTGAGGTTCCAACAATAGGCTTGTCGTTCATGCTTCCTATTGCTGGGGCTGAGGTGTTCGGGACGGAGGTATCCAAGACGTCTATAGAGAAAGTGCTAATCGTTACGGTGCGTGGGCTGGCAATGATGGCATCTGCTAAGAGAGTACCTACCGATCGCCGCTATTGAGCGAGAATGAGAATGAAGATACTATTGGGAGGAGGATGAGTTCAGTAATGCGTGAAAAGTAGCGATATATATGTGAAGTAAGTGAACAATGTATCCTATGTGCATGCATCGTTAACCTCGACTATCACAATGTAGCCTTGACGAAAGCGATAGATGTCGCAATTGACGTGCCTGCATTGTGAACACGAATTTGCCATGGCCACTATGAATGAATTTATAGCAGGGTTTATAGAAATGCTATACGTGCAACTCCATAGCTTGCTTTCGAATATCATGTGCATACTATTAGCTGATTACAATCCCGGCCCTTTGATGATAATGGAAGATATTGAGGACTTGTGTCGGCGAGCACTATTCGAAGGTATTTCCAGAATCCCATTCGGTAGAGTGTATACATCGTTCTTTTGCATGTGTGTCGAGCAAGTCCTGAGCGAACTCTACTGGCGATGTCTCACGTGACCAATGCTGCACTACTTCGTAGGATGAGTCTAGATCGCCCTCAAGAAAGATCGGAGAACACCGCTCGCGCTTGGTAGGAGCTTATCAGGACCCTAGTTTGGCGACAAGGACAAGATCCGCATGTATACAATGGATAGCCTGCCTAGGGACTAGTTCTGCCGTCGCACGAAACGTTCAAGGCATTATCAGCAACCCGACAACGAAGAAAGCCGATATTCTGCTGACGATGTCTAAACCCGATGCAAAGGTAACAGCTTGCCTGGGCTCTTGCGCGAGAGGAAGCGTAGCCGACATAGACACAGCCGTCATTCCAGATTCCACTTATAGATTTCTCCAAGTACCTCCACGGCACATCGGAAGAGAAGGCCACGTGCGTCTCAGAGATCATAAAAGGCTTCACCACCTCGGGATTTCTCTACCTTACAAACAGCGGACTCTCTCCAGCTACTGCTTTCGAATGGAGCAAACAATACTTTGCTCTCCCGAAGTCTGTCAAAGAGAAGCACCCGAATGTAATCAAGGAGGCCAATCGGGGGTATTCTGGCATGGGTATTGAAAAAGTAACGAATCTTGACCTGGATACCAAAGACGAAGCTTCGATAGCGAAGTTACGCGCCGCAGTTCCAGACCTAAAAGAGTCCTTGGAGATTGGCAGCGACGCAGGTCGTTATCCAGCAAAGCCGTGGCAGAATCATTATCCAGATACTGAGGTTCCTGAATTCGGCAAGGTAATGCGGAAGTTCTACGAGAGTTGCGATGAGCTACACCATGAGGTTCTTTGTGCGGTGGCGGAGGGGTTGGGACTCGATAAGAACTTCTTCAAGCAGTACGTAAATGCCGGTGACCACGTGCTACGGCTGTTGCACTATCCCGCCGCATCAAAAGAGGTTTTGACACAACCTGGCACGGTAAGAGCAGGATCTCATACTGATTATGGAACGATTACGTTGCTTTTCCAGGATATGAGTGGTGGGTTGCAGATTCGAACACCTGAGGGCGAGTGGCAAGATGTCGAGCCGATCGAAGGAGCGATTGTGATAAATTCAGGTGGGTAGTGTTCGCTGTCTGCAGTAGAATGTTTTGCTGATAATGACTGCTAGGGGATATGTTGCAGATATGGACCAATGATGTTATCAAATCAACGAACCACCGGGTGGTGTCGCCACCTAGCGCGCCGACTACCGATGATGGCTCGTTCTCTGCGCGTTACTCTATCGCAGTAAGGTTTGCTGTGCCATTGCCGTCGAAAGCGGAATAACTTACGGAGCCTGTAGTACTTCGCACATCCGGACCACGACCGCCTGGTAAACACAATTGAAACTTGCTTCGACGAGCAGAGGCCGAAAAAGTATTCCCCAGTATACCCAGGCGAATGGATAGTGAATCGGCTCACAGCCACATACTGACCTAGGAAATCCTCAGGGTTGTCTTCTGAGAAGGGCTGGGATGATTTTGTCGGAAAGCTTCTTGAATGAATAAAGCATTCCCTCCATTCCCGTCCATCTTTCTGCACAAAAGGACAGCAATATTAGGCAAGAGTTCGAGATCTCGTAGAAGTTAGTGAGGTCCAGCGAGCCAATTTCTGGTGTCTCTCCAAGCTGTAGCATTGGTTTCAAGATCGGCACTCTGCTGTCAATCGCAAGAAGAGCATGAGCCATTAATGTAATGCCAGCAAGGTAGATATAGTGTGCGGAGAGAAACGTCATTGGATACGCGCCCAATATTGACTTTTCGGGAGCGCGAATAACTTTCTCATATGTTCGGATCAATGCACAAGCTGACCAGTAATTATCCTGCGGTACCGCTTTGAAGTCCGTCGACGAGTCATTTCGATTCATTGTCGTAGTTCGAATTGCGACAAGCAAGAGTGGCTGGAACAAGAAGCAAATCGTGGAATTATAGCCGACGTCGCAGCTAATAGTTCCAGGTCCTGCCAAATCATCGTCGGAGACTAGATGCTCTTGTCGCCAAAGGTGAAGCGTACTGAAACGATCGCGATACCAGTCAAATTCGAATTGAGGAGGGTCCGCGGGCATATAAAGATCCCGGAATATCTCAGACCGCAGATAAACTAGCCTGTAATGATGTGCGATTGATATCGGCTGTACAGAGGCTTGATCCATGCTGTCGATAGCGGAAAGACTGCGAGGGTATTCAGTCGTAATGATAGGTTCGGGGAGGTCAGAACCACGCCCGAAGAGCTGGCCGACAATTCGTTCGATTGCATAGAGTCCCCAAAATGTCGACCGACGTAGCCTCTTTTGTGCCTCAGTCTCTACTTCCACTTGCTGCTCGGTATGGTAACCCAGCTCTACGCTTAGCCTGCATGCGTAGTCAAGCAGTTTCCAGATATCACCCTTTCGGGGTTGGAAGAGGCAGAAGATAGAAAGGAGAAGCAGGGCCTGTAGGGATGCTGGTGTCACTTCCGAAGTGACTTCCTCGACACAATCTAGAGCGTTTTTGTAGTATGCCATGCCCTCTACAAGCCGCCTGTGTCGATGTCGAGCCTGGGTGGAGCATGAGATAGCACACATCATACTCACCCGAAAGTACTGATGCGCTTCCACACCTCGTAGATCTTGTGGATTGAGAAGAGGATTACCTCTTAGATCAAGATACACTTCGACGTCATTTGCCGCTAGATGTTCATCCACGAATCCATACAGAACGTTCGAGGTGACAAAATAGAATCTGCACAATTCCCTTACGGACTCGGCTTGAGCTTGGTGGTTGAAGCGTATGGCCAAAGTATCCGCACATTCTTCCTTATCATTATATCGTGATATGGGAAGATCCAAGGAGCCTTCTGGAAGGAGACCAGTCGTTATGGCATGACGGAAGAGTTCGACAGAGATGGTGAATACGGAGCTCGCGCCGAAGAAACGTGATCTGCCAGCGGCTGACGGGATGATGAAATGTTTATCGAACGTGTCTGTCTGATCGCGCTTCAAGTATGGGTCATACTGGACGCTTTGGGGAACACGCTCTCGATTATCCACCTGAGAGGGTTGGGATGGGGGTGGGTGGGGAAAGGGGTGGTCTGATGTTGGAGTATTGGGCAGCACAGGGCGGGGAACATCCTGCTGGTCAGAAGATCCATCGATAGTGCGTTTTACAGCCTCGAGATGCTCCAAACGGGCAAGGAGAGAATGGACGTAACTAGAATATGAGTTAAAACAGGACAATAGGGGTTTACGTGGTGCTTACGCTCGCGGTAGTGATTGCTGTAGTGCGTGGTCGAAGTGATAACACTCTACGCCAGCCTTTTGCAAAGAAGTCAGTCAATAGGTATGACTATCGGTTGATGAACGGACCTTGCGGCACAGCCTGCAGTCCGGCAGTAGCGTATCGCATTTTCTCCTCAAACGCCTACATCTCTGGCAGGTTGAAAGAAGCTGCTGAATAAGCTCTCTTGACGTCGACATCCACGTACAAGGAAACTGCAAAGCAACCGTATCGGAGAACAACGGTGAGAGTGGTGGTAAAAGGCGGCGGGGCCGACGCGGTGGTCGGATATCCTCCGTCCTCTCACGAGTCATGTCGAAAGCTGGTGTCGTTTCTCGCCCCGCACGCTTCAGCCTCCGAAAACCTTCGTGTCGGCGATGAGCGCTCCAGCCCTCACCCCACTAGCCCATCGGAAGTAGGACTTGTTCTATCACTAATGTACAATAGCCAAGATGTCCTCACAAGAAGGTATCGACAGGGGCCTCAAAGGTGTTCATTATACCTATATTGACGATAGAAGCGCCTACGGAACCGCTCCTCTTTCCACCAATACTCGCACGCCATGGCTCTCCGAGGGCAGAGGATAGCAGTCATTGGGGGTGGCATTGGAGGAATGGCTTTCATGAACTCGGCTTTGTATGCTGGCTTGGAAAATATGCACCTCTACGAGGCCGCCCCTGAGTTTACCGAAGTTGGAGCTGGTAAGTTTCAAGCGTCGGGTCACAGAAGCTTGCGCTAAATTTATAAAGGTGTCAACATCACTCGCAACGCTAATCGTGTACTTGATGCATTTGGATTGAAGGATGACATGCTCTGGAGCTCCTCTCGCAACCCGCCAAGTTACATGGAGTACAGACATTACCGAACTGAAGAATACCTGGGACAGATCGAAGAATTTGGTGAGCCTCGATCGCGGCAAATTCATCGTGCGCATTTGGTAGAGGTCCTGAAGAAGAAGGTTCCGGATTCCAAGATAAGTAAAGGGAAGCGGCTGGTAGCCGTCGAACGCGACGAGACAGACGACTGCTACACGATAAAATTCCAAGATGGAACGGAATCCAAAGCAGACATAGTTGTTGGTTGCGACGGAATCAAATCCAGAGTGCGGCAGCATCTCGGTTTCACCGACGAGCCCATTTACTCCGGCCAAATGGTGTATCGTGGCTACGTGGCCTACGATGACTTGACTCAGGAAACCGCTGAACTTCTACGGAAAACGGTCAACTTCCGAGGGCCGCAGCGGCATGTTCTTACCCTTCCTATTGGAAATGAAGAGTCAAAAACGGACCGAGTTGGCATAATCGGATTCATGACCGAGCCCCTTGAAGGATGGACATCCGAGAGCTGGCTGGCGAAGGCGCCTGTTGATGATCTTTACGAGCACGTCAAGGACTGGAGCCCTGCAGTCCAAGAGATCATACATGGTCTGCGGAAAGGAGCAGAGGACGGCAAGATCTTGAAACAAACTTTGTATGTTCGAGACCCAACGCCCAAGTGGTACTCCGCCCAGAGCTGGCAGAAATCTGGAATCATATTGATTGGCGACTCTGTTCACTCGACTCTTCCACATCAAGGTAGGAAATATTCTAGCGTTGTCTCATTCTCACACGATGTTCTCTAACCACGTTCATTTTAGGTCAAGGAGCTTGCATGGCAATCGAGTCTGGATTTGCACTGGCACAAGTCTTGAGTAATTGGCAATCGGCAGACACCGAAGGTGCATTTCAATTTTTCCAAGATCTCAGAAAGCCGCGAACGGATAAAATCACGAAGACTAGCTACGAGACTGGAAAGCTAGCGAGTGCAGATATTCCGGAGGAGCTTTGGAGCCAGACGTTTTCGCCAGGCGCTGTAGCAGAACGTATGCGATGGGTGATGGAGTACGACCTTCTCGCAGAGCTTTCGAACAGGTTGAGCGCCGTCGATGCGTCGGATGAATCGAAGACCTCCACGGCAAGTTCCATTCCACAAGTAGCAAGAGTGGTATAGCAACGCGATATCGCACCACTAGGATATTATTAGTCTGTTACCCTCTGCACACCCGTTTCATCTATCATGAGTTTGGGAAGCGTGATGTGACGAGGTTTGTAAGGACAGCATCTGAGCTATGATGCGAATGTCCAGTACCCACCAGCGGCTCGACTGGGCTATCCCCAGGCGCTGATAGTGGTATGGCAATTAAAGAGGACAGCGCTTGCTTGAAGCACCCCACTATACGATTTTCCGAAGACTTTACAGACTAATATTGCAATACTTTAGAAAGGCCTAGAACCACCCCGCATTCGCACTGATTTACCAGTGCCCTGGGTCCTGATCCGGCTGTCAAGCTACCCAGATACCGTGAGAGAGGTGTTCGGGAATTAGGGCCGATTAGCGCGGACATCCGCGTCCTCCAAATCCATCGAACTTTGATCTGCTAGGTATGGGCGTATCAGAGCTAGCTGGGCATGACTCTGTCGCCATCTTTATCGTCCTGATCTCCTGACCATTCCAGATAGCGACTCCCAGGTGCGCACAGTCCCGTCGCAAGCTTTATCATTTCAAGGATTGGATCGGCGTACCGCGCCCACCTTTCCTAGCGCCTTATTTATGTGAACCGCGGAGTAAGTGATAAACATCTTGAAGGATCAATCATTTAGACCCGAATCGAACATATCTTCAGTTACGAACGGAATTATTTCTTCGTAATTTCTTTCAGTCAATTATCTTCATACTTCCATAATGGACGAAAAGGTCATCGAGCCGGTCAGTTCATTGTCGAGCGTCCGCGAGGGCGGCGTGGAGGAAATGGGTGACCCCATTGCGCAACAAAACAAGCTCCAACGATGGTCTGGTCGAATGGATAAGGCCCTAGGCGTTGAGAGTCAAGGTATCACGCGAGTTCCGGAGGAGTTGCGGGCGAGGAAAGTGGTGACAGGCGATTACGTCCACATGTTTGTTATGTGGTTTTCGATCAACTGCACCGCCAACCAGATGACTTTGGGAATCTTGGGTCCTGTGGCTTATGGATTGGGTTTCACTGATTCTATAATGTAAGCATATGCTTCGAAAATTGGATGCTCACTGAACTGATAAATGATCAGATGCTGCATGTTCGGGACCATATTTGGTGCTATGTGTTCTGGATACCTCTCTTCCTTTGGACCCCAGTCAGGTTTGCGGACACTGATCATCGCTAAGTACACCATGGGATGGTGGCCTTCAAAGCTTTGCGTTTTGCTCAATTTAGTCATTGAGCTTGGCTATGGAGTCATTGATTGCTTGGTCGGAGGTCTAATTCTGAGCGCTGTTAATGGCCACGGCCTGTCAGTGATCGCGGGTATTATTGTCTGCGCCCTGATCTCTTGGGTTGTCGCAACCTTTGGTATCAAGTGGTTCCACAAGTTTGAAAGGTGATAGCTTTCCCCGAATCCCGATTCCTGTGAAAACATGAAGTTGATCTATCTAGCTACGTCTGGGCTCCAACTGTCATATCTCTATTCATCCTCATTGGCGTTGCTGGCCCTAAATTCGACATCAATACATCTAGTGCTGGCTCTGGTGCGGTTCTCGCTGGTAATCGACTGAGTTATTTCTTCCTTACTGCCTCCGGGCCCCTTGGATGGACCTCCGCAGCAGCCGACTACTACTCTTACTACCCACCCCAGACCAACAAATACATAGTCTTCGCCATGACAACGTGCGGAATGGTCTTCGGTAAGCTGTTCATCGAGTTCCTAGGCATCGGTCTCGGCAGCGGACTCACTAACAACCCTGACTTCGCTGCCGCTTTCTCAAACCACGGCGTTGGCGCCCTCATCGTCGAGGCATTCGCACCCCTAGGCAACTTTGGCAAATTCTGCGCCGTCATCCTCGCCATCTGCGTCACGGCCAACAACATTCCCGGGACATATGCCGCTGCTCTCAACTGGCAGATGTTTGGACGGTGGTTCGCTAAGGTTCCGCAACCCATCTGGAGCACAGTAACGGTCATCATTTATACCGCCTGCGCAATTGGTGGTCGTGATCATTTGTTCTCGATCTTCATCAACTTTTTGAGCATTATTGGGTACTGGACTGTGGGCTGGGTAAGTTCGATCCGCGTGTTCCTTCTGTATCAGACCATATTCTAACGTCTTTCGCAGGTCGCTATGACTATTGAAGAGCAGTGGATCTTCCGTCGCAAGTCCGGCTACAACTGGTCCCACTGGAATGTGAAGTCGGCTCTGCCTATCGGCTACGCTGCTTTCGTCGGCTTCGCCGTTGGATGGGTAGGTGCTGTGATGGGGATGTACCAGACTTACTACACTGGTCCTATCGCGAAGCTTGTTGGTAATGGTGCTGATGTAAGTATTCCTTCCCAGAAGCTTTAAGGTCCGTTTACTAATCTGATGTAGCTGGGAATCCCGCTTGCCATGTCCTGGGCAGCTATAGTATACGCTCCGTTGCGCCTTTTAGAGTTGAAGTTAGTTGGACGTTAGGATGTTGAAGATACCATGGAAATAGCTTTAGTAGATGATAGAGCACATTGGCGCAAGCGCCTTATTGAATAATAATGCCTTCATATATCAATTGCATCTAAGTGCCCTCCACAACGGCACAACAATCCACTTCATGATCAGAAAACTTGATGGAAATGCAGATTGTACGGAAACAATGCGATGCTCCCGACCATGCTACGAAAAACACGATGCCTAGAGTTCTACATCTTTGCCGCTGCCCTCCTGAGATAATCGTCATATCGCAGATACGCACCCAGAAGCACCTGAGCACCAGCAGCGCAACTGTTTTGATATTAGAAAGGCTTTAAAAGTGAGAAGGGCATAACTTACTCCTCTGGTCTCGTATACTCAGCTGGATTATGACTGACACCATCACGACAACGCACGAAGATCATAGCAGTCGGAACCTTCTTGTTCGTGTAAACACTGTCGTGCCCTGCTCCACTTACCAACTCCGTCATGCATCCAATCTCTCGGGCAGAACTCCTGACGCACTCGATCATCGTAGGGTCGAAGTTCACGGCCGTGGAGACCCAGAAGTTGTCAAAAGTCATTTCGAGGCCGATTTCGTCGCAAATCTCTGCAAACCTTTTACGGCACATCGCCTCGATGAGCTCGACGTCGGAGTCTGCAGGTGCTCGGATGTCGAGTCCGAAATCCACATGGCCGGCAATGGTGTTTATGCTCTGCGGCGACGAATTGATCACTGCGATCGTGGCACGACCGCCTCGAGCAGCTATTTCGCCTTCCGTAACGAAGCGGTTGGTTTCGACCTAGATTGGTGTAGAAGTCAGCAATTGGTCTATTGTAAGCCTGCGATAAACTCACAATCATCTTCGCAGCCCCCAACAATGCATCACTCCGCCTATCCATCGGCGTCGTCCCTGTATGCGCCTCCCTCCCTACTAACCCTAGATTATACCACCTAATCGACTGCACCCCCTTCACCACCGCGGCCGCTTCCTCCGCCTGGTCTAGCACTGGCCCCTGCTCAATATGCACCTCGAAATGCGCCGTCAACGGATTCGCCTGAAACGAACACTCTGTCTCTCCCAAATACCCAATTCGCTCTAACTCCGCTTTCAACGTCCTCCCCTCTGGATCCGTCCGCGAGTGCCCATACTCCGTCGTGAACGCGCCACCCCAGACACCCGAGCACAGCATTGCGGGCGGGAAGCGGGCGCCCTCTTCATTGGTCCAATCGATGACGGCGAGGGGCGCGTAGGTAGTGATGTTGTTCTCGTGTATGGTCTGGAGAACTTCCATAGCGGAGACAACGCCTAAAATGCCGTCATACTTGCCCCCCGTGGGCTGGGTATCAAGGTGGGAACCGAGGCCGATGGGGGCAAGGGCATTGTTTTGGCCGGGCCGGATGGCGAATATGTTGCCCATGGCATCGATCTTGTGGTGGCAGCCGAGTTTAGAAGTCTCAGCGATGAACCAGTCCCGGACGCGTTTGTCATCGTCATTAGAGGCGAGGCGGTCTTTATAATATGAAAATCAGGGTTATGGAACTTTGAGAGGCAGGCTTCGTTGAACATGAAGTGGCAGTCCACCGCCGTCTGAGGTAGCCCGGAGAGCTGTTAGACTTGCCAAAATTGGCGCTTTTACAGTTTTGATAACATGCCAGAGGGCGTCAAGCGGTGCCAGGCAAGCTTAAACAAGCACAAAAGTAGTGTGTACCTGAAGGCGAAAGACTTATGTTGAAACCACAGATTTGTGGACTGCCACTTGTTGTTCAAAGAAGCCTATGGGGGAGACTTACTCATGCCGCCATCTGGGGTACTGAATGGTGTCAATAGAGATATTGAACTAAATTGATGCATTACTCACTTTCCCCAAGCACATGCTGCTTCCAATGTCGCGTTTGTACGCAAGGCATTGACTCGTAAATGTTCATACTTAGCAGAGAGAGTTGGTAGTTGGATGCTAGCTGGCAGTTCGACAGACACAGAGGTAGCCATGATGAAAGAATGAGAAGACTGAGCTGCAAAACGTAAGTTCGAGAGAAAACGATCGTAGAAAGCAAAGAAGAACACCCCGCGATCAAAGAATGACCGTAACGGCTTAACTAGTCCTCATTACTTTACCTAATAGTGACACCGAGGCCTCCAGGGCGCTCCCGGAGAAGAGCGGTACCGTTGTTGACCCTGCATGCAAACACGAGGACCGAATCGCGGCAACGCTCCTTCAGCAAGGAGACGCTAGTATGTTCTATCCCCTTGAATCTTTAAGTTGAAACAATACAACGATGCTGATGGGTGACAAGAGAGACTGTTTGACCTAGGAAAGTGGTATAATGACGAGAAGCTTGAAAGTTTACTGAAGTCCTCCAAACAAAAGGAAACATGTTTCAACGGAGCAGTTCCAATGATTTTGCGTTGTTTGATGATCTCGCAGCTCCATCACGTGCCATCACGTGATCAGATTCCAGTTACACTTTAGAATGATCGATTTCGAGTGGATTTGTGCACCATCGAGAAATGCAAAGCTTCGGAGAACAGCGCTCTGGCTTCCTTTCCGCATCCATACAAAAGGCCCGATCGGAAGTCAAGCCGATAGCTGCTGATAAGCTCCGCCTTTGACCTGAGTCAGGTACGCTAACTTTCGGACCGTCTGCGCGTCCCGAGACTCCACCTCTCCTCGTACTTTTCCTTACCCCTCTGCGACCATGGACGCTCAAGGCTTGATGGCGGTCAAGTCCGCAAGAAATTATGTCGACCGAATGCTCGAGGAGTGTGCTCAGTTGTGGAAGATGCAGAAGGCGAAAGACCAAGGCGCGTACATTCCTCTCTGTAATGCGTCCGAAGTTTCCCCTCTAACAACACCTAGTGTGACCGCAAGCTCCCAGCCTGCACTCCATGTCTAAGAGCAAAGACCACATGTACCGGCTTCAGTGTGACTATCTCTTCCACTGAGGTCCCTCGCAGCATCGTAAGGCACCTCGAGCATGAGATTGCACGATTGGAGACAGAGCTTGCCAAAGGAGGTCATCTTGATGCCCTCAACGCATCTGATATCCTACTCCAATTCAACCAAGACTCATCTGGAGATCAACTCAATGGCCCACTTATCGATAGTAGCCCTCGTTGGGTCATGAGTATACCGGAACCTCCACCAGTCCCGTCACAGGATCCTCTGACTTCCTCAATCATGAATAGCCGAGAGCTGCAATCTATGATATCTGCCACTTTGCCCTACGGATCGGGACTGACAGATCTAGTTTCAAGAGTGAGAATGGGCCTCACTCCATCTTCGAGCACGGCTGTGACGAACGTGAACGACCTGCAAAGGAATAGCGTTAGTCCGAACGCAGTTTCCATTCAAGCCCAGGTTGTTGAGACACGAGTCCTACGCAGTATCCCAATTGAGATCATCCAAAGTCTAGTGAATAAATATGTTCAGGGAGTGCTCCCTCAATTTCCATTTCTGCACGAGCCAAATATCTGGGACCAGCTAAGGCACGTAACAAACTTCCTGCAAACCAGTGAACAGGATTCCCAAAGTTGTTTGGTCATGCCTGACCATGGGTTCCTGGTTATCTACTTAATTTTAGCAATATCTGTCACGCTCGGTAGCGCGAAGGGTGGGCACGAGTCGCGATGCATGTCTCTCTCATCTTCGCTTTTCGAAGAAGGGATCCGCCATCTTCCTAGTCAGCCGGGTGTCTCTTCAGATTTTACGGGGATTCAAATGAATCTCTTAATTCTTCTATATGCGACAATCAACCCTCGCTCAGCTAATGTATGGATATTATCGGGTGCGGTCATGCGGTCGGCATTAGTGAGTCTTCTTCAACCTCTTTGAGCAGATTTCTACCAGAGGTATGTACAATGAGCTAACCGCTTCAACTTCAGGAGCTCGGACTCCATAGAGAGTCTCCTGAAACCTACGGAATGGATACTACAACTTTGAACCTTAGACGTAGCGTCTTCTGGAGTGCATATTGTATCGATCGCAGCGTATGTGCTGCTCTTCAAAGACCGCTTTCAATTCCGGACGCCGCCATCAACACCCAATTCCCCAATCTGGATGACGATGTCACTGGATTGAGTTCTAGGCCTTTCTTAGATCAAATCCACTATCATCAACTTCAATCAGAGATGATCCAGATCCATTTCCAAGGACAGCCCTTACCCGAGGGCATGTCCTGGGAAGATTGGTTGCAGAATATGGAGAAGAAGCTTCAAGCATGGTACGAAAAATCAAAGGCTGAAGCCAGCAATAGCGAGCTCGTAGAGTTCGCATTAGCACGCGGCCTTACTATGCTTCACCGACCATCCGGAAGAACACCAATGCCATCACAGCGGAGCCTCTTGGTCGCCTTTGAGGCTGCAGCATTATCTGCCCGGAGCCATCGTGAGCACATCCTCTCTGGTTTCTTTCGCCGTCCCTGGATGTCGGCCCACCATACACTCGAGACAGCCATGGTGCTTCTATTTTGCTTGAGGCACGGCCAAGACAGCATTACGCAGAAGTACAATCCTAGCCAAATCTTCGACATGACCAAGATATTTACTACAAACTTCCTCAGCATAGCGTCGCAAGGGTGGTCCGAGGTATCGAATCACGCCGGCGTATATGAACGAATGCTTGGTCCGCTTTTGGCGTTTGTGTTTTCTCCGATGTCGAATCCGGAGGCTGGGCTGGACCCTGCGCAAGATGTGGAGCTCATGCGTCTGCTTTACCCAGGCCCAGCCCATCTCGACAAATTAAGGTTTGGGAGTAGGCACGTGGAAGATTTCGAAACTTTTGATTTCAGTCTCTTTGATATCGACCAGGGCTTCTTTGATATGGGGGCAAACGCGCAGGTTGTAGATGGGAATGGGACGCCCGGTACTGCGCTGTCGGATCATACTCTCCGTTTGGATGATCTAGGACTAGTCTTTTGACGATGAATGAGATAAGAGGACGTTAGTATCGACATGACTTCACAATTCTTAACGCTATGGCTCCACAGAGCTCGAAGCAGCTATGGAAATTGTTATCCAAAAGCTCGTATGAAATACGCATTATTGTTTTCGACTAGTACACTAAAAAAGACTGACCGTTGTAGTTAATGCGCACCGTTCGTACCGTTCGTCGCCCCGTTGGTCGTCTTGCCAACCTCAAAATCGACATAAGCCATCCCACAAATCCACTCAACGACCGGCTCATACAGCAGCATCTTCGCCTTGCTGCTATTCATAGCCCCAGAAAGCGCCACCCAGTTCAGCACCTCATGCCCACCATGCCCCGCCTCCTCCTCTACCTCCGCATACGTCAACTCGCTCAACCACTTCCCATCTCCCGCACAGAATTTATCCAAGAACCCTCGATCCCACTCCCAATTGACAAGCGGATGTTTCGAGTTCAACGGGTACTCGTTCTTCTTCGCCATCTCGATCTCATAGTCATCCAACCTAGCCAGCAAATCCGGATGCTCCTTCAACACCGGCTTCCCCTCGGTCTGGAACTTCTTCATCAGCGCCAGGAACGGGTCTGAGGGTGGGTCGCCGGCTTGTGTGGGGCTCCAGTACGGCGGCCAATGCGACAGACCGCCCGTACACATGAACGCGACCCGCGTCTCGTCCGGCAGCGCCAATGCCGCTTTCCGACACGCCTCCCCCAGCGCAAACGCTCGCGAGTACTTCATCAACGGCGGCGTGAACACGTTCAGGAAAATCGGGATGATCGCCACGTTCTCTAGCTCCGGCCGCATGAGCACCCACGGCATCATGAGGTTGTTCCCGTACTCCACCGTCCCCGTCCGCGCAACATCAAACCCATCTTCCACCAGCGAGTGGATGAGGTGTTCCGCGACTTTTGGGTTGCCGGGGAAATGTGTTTTCTTGGGGATGCGGAGGGTTTCCATCCACTGGTCCGCGGGGCCGACGTGGGTTTCGGCGACGCTGACGGCGATGGTGGGCATGAGGTTGCGGTAGAAGTTTTCGAAATGGTCGTCGAGAAAGGCGAAGATGATGTCTGGTTTTGCTGCTTCCAGGCTGATGCCTAGATCTCTGGTAGCTTTCTCGGTGCGCTCGCGGGCTTCTGAAGTGGCAGTCTCGGGGAAGGCGAGCGCGCCTGGAGGGTATGAAGTCAGTCACAGGCCTATGGGAGGATTTGAGGATGGAGAAGCTTACCAGGCGCGTGGGAGAGGCCGACAGCTGCTACGATTTTACCCATGATGCCTTATGTGAAGATGAGGGTAAAGAGAAAGGAAGGTGGATATGGAAGAGGTATGAGGTTGAGACGTGGAAAGATTGTTTCTCAACTAAAGTTCAAATAACTATACCAAAGAAACCAAGAAGAGCTGGAACACTGAAATATTCTCCTTAGGACTACACTGACTCCGCACGCATGCCGAACACGATAAGAAAAACCGCCTGACCCATCGGTAACATCTCCAGACATTTTTCGCGTTCGCTCGCAGAAAGCGCGTTGTTGCGACCAGGGGCTGGATCGATAGGGGATGTCCGACACTAGTAGACCCCGGCTTCTAAGCATAACTTATGGCGGGGCATCAGGAGTGGGGCAGTATGTAACATTCCTGCAGGGCGTGCCGGTGATGACCGGCATCTCCGCCGGCAACTCCAGTATTTTCAACAAAGAATCAATTCCTATACTCTCAGAAGGCATTCGACGTTGTCAATATGAGTGGAAAGCTAGACATCCTAGTCTTTGGGGGAACCGGCCTCATCGGGCAGTACGTCGTCAACGCCCTCCTCGCAGCGAAGGAGGACTTCGGCCGTTTAGCCATCTTCACGTCGCAAAGCACAGTGAATACCAAGGCCGATTCCATTCAATCTCTCAGAGAGGATGGGCTTGAGATCATCGTGGGAGATGTCAGGAGTGAGGAGGATGTGTTGGAGGCATACAAAGGTATCTAGAGAATAACAGCTTTTCACCGTCACAAACCCACCGGCGGACACTTATTGATATAATTCTTAGGGTTCAACACCATCGTCAGCGCAGTCGGCAGAAATGTCATAGCAGAGCAGATCAACCTGATTCGCCTCGCCGAGCAGTCCCCAAACATCATACGATTCTTCCCTAGCGAATTTGGGACGGATATCGAATACTTCGACCATTCCGTCAATGAGAAGCCTCATCAATTGAAGCTAAAAGTACGGGCATATATCAAGGAGTCCGTGAAACGGCTAGAGCACACATATCTAGTTACAGGCCCTTATGCGGATCTATACCTTGGGAATATGGGCAGCAGCCCGATGGGATCGTGGAATGTCAAAGACCAGAAAGCGAGGCTTTTGGGGAGTGGAAATGACCCGGTATCTTTGGTTACCATGTCCGAGTAAGCTATCACTGTCTACGGTATGGAGCCACTGGACGATCACTGACAAACGGTAGCGTTGGTAAACTCCTCGTCGGAGCCCTCAAGCACCCAGACGTGTCTCGCAACCGGGCTTTGAAGGTGAACTCCTTCACTGCCACACCCAACCAAATATTAGCCGAGTTTGAGCGCCAGACGGGAAAGAAATGGGAGGCTTCATACACATCACTAGACGAGTTGAAGCAATTAGAAAAGGAAGCCTGGGACAAGGGTGATCCCATGGCTACCGTGTTTACCTTACGGAGAATCTGGACCGAAGGAGGAACTCTATACGAAAAGCGAGATAACGAAGAGATAGGCGTCACAGACAGCGACACGCTCGAGATTGCGGTAGCCCAGGCTATCGAACATGACGCACCAGGTTTTAGGAGCGGTAAGTCGTAGAAGAAAAGTATCAAATCTATTGAACCACGTACCGCGCCAATCTACAACGGCTCTATCCCCCTGCCCAAGAACGTGCTCTCCCCAAATTGCTTCTTCTCTGCTACCTGGAAAAGGGGTAGCCCCATGACTATCTCGATTAGCATTTCGAACTACCACCGATTCCTTAGATGACTTACAGTAACCCGTCGCCGGCTTCCCAAGCGCCTCCCACGTATTTTGGGCTTCCGACTCCCCAATCTTGACCAGCGGCTTTCCGCTCCCTGCACTGCTCGCATCCGCAAGCAGTTGGACCTCGCAGCACTTCTCCAAAAGCACAAACCACGCTACTACAGCTTCGATCGTCGGGCCAACGGTCAGGAGACCATGGTTACCAAGGAGTGCAGCTTTCTTGGAGCCTAGCTCCCTCGCAATCGACTTGCCCTCTTCTGCTGCCAGGACCACGCCCGCGAAGTTCGCGTAGAGCACGTGGTCGTTGTAGAAGACGCAGGCGTCTTGAGTCAGTGGGTCCAGTGTCCTTCCTGGCGGTTTGTTAGAGACTTCTTTAATGCTGATACTGCCAAGAGTCTTACCAGTCGCACAGAAAGCTCGTCCATAAGTGCTATGTGAATGCGCGGCGAATGTGACGTCCGGTCTCGCCTTGTGGATTTCCGCATGGATCCTTAAGGTGGTAATGCACATGTTAGCGAGTTCTCATAAAGAAAGGGGGCTGAAGACAGATACTAGGTCCTCTGGTGTTGGCTGTCCTTGAGTGCTACTTAAATTGGGTTCAGGATACCATTTTGGCTTGAGTCTATGCTCAAAGCGACTGAATTGGGTGCTCAAACGCGACTTAAGTGGGTGTTCAAACACGACTTGTGTCGTGTTTCAACATAGTTCCAGGGACAATGACACCAGAGGACTCTGGTATGTGTATTAGGACCTTACGTACGCGTATGCTGCGTAGTTCAGTCTCCAGTTCTTTCCTCCGTCTATCACCTCGCCGGCGTGGTTAACGAGAATCAAATCTTCGTCTCTGATGAGCGAGAAGTGCATTCCTGGATCATCGTCAGTCAATCTTGTGTTTCCGCACTCCATCATTTTGTTTCTTCCTCGTTTGCCACGTAATTACTCACCAAACGGATTGACCCAGAAGCTCGCCGGATCCACTGGGTCGCGCATAGTAATATGCCCTGCTACGCCATCTGCGAATCCACAGGATGCGAAGATGCGGAACGCAATAACGAGCCTATGCTTCAGGTACTTTCGCTCCTCATACTTGTCCTCGAATACAGGCGGCGAAGTTCCTTCATCTTGAATAAAAGCCAGCGCAGGATCACCACTCGTACGCTCTGCTTCCTTTTGGGCCGCCTTCGTCGAGGGTGCCGGTGGGAGGGAGACGGCGGATGGAGCCATTTTAAACTTATTGAGATCGGTTTGCTGCTCTATGCTTCAAAGAAATTAGACTGTGACTGATAAATGCAAACGAAAGGAAGAAAGTAGCTTTTTTAGCGCAACGCACGGGACGTAAGTTCTTCCAAGTGTCATTTAATATGGAAGTAGGGCGTATCCCGATGGCGTACCTTTGCATGCAGGCGCCGGCCCCCGCATTTGTGGAGTGCGATAAGCGTAGGGCGCATATGTCGTCCATCTCCGAGAGCTATAAGAGGGGCACATTACCGTCGGAGGTGGGAGGCTGATGACCGGGGTAGGTAGAGTTTCGACGTTTCAATTATTTTTTGTGTCTACACACATTCCACATTGGTCAATATCAAACTTCTTTTTACGATATCCAAATACTTTCTTGAAAATTTGAACGAAGAACTAAACCCACAATGGGTTCCGCACCAACGACCCACCATAATATCGTCGTCCTCGAATCTGTCTTCAGTCCGGTTCCTGAATTCAAGCTTCCAAATGGCCTCACTCATACCTTAACATCATACCCTCGAACCCAACCCACTGAGGTTGCGGAACGCATAAAAAATGCTACGATTCTCATCACGACTACGATTGCTCTACCCGCGGAGGTCCTTTCCGAAAACGTATCGCCGCATCTCCAGTTCATCGCTGTCATGGCCGTGGGAACCGACACAATAAATCTAGATGCATGCAGGAAGCGCGGGATCCAAGTCTGCAATTCTGTCAACGCGAATGCCTCTTCTGTGAGCGAACATGCGATTGGGTTGTATTTTGCGGCGCGGAGGAAACTCATCGAGACACATGTGGCTCTGAGAGCGAATGAGTGGCCACGGAGGGGGACGTTGATGAATATGCTGGAGGATAAGACGGGGACGATGCCGTTGACCTGTGAGGAGGAGGTTATGGGGTTGATTGGGTATGGGTTCATTGGTAAGTGGCAGTTACCTCACGACATAGCTCAGACCACAAGCTGAAGTCATACACAGGCAAGAAAATAGGCCACATAGCACGTATGCTGGGGATGAAGGTCCTGGTAGCGGACCGACGGGGCGCGAAGACGATACGAGAAGGCTACACGTCTTTCGAAGAAGTGCTCAAGCAGAGTTCAGTAGTGGTCCTCATTATACCTCGGACGCCAGACTCCATTAACCTCATTTCGACTTCCGAGTTGAAGGTAATGAGGCCACAGGCGGTGCTTGTCAACGTGTCGAGAGGTGGAATTGTGGACGAGGCTGCATTGGTGCAGGCACTGAGAGAGAACTGGATCGCAGGCGCAGCGGTGGATGTGTACGCTACAGAGCCGGCAGGACCTGAAACGTCTCCTCTCGCAACAGAAGATACCAAGGATTTAAATTTAACGCTGTCGCCACATTCGGCGTGGGTGTCGGACACAACGATGCAAAATCTGCAGCGGATGGTAGGGGAAAACGTGGAGGGATTCTGCGCGGGAAAGCTACCAGCAGCTCATATTGTTGTATGAAGAGAATCTTGAGACCCGTCTTTTAGAGTATACGTGAGTTGAATCCATACTTGCGAGACTCCGTTGCACCGGTCAAGTCCCTAAATGCGCTTACCGTCTTCATATCCCGGATCATGAAGTGCGCAAAACACCTTTCAAGTTTCAAACCTTATGCGTTTCTCTATCTTTCTTAAATCTGGATCATACAACACCGGCAATAAGGAACCATTCGGTTTTAGTTAACGCGAGCGGTACTGATTGCATTAGTGCAAGGGTCCAAAGCCACTCGCTAGACGCAATCACATCGTCGTCCATCTCCGAGCCCTGCAGAAGGTACAACATGATTGGTCCTTTTCAACGTCGAGTCAGGAAAGACCTTAATCTTGAACAAGTCGCATGTGGCCTTAAAGAAGTCGCTCCTCGCTTCCAATCCCTCGGGAGAGATCAATATCTTCAACGTACAGCATGTCCTTCGCCGAAGAGAAAGGCACCAAGGTCAAAGAGGGGAGCCTGTCTCCAGACGCTGCAAATGGCGAGATCGTTGATATCGTCGATGGAACTCCCATCAACGCGTCCGGTCACGCGCAGGAATTGGATCGTAACTTCGTACGGACTACCTCTACAACCAAGTACCAAACAACCTGTCTAATCTTGATCTAGAGCCTCTTCAGCATGTGTGCCGTCGCGATAGTTATTGGCAACTGTTGGGCGATTACTGGAGCAACGATCGTAATACACCCTTCTCTAAATAGTCATTAGCATCATTGTAACCTCCTACAGAGACTCGCGATCTATAATGGCGGTCCACCTGGATTCATTTATGAGTTCATCGTGGCAGGTATCCTCTACCTCTTTATCACCACTTCCCTCGCCGAGATGGCGTCCGCGATTCCAACCGCCGGAGGCGTGTACCATTGGGCATCAGTCACTCCCGGCCGCAAATTGAGCCGCATCGTCGGGTTCTTTGCGGGGTATTGGAACGCTTTCGCATACTCCTTTGGAGCTTCGTCCCTAGCGGTCGTGTGTAGCGAAGGCTTGGTTGGACTCTACGGCCTAACTCACCCAGATTTAGAGCCGCAGAGGTGGCATATCTTCGTGGCCTATATCATTATCATCTGGCTATGCTGCTTCACTCTTCTTTTTGGCAACAGAATCCTACCCAGCATCAACTATGCACTCATGGTGCTCGTGATCGGAGGGTGGTTCGTCACCCTCGTCGTAGTCGGAGTCATGTCAGCGCAGGGCGGTCGTTCGCATGCTAGCAGCGACTTCGTCTGGAAGACATGGGAGAACAACAGCGGCTACACCAAGAACGGCCTCGTCTTCGTGTTGGGAATGCTGAATGGAAGCTTCGCCATTGGCACTCCAGACTGCACGACTCACATGGCGGAAGAAATCAAAAAGTACGACTCTCTATCAAGCTATCAATGTCACTTCGCAATCCCTCTGCTTACCCTTCGAAACCAGACCCGAAAGAAACATACCTAAGGTTATGATTATCCAAATGACCTCCAGCTTCGTCACAACTCTAATCTTCCTCATCGTCCTCTTCTACGCCATCTCCGACTTTGACGCAGTCCTCGGATCAACCTCTGAGTTCCTCCTAGCAGAGATCTACCATCAGGCTACGGGCTCCAACAGCGGCGCAATCGGCCTCTCCATCCTCGTCATCGTCCCCATAATCGGAAGCGTGATGGGGTCCATGCTCACAGCCAGCCGCGTCTTCTGGAGCTTAGCTCGAGACAACGCCATGCCCTTCTCCAGCACCTTCGGCCACATTAGCACACGATGGAAGAACCCATTCGCCGCTGTATTCTTCATGGGGTGTTTCTGTAAGCCTGACCTCCCGTGCTCTACCCAGTCCTCAAACTGATGATCTATAGCAACGATAATGGGCTGCATCTATCTCGGTAGCGCCATCGCCTTCGAAGCCTTCGTTGGCTCCTTCGTCGTCCTAACCACCCTCTCCTACCTCGCCGCCCTCCTGCCCTTCCTCTTCAGCGGGCGGAAACCGTCCCGCAGGGACCATTCTTCGTGCGCGGCATCGCTGGGTTCGTGGTCAGCGGTGTGTCGTGCGCGTTCATGCTAGTGTGGTTGGTCTTCTATTGCTTCCCTTACGTATATCCGGTTACCGCGCAGGATATGAATTACCCATGCTTAATTGCCGGGGGTTTGACGTTTGTGATTGGGGTGGTTTGGTTGATTGTCCAGCGAGTGTATAAGGCGCCGCCGGTCGTGTTGAAGGGGGAGTAGATGGGTGATCGACCCCATTGCCCATAGGCATTAGCGCCGTTGAGCGAACATCAGTTACCTATTTCGAACTTTCAAAACCTATCGTACAGCACGGCAGTGTTCCCGTGCCCATTCCAAAGTGCCCGCGTGAAGTCATCATTTACCCCATCCGCTTCGCACGGCCACACGGCAACTCTAAGCAAACCCATGCATATAATCGTGCTATTTTCTGTGACTCCCAAATTCTGGCACAACATTCCAAGGTCGGGCAGTTCCTACCATAACTCAGGCTTTGTGTGTTCGTTTATTGAAATAGTCGTTTTGCTTTCATTGGTTTCACGCCCTCGAACATCGTCCTCCTTCAACATGGCATGAATTGCATCGCTCGAAGCTTGAATGTCTTGCCATTGTCTTCACAATGCAATCTTGGACTTCGACTGGGGAGGTTTCATCGTCCGTCACTTGCGCAGATCACCCACGGACGTGAAGAGCTTCAAATGTTCAAAGACATGTGTTTTATAGTGGCTAGTTACATACAAGGTGTGAAAAGCCGTGCGATGACCATCTCCCATAGCCAAAGCTATCTGATTAGTCTTCGTCGTCTTTCCTAGTCCTCTATGCCCCATTTTCTACCACTTGGCGGTGGAAAAGGGAGAAGTTGACCTATCTCAGCATTAGTGTGGATCATATTTCAGATATCTACGATGATTGCATTGATTCATGTTAGAGACTGGTAATAGGGCAGTTACTCGAACAACTTACCTGGTTCTCCACGCGGGCCTTTCGCAATCATTTCCCAGAGTTCGTTCGATGGAACTACACGCTTCCAACAGAGCTTCGCAATCCAGTTGGCGATATCGCCTTTGGGCGCTAGATAGTTGTGGCCCTTCTGAAGGTGATATCTCAATCCCATTATGCCCCGGAAGTAGGAGCGGGGTTCGCCTTCGGAGAGCAGCAAGGTGGTGTTTGCGGCGCAGAATACACACCTAAGCTCCAGATATGAGCCATCTGTGCAGGTAATAATGCATCCAAGCCACTCGGGGATGTCGATAGGGCCGGAAATCGATGTATGTTGGTGAAGCTGAGGAGCACTGGAAGACGCAGCGTTGGCATTGGAAACATCATTGGAAGCAGCATTGCGAGCAATTGGCGTCAGCATTGCGAGCAATTGGCGTAGTTGATTCGGATGCGGAGGAGCTCTTTTCAAGGAAGGGATTGTCCCAGATGAGAGAATAAAGCGTAGCACACTCTTTGCGAGTGACAACACAAGCGTCCACATTCCCTCGGAATACGGAGAGAACCTCGGGCATAGACCAAGCCCGGAGAAAACACAACGTAGTAACTTCTTCGTCCTTCACGGACACGGAGTGAATATGCTTTACATGGTCTCGGAACTCATCGACTCCTTTGGGGAAGGAAGTGGTGTGGGAGCTAAGACGGATCTTGATGGCATTACCGTTGCAAATATAGCAATGCAGCTCCTTCCAATTGCCCTCATGGTCCCGCACAACGGTCGGGTACTTGGACAACTTCTTCATTCCTCTTAGCTGGGACATCTCTTCTTCGGTGGCGGGACCTGCATATCCTCTGCTGCCGGAGGTAAAATCAGCACCCGTTTGTTGGATGACTGCCGACATATCTTGGTTTGAGGCGCTAACACCCGCCCGAGGCTTGTCGCTAGAAGATTGAGGGTCAACCTTGGGGCTAGACATAATCCCATTTCGACTGAGAAGCCCAGTGGAATCAGATGAATGGGGAAGAAATGGGTTGTCCGCCAATGGGCTTTCCGGTTCAATAGCCCGAAGCTCGGCCACGCTGTAGTGAGAAGACTCGAAGGTCTGGATGCTACCGGCTCTGCCTCCTGAGCGCTATCCTCCCCCGATGAGTTTTTGTTAGTCTGCGCAGGTCGACTATCACTGTTGTAGATGGTGTCTACCCTATGGTGAGCGGGAGCAACAATATCAGGTGCTACTGATGCATCTGCCCGAGAAACAACTCCGTCTTGAGTAAGAGCGCGATTTGCAGCAGATCGAGCTGTGGGCGTAGGTGTGGGGACAGCCTCTAGTGTCACTGCGGCGGCTGGTGTAACTACTGGTGCGAGTGCTGGTCGGTTCGAAGCTATCTCTCCGAGATCTCTAAAGCATTCCTAAAGATTTCTAACGAGTCCAAGGCCTTGCATTTTTTGTGTCAAGTTGAGCTTACGTTTATTTCCCATTTTACCTCGTGTAGATCTGCCCAAACATCCCCAAGTCGTTCGAGTATTTGATCTTGCTCCCGTTCGAGCACTCTGGCACGTCCTTGCAGACGGCGAATCCTGCCTCTCAGTGCTCGCTCTTCGTCCATACTGACAGAGCCGTAGCGGCGATTCTGGCCGTAGAGAGCTTGCCGCAGGGGAAAGCTCGATGGTGAGTGCCACTCGAGATAGGTAGGGTAACTTGGAGTGCACGAGAAAATTGTCTCAGTGGGCCAGTCTTACAAGCTAACAACGAAGCAGCTAATGGATTGATGATGTAGGAGATTTATGTGATATGGGTAGCCGTGTTTTGCCGAGGGCGTTTTGAGGTGAATGGCTTGCCACTGAGCTCTTCCGAGACAGCATTACTTCCCTCCATATCGTGACCTTCAAAAGTACCTTACTCAAATGCTCATCAAATTATGGTTACTATGTGTCCGAAGAGACCTAGGAGCTTTTTGCCACGTTCTTGATCGAAGCCGAAGGAATGAGTTGTGAAGGTTCATACCTGATAAGACACGCAAAGCTCGTCGCGTGAAATGTCGAAGAACGTCCGGTCCAAACGTAAAGGAACAACAAATGTTTCACTGTGCTTTCCATGGTGATATAAAGTATAGACTGCTCGATTTTCTGATTTTGAGGTATATCAGGAAAACAACATCTGTCCAGGACCACGTGCGCCAACGAAGAACCCGAGACAAAATCTTATCAAACAAGTCGACTAAGCATCTCTCTGGAAAGCCTTCATCTTAGACCTGTTGGGTTAACGAAACCCATTGGGCGTGGGATAACACATCTCATTGCGTCCCTCACAGCCGCGACGGCAAACCGTATCTTGGCGTCCGTGGGTCGGGTGAAAAAAGGGATTACGTAGCGATGGGCGTGATTGACTTGGTTGAAGCGCGAGAGGATGTATTCTGCAGCTTTCCTTACGTCGTTTCCGCCGCTGTAATCTGGAAAGTAGTTTGAAAGTGGAATTCTCCCCAGCTTCTCCTCCAGTTTGTCATAGTTGTTGAGAAATAGATGGATATAGGTGCCATTGAACCGGGAGTTCACGATGGAGTCGAAATATGTCAAGACCTCCATCATCTCGCTCTGCGAAGAGTGCTCCAGTAAAGGCTGATCATAGCATGCCAGGTCCACTGCGAAGATGATCCATGTGATGTCCTCGAAGTAGTGTGCCCACTTTCTTTTGACGGAGTTTAGATCAACGATATCGAAAACACGATATTGCACGAAGTGGTCCATTACAATGCGAGTCTCATGGACCCCGGTTGGTTCTGTCCGAGCATGGAGTACATAAGGATCTTTCCACAGAGCGCTAATAGATTCGCCGTTCCCCAAAGGCTTCTGCGGATCAGCGTAGAATTTCGAATTTCTTAAGAAGGGGCAATGTTGTCGAGTTTGCTCAGTGTCTGGGTTCATGTTGAGCTGTTCCAAAGCTTCAACTGGAGCCTTCGCCCAGTCGATGAGATTCTTATTGATAGTAATCCGATGCGCTTCCATGCGCCTCCTAGTGTATTCATTTTGATGAAGAATCCTCATCTCTCTCAATATCTCGTCTTTACCACTGCTCTCACTACCGAGAAGGAGGACTCTATGTTCGTAACTTGACTCCGTTGATTCTGCTTCGAGCTGTCGATCGATAGCACGTGACCGTTTCTTCATCCCCATCCGGCACAACATGTCTCGAATGGTCCGCTTCAAATTCAATGGGCGGCTTTCAATCTGGATCTGTGGCGGCCGTGAGCGATCCTTGGCCTGAAGGACCGCTTTCTGTTGCGGCTGAGCGATGTCGGTGGCCGAGCCACCAGCTTCAATAATCTCGCAACTTGCCATGTTGGAGCCAGGATAAGAATAGTGCATTGCCGAGCGTGATGTGATAGTCAGGCGCCGAGAAAATGGTCGGAAATGTGTGTATGAGCGTCTTCGAGTAACGAAAAAGATGGAAGTTGCTGCGCGTAAAGACAAAGTAGTAGTCGTCGTGAGAAGCGCAGAATGAAGTGACTGAATTGCTGCACTGCCCCTCGAATCGCCAGGGGCGCGAAGCACAGAGCACCTGGGCACTTGATTCCGAAGGCCAAGAAGGCGGACCTTTCCCTCTTAGAGGGCGTTCCTCGTGGAATGGTGATGTTTTATGTGGCCCAAAAGGACTCGGTTCGATTTTACTCCGCCGGTCTTCACCCCGCCATCACCTCCGGAACATCTATCCATGTTAGGTCTCATACATCAAAAGCGTCTAAGCTAGATATGCTTCTGAGTCATCTTGAGAGAAGAGCTGAGTACTACATGAGTCTAGGTCGGGGATTGAAGTGAGTTTCAGTGCATTGCCATGTCATTTCGACATCACTACTGCTATGCATGATATGGCTTCAGGGTATGGTTCCATTCTTGTTTCCGGAAGCCGTATAATATCACAAGATGTATTTGAGAACATTAGGCAATAGGCCGGGAAATCTCTGCACCGACTCTGCATTTTCTAGAATACTTTAGCAACGGCGACGAATCCTCTATATCCGTCAAATTCGTCATCCATATGCTTTTCCCGAATCTCCATGATGCTCATCCATGCATTCTGCTTATCGATCATAACCAGCATGAACTCCGACGAAAGCGCGAGGATACACAGAACTGACGAGCTCAATCGACATTCTTCTTGTGCTGGTCAATTCACTCCCACTCGATCGCTAGTGTCGTCAGCTGGGCACGTGGAAATCGAATACCGCAGACCTACAAATACGTCCGCGATCGTTGCCTACTCACATGAATCTACATATCTCTGTAGAATACCACCACCCTAATTTCGTAGGCGACTTCCACGACTTCAGTGTCTCTCTCCTTTCCTACCAATCTACTAGCACTTAACACCCACCATTAACCCCTCCAACATCTCCAACATGTCCGACCGCGCCACCATCTCCAAGCCCCTCCACACCTGGAAGGAGTCCTCCAAGATCGATCCATCCCGCAACAGCTTCCTTGACCTGCCCCTCGAGCTCCGCGAGCAGGTCTACGAAAAACTCCTCGTAGACCCCTCTGACATAGGTGTTGCCTGGATTCGTGTTCCCTGGTTTCGTGCGTTCCCCCCTGCCGACGGTTTCAGAGTCCTCGAACTCTGCCGCCAAACCACCGCCGAGGCATACAACGTCTTCCTCACGCGCAACACGTTTGCACAATGGAGTATCAGGGGTCCCGACTTGCGGGGCATCGCCCGCTCGCTTGGGGAAGCCGAAGAAGACCTGAAGCAAGACGAGAACACGATCATTGGGGTCTTGCCATTTCATTACGCTCTCTACATTACGAAACTAAAACTTCGAGTCCTCTTGGACTCGAAGGAGGTGCCGGCAAACACCCGAGTGCGAGTGTCGCCGTGGGCCGGCAGGATGAAAGATGTGCTGCTGAAGGAGTTTCCAGCGATGAAGAAGATCACGTTCGTGCTCGATCATGTCGGGAATGGCTGGTTTAAGGATGCTGCTCAATGTTGGGATCACAGCTCCGGGATGAGTGCTTTCGCGATTGCTTTCCGCTCGATTGCCGTTTACGAAGGCCTCTTGGGGACCATGCTCGAAATGAAAAGCAGAAGTCTGATGAATCTTCGGTTGCTTTGACTGCGGCCCTTCACACCCAATTCGTGGCTTATTGGAAGGAGCAGCTGGACTGGGATCAGGGAGTGGAAATGGCGGTTCCGGATAGGGTTGAGATCGAGTTCCGCCCGCGGTTCGTCAAGACGACGGACACCGTCCCCGAGCACGAAGTGGACTTGGATGACATCTGGAAGATCATGGAGAAGGAACGGGAGGCTTCGAAGGAGTAGGGGGCGGGTAACGGGAGTAGTGGAGAGTGGTTGGGTACACACGTGTGGCTATTCAGATTAAGTCGAATGTGCTGAGACACGACGACTCGGCTGATATTTATCCATAGGACTCAGGTTAAATTGATGTGAACTCTGATTTCTATAGACGTCTAGCTAGTTGTATATATACTAGGGGAAGGAAGGGGGCCACCCCCAGGGTGGCGCGCTAGTAAGTTCAGATGAGCCCTGCACAGCTGAGGCTTCAGCTCGGTTCTCTACAGCTGATGTTCGGAGAGTAGCTTTCTGGCATATGAGTTGTTGATCCTAGGTTGTAGTGCTGCAACCTGAGTATAGGTGCATTCAGCACGAATCCTGGTCATGGGTTTATGTCTCCATATTTTCATTGCTCAATGGCTAGCTCTACCTATGAGGATCAAGGAAATTTATCCTTGATCATTTCGTTTAACTAGATGATAGTGGAAAGATTCGCGTGTTCCACTTTCCGGTGAAATCGGATGTGATATATTTCCGCAAATCAAAGGAAACTCCGGACCTGGAAAACTATGAAACCCCCTAGCAACTCTCAGATCACCGTAGCTGTGTATCCGTAGCTCATTGGATAAGTAAGGGGCCGTCCCTATCGTGATCAGGGTGTACCTTCGTCGTCCAGTCCAGTACTATCTGCAGTCTTCTTCCTCCACATCGCCATGGCCGCCGCCATATGCTTTTCCTCTTCCTTTGTGCCATGGATAGAGAATTCAAGCCATTCAGGAAGCTTCTGATCTTTCAGAGTATAGCACTTCAGAAGCCCGACAGTTCGTTTCAGTGATGCCTCTGGTGATGAGTTGCCATCGAGGTCGATAAGATTGTCAGCCCACCGCAATTTGTACTGGACGTGGTTCGTGGCCGGCATCCATTCGCGAACCTTGTTGAGGTGGTCGCAGAATGCACCTGGCCAATTTTGCAGGCTTTCCCAGTAGACGCCGTACTCTACTCGTCGGACAAGGGTGTTGTAGGGGCTTGGAACGAACTTAATCTCGTGATCGCGGAAGGAATGAATGGCTTGTGGTCGGCCAACGAACCTGTTGCAGCTGTAGAAGACCTTCTCGCATTCGGCGTAGAGCTGACGACAGACACAGAATATTTGCGTGAATGGGCGGCATTTGTCGACTCCGCTGTCGCTACTATCATGCGCCTCGTCGAATTCAAGGCTAAATTCGAGCAAATCTTCACGGGCGCAAATGGATCCTTCGCAAACGAGAGCTTCTTTGTAGATGATCTCCCGGATTTCAAGTGATATGTCGAGCATGCTGATGCGGTCCGAGTCCGCCTTTTGCGACGGAACCCACTGCAGAAGTTCCATTTTACGCTCTTCTGTAAGGGGCTCAGGCTTGCGCTGTCGTACGAGCGGGTAAGAATCATTGCTACTGTCGGAGTCTGAGGATTCGATTTCGATGTGAGATTCGTCCAAGTCTTCCGAGTCGTTCAAGTCGCTTGGGTCGGCCTGATCTTCCTCGCTATCCGAGTCCAAGGACTCATCCACACTTTCGGTGTCAGTCAAGTCGTCCTCGGGATCAGATTCAAGTGAAGGCTCCTCGGTGTCGAGTTGGTTGGCATCATTTGTGCTTCCAGCGTCGGTCATGTAGTCCTCAGAATCAACGTGAAGTGAGGTCTCTTCGGCGTCCCGCTGGATCGCCTCATGTTCGTTGCCGACCTCTTTGAGGCGATTCTTTTGGTCCGGATCCGCCATCGTAAGCTGCTCGTGAAGATTGATGATCAAAGACTTGCAGTAGAGCACTACCTTGATGTCAAGAGTGTTGTTAGAGGCTTGCAGTTGTCAGACAGATGAAAGAAGAAAGGTAGGGAGAAAGTAAGAAAGGAAGGTAAAGCGTGGAGAGTTATAGTAATGGGAAATACTGAAGTGAGATTGGGTGCAGTACCAAGACATAAGTTTGGGCACTCCTTGAACCTGCTTGGGTACCCCGTTAGGCCCTGGAAACTACGAATACGATGTAAAGATCAACGCAGTGGATGGTAGACTACCTTTTGACCAACTTAAGACATCTTAGCCAGAGCACTCCTTACAGTGGTCTTGAGAGAGCAAGAGCGGCCCAGTAGAACCAGAGCAGTGGTATATCCATGTGCCCAGATTAATGACCTAGTACTACACCCTCTCGGTTGCTAGATATCATGTTTAGGAGTAGCTCGGTTAGACAGCTGATCGGTCAAGAGCGCTCTCAGGAGCACAGCCTCCACCGCATCGAACTTTACATTCTAATGTAAGGCTTATCACTCTCACGTTCATAGATTTGAAGAACGAGCTATGAAAATTTTGTATACAAAGATTGTATTTGGAGTTGATTGAAGTTGTCCCTACCAAATTCGTCTGGCTTCCTTTTCGCTATGATGAGAAAATTCGCAGATAGAAAGTTCGAGGGACCAGGCTTCCAACCGCCGTTTGCATCAGAACTTGTAGCTGAGAGTGTGCAAAACACAATCTACTCAGAGATGATGTAGTCGCCACGCATCGACGTGATTCTTCGATGACTTCGAGCGGTTATTCTCCCCTATGCCCCTCAAAGGTCTTCCCTGCCATTGACGTGGCTCAAATGGAGCTGGTGGACAGAGACATTGGCCTCCTTGCACCTCTTCTTGAGTTCTTTCCACACAGGAATCCAGAAGGACTCCTCATGGGAAGCTAATTCGAAGTGGAACCAATTGGGTAAAGCGTTCTCGCCGATTTCCTGGGCCAATATCTTCACAGCCTGATCCATTAAGAGTGTGTTTAGATCAAGCCGGTCCCAACGGGCCGCTCGGTCTAGAAAGATGCATTTGAGCTTGAGTTGTACATGCTTTACCTTAGGGAAGGCATTGCCGATAATTTTGATGGCTCCATTTACCGCAGCTGACACGGGTCCATCGAAGCGGGTACACTAACTCAACTTCAGATCCAGACTGTGCACAAGCGAGGAATACGGCGTCGGTACAACCTCCAAGGCCTCATCAAGAGTGATTTCGCTGCTTGTCATATCTCCTTCGACAAGGACCATGTATTTTTTGGCCATGAATGTATTCGTGCTGTAATATATCGCTTGGCCCTCAGCTTGGGTCTGGCGGCAAACAGCAAATAACGCATAGTTCGGAAGCTCCTTTCATGGGTAGAAAGAGTATTCGGGTAAATTTGGCTTCCAAGCCGGTCTGAGAAGGACGGGCTCTTTGGCGAGAGCCTCCCTGTAAACCATGTTGCGAATCTCAAGGGCTAAGTCGAGGAACGATATGCGGTCCGGGTCAGCTTTCTGCGATGGTTTCCATTTTAGGCCCTCCTCTCTGAACTGCTGCGTGATTGCGGCGGAGTTGACGTTGGGTTCAGGTACGGCAGCATGATTGTCGCTTTCGGTGTCCCATTTGATTTCGAACAGGTAATCCTCCGGGTCAGGCTCGACAGCGCCGTCTTCTCGATTTGAGTCCGCCATGCCTGCGAGCTCGGCAAAGTCAGTATAAGTGGCAGGATATAGAAAGTTAGGTCGGTACTTACTCCAGGAAGAACCTTCAGACAGGAGACAGAAATAGAGAATGAAGAAGGTAAGGTAGTGGAGTGCGTGGAGCGAAGAACCGAAGATGGAGGCCTGTCGCGGTGAAGTGGCCACGCTACGCAAGCAGCACGTGGCAGATCAGGTCACGTCACCGTTAAGATGCAGATGATGAGGCACGGAAGAAGGGAAGGAAGGAATCGAGAGTAAGTAGAGGCTGTTGAGAATCATGTGTAAACATTTCCTCTAGCTGCCTCAGACGGCGCCATCACCAATTATCGTTTCTTCGATACTGATTCGAGTAGTTAGGACGAAAGTCGTAACTCGATCCCAGGGTATACACTTCAATCTACATTACCCCTAGCCAATGAGATGTGCCTTTCCTTGCTTGTAGGCGGTACCCTGGCTCCTCCATCTTTCCAGAGCATCTACGAGGTGCTTATGATAGAAACCAACTCCCTCGATGGTGACCCCAAACCCCTCAGGAATCTCATCCCAGCCGGTCAATTCTCTCCACAAACCGATTCCAGGATTGGAATGCTCTTCTCGGGATGTAAAGTTCTCGAAGTGAGCAGAAGAGGGGTAGTCCCAGAGCTTGATCTCAACATGTGCGGAGGGAAACCATCTCCGTACCATGTCGATGTAGGTGCGAAACTGGTTTGGGCGACAATACACATGTCTGAAGTCGAAAGAGTATTGGACTTGACGGACAAGGTCCTTGTAAGGAGCGGGCACCATCATAGCGTATCGGCCAGCCAGTTCGAAGGCAAACATTCGGCGAGTGGTGAAGGTGTTGATGCCGTAATAGACCTTTTGTGCTTCGGCGCTTATCTGACGACAAACATCAAAAAGAGCCACGTTTGGTTGAGCTTTGCGGTTGTTCTTGTTGATGTATCGTTCTTCAGGATTGTCGGGAAGCCAGTTGCAAGTCAACTCCTCGCAGACGAGAGCCTCTTTGTATATCATTTCCCGCAGTTCGAGGGAGAGGCCCAGGAAGCTGATACGATTGGGGTCGGCGGTGTTCGAGGCTTCCCACTCCAGCCCTGCCGATTTACGTCGCTCTGTACGATTTGTCGAGGCGTCTTCCAATGCAGCGTTGAGTCTCTTCTCCACCGTAGCGAGGTCACTCATGTCCCAATGCGCCATCGCGGCTTGCCCTGCGAATTCGACCACATCAGTGCCCACTCAAGACTCTCAGTTAAGGCGCAGGACATTACCGCGAGCGGAACCTCCAGATCTGAGGTCCCTTCTGGTCGCGGTGGAAGAGGTTGGATGACGGAGAATTGAACGAACGGGTGAAGTGAAGTGGGGCATCAGATGCTTAGCGCGCTAACCGCGAACGCGCCTACGGTTCTCCTAGACCATACAGCACATGGCACTAGCAGGATAGTGGGCATTGAGGAGGGCTTGGGAACACAGTGCGGTAGCTTGAAACAAAAGAAAACAAAGGAACAGTATATTATTTTGAGGAGAGAAACTCCCCAAAAACACACACGTTAAAGACAAGCATCACGACACAAACGAGATCACAATGTCCACAACCAAGCTTACGAAGAATGAATGATGAAAGAGGTGGATTGAAGGAAGTCACCCCCGCCAAGAGAACTGGCAAGTAGTCATACTAATTGTTAGAGGGCGTACATCTTCATGCCGATTTGTCCACGATTGTATGACCTTCAGCCCAAGCCCTTCCAGACACTAAGCGACCCGTCCTGCCGTTGATGTCGAATCCGTCCACTAGACGTTGGTGAACTTCCCACTCTCTTTCAAAGCCTCCCAGACTGGCTGCCAACCATAGGTCTGCCACTCGCGCTGAGACTCAGAGAAGCTGAGCTTGAACCATTCTGGTAAAGCTAGCTCTAGACCAAGCGCGCTAGCCAAGAGATCCACTGCACGCTCCACGGGGATCTCGCGTGGATTGACTTTTGATAGCGTTGGGTGGCAATAGAAACTAGCACAGTTGATTCTGAAATCCACGCGAGCAGCATTGGGAGTTGCCGAGATTTTCGGAAACGCCGCGGTGATCATGGCGACGGCATTCTTAGTCGCCTTTGTCAAGGGACCATCCGAATAGCAAGACCAGGTTATGGAAAGGTCCAGTCGCCTAACCAACGACGAGTATGGCTCGGGGACGATGACACAGGCGCATCGGAATGGGTCGTAGAATTTCCTCAGGATAGTGCAGTAATTGTCGCGGCAGTTGGGATCTTCGAGTAGGATCATACGAAAATCGTCCAAGGTTCCGCCCTCTTGTATGAACGTGGTCTCCTGGTAATAGACCTGCTGCGCCTCGGCTCGCAGCTGCTGGCAAACGGAGAAGAGCACGAACAACGGCGGATCATAGTACGGGGAGAAAACGAATCGGGGTCCTTCTCCGCAGTACGAGTACATGTCGCGCTCTACGTCACCTCTAAGCAAGCTTGCTCTGTATACCTCGTCCCAGACCTCACGGGGACAGTCGAGGAAGCTGATCCGATTGCAGTCGGCCTTCTTCGATGGTTTCCACACCAGGCCGGCCTCCCTAAATTCTTCGGTGATTGGAGTTGGTTCGTCGTCGGAAGTGATGTCGATATCCGTCATCTCGTCCTCATCATGGCCCTCTGGTTCTAGATCCGCCATCCTGGCCTGCCTTGTTCATTCAACCAAGTCAGCACAGCTCCACAATCTCCAGCTTTTGAAGTCTAATGTACCTTGCGGAACCGCAAGATCTGAGGCCTGTTGAGTGGTTGATGTGAGGATGAAGAACCGAAAGTGAGCGGGGGTCAGCAGCTTTATAGTCCAGCATGACGACAGAGCATGTGACTCCAAGAGCAAGGCTCGTAGTGAAGGTCTAGAGTGAAGGAAAAGTCTTAGCAGAGGACGATGCTCACCTGCAACCGAGCCTGCACTCCGCGATTGAGAGTAAATGAATGCAAGTTTGGGAGATAATGGAGATGGAGATAGACGGGAAATATTTGATTTAGAAGATAATTAAAATTTCCTGATCTCGCAGAGAGCAAACCTCGTCAAGCGTCCTCACAGCAGGATCGAGGTCCCAAGTGAGATGCAAGACGCACGCTCGTTTCCATTATACGAAGCATAGCTACTTTCCTAGCTGCTCTCATCCCCAAGACTCCTAATAATACCTAAAATCCGAAGCCTTTATTCCAGGCTGAAATTATCCCGAACCGACCAAAACGCCATTCCATGTACGCTGCAATACCAAAGCCAGTTACGCATCCGACATGAGCTCCACAGGCGGCCTAGATGTCTTCGTCGTCTTGCCTTGCGCTCTCTCCAGCGCAATCGCGCCCTCGACCCCTTCCATCGCATCCACGGGACTCAGCGCCGGCGTCAGCGTGGTATCCTCGACCTCAATCGCGGGCAAATCCGGGCTGTCTCCATGGTCCTCGGGGTGATACACAATCGTCGAGCTCCGACTCCTCCGCTTGACACCAGGACTCGCCTCCGAATTCCCGTCCTCATTTATTGGGCTCGACGCGTCAATGTGCGCAGCCCTTAGCTTCGCAAGCGCGCTCGCCAGATCCTCAGCATGGACCATCTTGTTCGGCTCGCTCTCGTTGTGCATTTCCCAGCCGTGGGGCGGGGACGGTGGCGGGCTGATGAAGAAGAGTTTGTCGGCTTTAGGGAGCGGCAGGTGCTGGTCGGTGGGCTTGATGGGGGTATGCTGGCCGAAGTAGATGCGGATGCGGTGGCCCATGAGGGTCTCGCCGTCGAGGGTCTGGCGGATGAGGATGGCCGCTGGGATGTCGAGGAAGGAGACGACGATGCGGCGGAAGGATTTGAGGGGTGCCCAGGTGTGGATGGGAGCATGTTGGTTTATAAGGTCTTGTATTTGGATGAGGTTCGCTGGGTGGAATATCTCAGGTTCGAGGAGGTTCTGGTGGAATTGTTAGGGACGTCGTTGAAGGGTGAGGTGGCGATACAAAGGGGAAACTCGGAGATTCTGCTGTTGCTATCTGAAGGAGTACTTACTGTGATTATGAGAGTATTAGAGGGGGGAGACGGCTGGATCAGTTGAGGGAGATCGGAGAGGTCCAGAGTGAGTGGCGATTTGTTCTCATCCCTTGAGGAATTCCGCGAGGTGTTTAGAGATGGTAAATCGACGGCCATTTTGATAGTTGAGGGGTGATCTCCGCCACAAGAATCTTATGCAGTAGCAGGTAGAGGAGAAGGAGGTCTGTAGGCTTGGTGGTGGTGAGAGCAAAGACAGAAAGAAGGCGGAAGATTTATGTATACCATGTGGTGGTTGCGGGGGCTTAGCGGCGACGACGAGGCACAGGGGAGCGTCCAATGACTGCTCAGCCATGGCCGGCCTTCTCGGGCCTGTCATTCTGGATTCTTTTGCACTGCCCCAAAACACAAATCACACGAACCCCAAATCCCCCCGGCGCATCATTGTCCGCGTTTGCGTGGCTCCAAGGACTCAGTGCTGCAACTGCCGCTGGCCGCTGGCGTCTCGCCCAGGATCACGGGACGAAATGCGTACTGTGGGACTCTTCTGGCCATGCTACAAAGATCGTGGAATATACCCCTGGGTCGGGAACGCCCCTCGCACTACTGGGGTTCCTATCATTTGCGCCGACTCCTTGCAGGCGCAGTCCGAGAAGCAATAGTTACAAAGGGGCCTCGTGTGGATACATTGGGTCCTTCGCGCCTCAGAGTCCACATGAGGCTTCGTGAACCTTCTCCGCCTCCGTTGCAGGCAAGGCTTTGCTACACGCCTTGTCGCCAACACCTACCAAGGCCGAATAGCATTTCGGCCGAAGCCTCCAAGGCGTGTGGTAAGGTCATATCGGCGGCGACCGGCGGATGAGAAGTGTACCAAGGTTTGGTGGCGAAGCATGCTATCGTCACAATGTTTCCCGGGGTTGCGGACGTCGCTTCTTCCGTGATGTGGAAACAGGAAACAGCTGTTCAAAGGGGTTTGCAAGGCACATTTGTGTGAGACGACGCCGCAATAACTTACTCCTTAAGATCTTACATGAGTGTCCTAGTAAGCATATACGACGATTCTAAACGACCGCTAAACCGGACATCCAATGTTTTCTACCACTTCATCGTTTCAGAGTGTTTTGATATGATGATGCAGGCTAACTATCTCGTAAATCCATGAAGTGATCAACGAAAGTCCATAGAGTCGCTATGTGAAGCATGCGCGCAGGTCGCCAATCCACGTGGAAACCTTCGGTTTCCGAGAAATATTTGTATCCGATCTGGTCGGTGGCATGTCAAAGCCACTGTTACATACCATAGTAGGAACTCCAGACCTTTGTGATCCTCCAACTTGAACTTGATGAATGAAGTGGAGTTTGAGACGGACAGTCACGTGATAATACCTCGGAGAATCGTTGCGGCGAGACCCGACGACTGCGGCTCAAAGCAGTCGACGACAAAGATTCACGATCCAGCTTCCAAATCCTCACACAGCCTCACCTCCGCCTTCCACCTCAGCTGCGTCCGCACCGGGAGCTAACACGTGCTTACGCGATCGGCTGAGCACTTTCAGTGTCTGCCCAAAACACCAACCTCAGTCCACGGTCCCGCCTCCTTTGTCCCCGTGCGTGTCTCTCACCTCCGCCGCCATCATGGACCCCTACGACATGGAAGGCGGCGCAATCAACGTGCGATTCCTTAATGTACAGCCTCTCCTCTCTCTCAGTCTTCAGCCGTATGCTAACAGATTTGCCCAGGCCGACAGCACACGCGCCAACTTCCTGATCCAGAACTTCGACCTCGCCACGGCCAACTCGCTGCGGCGGGTTATGCTCGCCGAAGTTCCCACTATAGCCATCGATGTCGTCGAGGTCCTTGACAACACCTCCGTCCTTGCCGACGAGTTCATCTGCCACCGCCTCGGACTGATTCCACTAAATAGCACCAACGTCGACGACCTTCTGGCCTCGCGCGACTGCGACTGCGATGGTTACTGCGAGCTATGCAGCGTCGTTCTCATGCTCGACGCGAAGTGTACTGGAAATGACATAATGAAGGTGTATGCGCGCGACTTGGTGGTCTCGGAGGGCCGACCAAATGAAGAGATTGGCCTACCAGTCATCACGGACCCAGATGGACTAGGAAGCATAATCGTGAAGCTGAGGAGAGGCCAGAGCATCAAGATGAAGTGTGTTGCCAAGAAAGGGATTGCGAAGGAGCACGCGAAGTGGGCGCCCAGTGCGGCAATCGGGTTTGAGTACGACCCGAACAACAAGCTGCGACATCTGGATTACTGGTTTGAGGAAGATCCGATAAAGGAGTGGTGAGTGACATCTAGAACAAGTCATCAAGATGGAAATTAGCATGTTTGCTTATTTTGCTAGGCCCAAAAACGAGGAGAACGCAAACATCGATGGCATCCCGCAAGAGGGCGAGCCGTTCGATTACGACGCTGTCCCCACCCGTTTCTTCTTCGATGTAGAAACAGTCGGTGGCCTTGAGCCTGACCAGATTGTACTCCAGGGCATCAAAGTCCTACAGCGCAAACTTGCCGGCATAATCGGTGATCTTACTGGTACAGAAGAGACGAATGGTGTGGACGGCTATGGCGGTGGCCAAAGTCCGCAGATGAATGGCGGGCAGGGCTATGGAGCTCCGGAACAGGGCTACACGACGCCGTATGGTAACACGAGCACATGGGGTGGTGGCGGAGGTACCACGCCGTATGGCGCGACGCCGTATGGTGGCGGCGGTGGGAATCCGTGGTGAGGCGTGGTTCATGCAGCGACCATCACACATTTGCACATCTGTATATTGCGCTACATCCTAGGCTTCCTAGAGACTGGGCCTTCGGTTTGGACGGACCCTAGCGGGTTTTACTCACAACACTTATGGCGAGGATTCTTTTTCGGCGTTTAGAGGTGGCAGTCACCAAAAGAGTGCATCCTAAGGCGTTCACTGGAGTCACGGAACGTGCCCCAGGTAGTCGAGTATGGCGTGGCTCAAGGGGCCAAGTTAGGTTTGAATGCTCCCAAAAGTCTTTCAGCCTCCACCTAGTCTAATATTAAGAGAGACTAAACTCAAATCGAATTAGATCATATTCGTTGAAGTTCCCTCACAGTATCTCCCACCTCCAGAATGCTATCCGATCGAATGTCTCAAAAGTCTTCGTCGCGGCTTTCACCCGAACAAGATAGTTTCAACAAATCTGGGGTCAGTTAAAATGACCCATTGGAACAGCAACAATTGTAAGACTTCGTCAGCCAACCGTCACTTCACGTCTACCCTACGTTATCCCGTACCTACTAAATCTATCATTTTTCTATCAGTATAACGTTCATTTATCCACACAACCCTCCATAATCTCCTTCCAAAGCTTCCATATCTCCCTTCTTCTCTATATTGTACTTTCCTTACGCTAGGAAGTCACAAATCTTCTTATAGCTACACAATGGTGTCTTCAATTGGGGTGAAAGTGTATCGTGAGCACCTCATCATGGCTGAAGAATGTTGTTGAATTCACCATTAGACGTTCACAACTGAAGCTCCGGAACTTATAACGGAGTGTCAACTCCCTTCTCAGTCTCTATAACGTAGGTGATGGGGTTATAACGGTGGAGGTATTTATTACGGTGGTCTAAGCTTGTACATGAATTCGGAATCTGTGCACCTGTTAAGCTTTTTTTTAATGTTCGGAAACGTAATAACTACCTCCACCGTAATAAACCCATCACCTACGTTAGTTCCATCACACAACATCCCACACACCGTAACCCATTTCTTCTCATCACAACTGTTCCCAACACAACGATGTCCAACCCAAGCCTTAACAACACAACCCTCACAAATATAATGCCACCCGCGGACCGCAACATGTTCGCTCGGACTCCACGAGTTAGGAATCTTAACCTCAGTATCCTGCCAACAGTCCTGGGGCTAAATCCGAATGCACCCGAGCAAGATCCTCGGCTGCTCCCTGCAGCGGAGAAATTGCAGGAGTACCGTTACCGGGCCCGCTTACTCGCGGCAGTTTTCGAGTACATCGCGCCAATGTTTGAGGACACCGATCCCTCTTCGCGTCCCTTGGATTTCTACCACGCGATCTTTGCTGCAACCCACCCAGAGCTTGTGCAGCACTTTCCTGTGAAGCTCATGATTCCACTATCTCGTTCTGCTCAGGCAGTCATTGCTGAGCTTTGCGAGCACTACGGTGCGACCGAAGCGCGACGAGCGACGTATACCTAGCACGAAGCAGAAAAGCACTGGTACAATGGTCGCAAAATACTTCGCGAGCTACACAAAGATATTGAGACAGTCGCGAAGGCCAATTTCCAACTCGACTCTAGGCTTGTGAATGAAGCCTTTTCCTCTGACGAGTGGGTATATTGCGGCTGGCAAGCCGGTGATGGACCTCCAACCAACTATGACGACATCGCCCGAGAGTTGGATGGTTCGTCTGGGAGCACTATCGTCCCTTGCGAATTCCCCAATGATGAACCCGAGTGTAGCATGTGCTTCGAGAACCTCGACAATAGCGAGAAATACCGCGCTGTCAGCACCGAATGCCAGCATATCTTTGGTGCGCACTGCCTCCGCACCTGGATTGTTGAGAACTTCAAGACCACAATTCCCCTTTGCCCTAAGTGCAGACGCCCCTTGTTTCATGTCCAACCAGGTCGCGAAATGCAGTGCAAGCTAGCGAACATGACTTGGGCCGAACTCGAGCAGCTACTAGCAGGATAAGCTAAGCTTGAAAACGTAGCGATCATGTTGCAGACGGGAAGCAAGACGAGCACTTTCACCGTCCGCAGAGCCTATCATCCAACGAAAGATTAATAGCCAGGACGAGTAGTCAGGAGACTGCTTCAGTGATCGGAGAATAAGCTGAATATGCCAGACTAGGTCCCCTAAACACAAAGCGTTAAATATGGATGGTACTTGTACAGTCGCTAACGAAACTGGCTTCCCCTCAATAGATTTTGCACCACCGCTCTGCGACTGAATGCTTGGCACCCCACCTTGCGTCACACGTATCTGGTAAAGCGCTGTAGTGCTGCCGAACCTCCTCAGTACTACAGTAAAAGTTGCGTCCTCAGCTGCTACCAAAGGTCGCGGAAGAAGATATCGGATCCAATCGAAATTAGCACGAGCGCTGCCCACACGCCAGAAACCCTCGTTTTCGCAACTGACTCTGCTGGGTCGGCAATCCCGAAGAACACCACCGAGGCCCCACAGTATCTGGCCACAGGTCAGTTCAACCACTTGTGGATTCCTGCGGGGTTTGCGCCAGTCTTTGAACGGTTTAACTAGACTAACTCGCCAAGACAGATCGAGCTCCATGCGAAAATGGACGATGCAATGAGATTTACTCATCAACCGATCTCAGCCTCAGGGATTCGTCTATTTACGTTTCATCCTCTATCATCCCATCAGCAAGTGCGGTGCACGCTGAAGTACGCCGACCTCGACTCGGAGCACGAATATACTGTAGTGTCCTGGGATCACAACGATAGTGGTGAGGGAACGGCTATCATCTTGGAAAGAAGGACCTATGCTGTTCCAAAGAGTATACATCACTTTTTACAGTGGGCACAGCAGAGCAAAAGGAAATCCCTGTTTTACAACCCCAACCTGCACTTGCCCAGCCCCTTCTGCTCACGTGACTCCGTGCCGCTATGGTCAGCTCACCCTTGCTCACCTTTTACTCACCTTTTACTCACCAGCTGCGGCGCAGCCTTAACTCTGTCACTATGTCGAACCGAGACAAGAAGGGCAAAGCGAAGGAAGAGCCTCAACTTGAGAAGTCTGATCGTGAAAAATCTCGTCAAGCTCATGTCGAAACACTTGAGATACTTTCCGAGATCTCTGCGTTCTTGGTATGCTTATCCGATCGATTTATCTAATCGATTCATGTAGCTATATTAATTTTGCCCATAGGAAACCGGTCTCACGGATTCACAGATAGCGTATTGCGCATCATTAATAGGACGAGGAGTTAACCCTGAAGCTCTAGCGGTAAGTATCTCACCCGATGAATTATTGCTTTAATTATAACCGATACATAATTTGCCTATACAGGAAGTCATCAGGACTCTGAGAACTCAGTACCCAGAGCGAGAGACAGGTTCCAAAGATTCGAACTGAGATTACTGCGCATTTTAGAGGTCGATACTAGATCCTGGGTGCTCATAGCAAACCCAGCCATGTATCTTCGACGGGCAAAGTTATCTCTATAGGCGAGAACGGTCACCGACTTATAAGCACGTTATACGCCTCGCCGTCCAAAACCAGCGCTGTAAGGTAGGAAGCGTCAGGCCATTCTAATATATATGGACAATGGGCAATGGTACAGGAAGAGGATACTAGGCCAGTTAGAAGTAACAGCGATATGCCATCTTAATTACAGGACGCGGGGCAATTACAGTGGCATTATAAAATCCAAATATATATTTCAAAATCACTCAGGGTTTCCGGCCTACGTGCCTAGCCAATTACAACTTCTACAGAGAGGGGTTGGGGTACGGTGGCCTACCCTGCCTACCGCTGCCTACTGC